CCCACTGTTTTTCCACGATTGGACGTTGATGCCAGAGAGTCAGAATCTCCAGGGAACTGGCGAATGCGTTCATAAGAATGGCGAAGAAGAGCAAGGATCCGCGAGAGAAGAAACTGTCGGTGGTTGCTTGCTGGTTATAGAAAACACTGGCAATGATCAAGGACATGATAATATTTCCGATGATAGAGGTCAAGGTCATGGACATATCCCCCTTTAGCCTCTGGAATCCTCGCCACATGCAGAGCTTGATCTCCATGGGGTAGGAGAGAGTGTATGGAGAGTGTTTGCTGGCTGTCTTGGACTTTTCAGCGGATCGAGAGGCCTGGAATATCTGTAGCTGCTCGCCATGTAGGGGATAGGCCTTGTTGTATTCGTCAATCTCCTGCAAAAGAGTCCGTCTATCCTCACTTTCCTTCCACCGCTGTGCAAATTCAGCGGGTGTCTGGGGCACACGAGACTCAAAGCCAGGTCGGATTCTTCTCTCTGACGGGCTGGTTACCGATGTCAGAAAATCAGCAGTAGTCTGTCGGCTGGGGCATTCGAAGCCCATCTCAATGAAATACTCTTTGGCTCGAACAGCGTTTCCAAAATAGATCTGGTGTCCCTCGTACAACACAACGGCCTTGTCGAAGATCTAGAGAGTTGGAGGTTAGTCAGTGAACTTCGTCGTCGGTACGAACGATGAAAAAAGGAACCCACATCATAGATTGCTTGACCGGCCTGATAGATGGCAACAACGGCAGTCGTTCCAGAATACTTGGTAGAGAGACGAAGAGATTTCACAAACTCTAGGGCGTTGGCACTGTCAAGTCCACGGGTACTGTTATCCCAGCACTGCAAGGGACTTCCACTAAGTGTCGTCTCTGCAATGCTGATACGCTTCCTCTCACCTCCAGAGACGCCACGAATATACTCGTTTCCAACCTGAGTGTTGATGGTATGCGACAAACTGAGCATGGACATGACCATGCTGCGCATATGGATTGCGTATTGCTCGCGAGAGACGCCGGGCAATCTGTTAGCTGGGGCTCTGGCGCGCGCTGCGAAGTAAAGGGTGTCTCCGACTGTCATCTGGGGGAAATGCGTTTCGGTTTCAGCCTGGTAGATGACTTCTCCTCGGAAGTTCTTGTGCATCTGCTTCCACGAGATACCTTGATACTGGATATCATTGCCTTCGTCCAGATAGAGACCATGAGTCTCACCTGATAGAGTACGGAGAAGTGTCGAACATCCACTGCTCCAATGTTAACACGGCAATAAATAAAAAAAGGAGGATATACACACCTTCCAGGACGGCCTAAGACGATAAGCATTTCACCACTCTTGACCAAACCTTCAAAATCCTTTAAGATATCGATACGGACCTTCTTCCGGAGCCCGAGTAGGCTCATGATACCACTCCATGCCTTGAGTGGTAGATTACCGACATCACTCTGATAATCTGCTGCGGTCCCATAGCCATAAACATTCATATTCCGGAATGAAACACCGGCCGTACGCTTGGGATACCGCTCTGGATCCCTCGAAGTGATCTGGAGAATAGTCTTGAGCCACTTGGCTACATTGAAGCCTTTGTCGTCCGGATTAAGCTGGGGGTCTGCTTCTGGGTCTAAGAAAGGATTGATGACCTGCTGGTGTTCCTTCTCGACATCTGGACCGCCTTGCCGAGAGACCCTGGAGAGTTGACGGGCTAGATCTTGCAGCTCTGCAGCCTGCGAGTGTGTGATATCATCCGTATCATAAGTAGCCTTCCCCACTGTCGTCGAACTAGATCCGCTGCATTTTATATCGTCCTCATAATTCAGTTTTTCGTCGGGCCTGGGATCCCCGAGGAAGTTATTATTATTCTCCTCTGCCGGAGCCATGCTGCTGATCTCTCGGGTCAGTAGCAACTCCTATGCGGGAGAAAACGAATGATCTATGCGGGGGAGGTAAGAAGCATGGACAATTATGTAAGTATGTTGATTTCTTCGTCCTTTTTTCAAATGAATGTCCAAACACTTCAGTCAAAGGGAATATATAGGAGAGAAGGATAAGAAGGTCAAGGATTAAAAAGTTGATAAGAGTTTATATTAGACAGCCTGGTTGAAGAAGCACCGGATGAGATGATCACCGCTCCAGGAAAAGAACGACAAAGCTCCAAACTCACGACAACCGAAAGAAGAAATGAGATGAAGAAAAGAAGAATAAAAAGAAGAAGAAAAGAAGCAGAAGAAAGTCCATCCCCATGTGGTTCCTCAGTGTTGGAACTGATGTCAGCCCGCGTTCCGTCTGGGAGGACTGTCCCCTTGAACCCTGGATATCTTATCTTCCGGGGCCAATCAGACGCCGCCCAGACGCTGTTGGAAGGACGGAATTCGGATCGCAGACATATCCGACAGCTGAGCAGCAGGTTACTTCGCCAGTGGAGGCCAAGAGAAAGTTTTTAGCTGTGGCGACCTTCCTGCAACAAACTACGGAGTACTCTGTATGAAGATACAGACCCGAGTATCAGAATTTATACAGAGGTGAGATAATATGATATATCTGCATAAGGCATCGGCCCGTGTGGCGTGCATATCTTTGTCTCCTCGTGCACCAAGAAGCACATGGCTGTCCTACACGATATGTTAACACGCAAATATAGTACGTAGCGTAGGGAAGTCTCACCACCACCTACACACCTCCTCCATCGTACTATGAAAGGGGGGAGTACGGGGTTTCCCGACGGAGAACGCAAGGAACATCCTCCTTTTCTCTGCCTTGACGTTGGAATGATGCAGGAGGACGGAAAGCGGGTTTTGCTTACCCGCCGTATCGTATGTATCGTATACAGAGAAAATTACAGTGCTAATACCTGTGACTAAGCATAAATCCCGGCTTGGCGTTCACGGAAGCTTGTCGGTCCGGGAGACCCGTGTCTCCGCCGGCAGTTGGTATCCCCAGCTACGGAAGTATGCTATGTAGGTACGATCTACAAGTTGTTCAAGGGGCTACATGATTAAGATTGAGTGCAAACGATTATCAAGATGGCCATACTCCAGTTCCTGCTCCAAGGCTACTTCTTTTACGACTCTTGTCCGCTGGAGAACTGAAATCTATCCGAAGACGCTAAAGATGTCTATATCTACCAGAGCAATTTTGAGTATGGGGTGACTCCGTACACAAGTAATGTAATACCAAGAATACAGAAGAAACTATAAAAAATTAAAGTGAAAATACTCCTAATCTGCCTCGTGCAATTATACATATCAGCGGGTACTAATTATAGGGCGGTTATTTTGACCAACCAGTGTAAAGCGGCTTTGTTGGACAGGGCTTGGCGGCGCTAAACATTGCTATTATGTATCTGAAAAGCCTCGTCTTCGACGCCCGTTGGTATTTTCTTCATCCACAAAATCAAAATGTGGATACTCGTGGCTCTTCCTTTTAAGAACAATTATTCTTTCTATCCCTATTGTGTATATATGTTGGAGCAAACTGAGTTACATATCTTTTTATACTGTTATTACTATTATTAATAGCAACGACAGTTGTTCACGTGATCTATCACTTACCTAATCTCACTAGACCGCCAAGTCCCTGGGGCTTGTTAGGGTCAGGTGACTCTCTCGAGACCTTATGTATGATTATCCAGGAAGTTAACCTTGGCACTGCTTGAGTCGCGCGCAAACCGGATGTTCCATCAAGAAAAATCGCGTCCTGGGCTTCTTTTCAGTTTAGTAGGCACCTTTTGATCAAACGTTTGAGGGTTCTCATCAGTTAAGGAGGGCCTAAAAGATGGCTACCCAGCGTTACCCTAGAGGCAATTTTCGACGATTCAAAAGAAGCGCCACAGTTTCGACATCCGTGGCGTCTGCATATCCCTATCCCCACATCCCGGAGGCTGCACAAGACAGGGCTGCGGATACGTTAACTGGCCCGTTTGCTTCCGAACCGTTTTCTGTCCAACGAGTCGTGCAGAGTAAGTCAACCCAACCCCGATTGTGGGCCCAAGGTGCTGATCAGCCCACAAGGAACAAGCTCTTCTGAATGGGGAGATGAGGCGACAGCGACGGCACGCTCCACTCTTGAGCCAATCGTGAACGCTGGGAATGAAGAGCTCTTTCGCACGTTCCATCCCGCGTTAGCGTCTGTGGCTTGTGTAATGGCTGTCCGTCTCCGGAGAAGCGAGCCGTATATCTGGGTTGTTGTTCTTCAACCCGATACGGATACCGACGCCATTGGCACCCATGCTGGGGATAGGGAGATCCACTTCCGTCCTGCGTTTCTCTCTGCGTGGCGCGAGGGCGTCTTACTTGTTGGGCCGCCTGGGCCACAGAGATTGCCAGTCAATGTGAGGCGTATGCTCACTGCTAAAGATCTGAACGACGCGCGACTCTACTGGCCAAAGTCTATCGGCATTAGAATTCTCATCTCAGGACTCGCCCTTATGATATATGCAAACAAGAGCGATTTGCATCGGGACAGAGAACGTTGCCCGTTGACCTTTGGGGAATTGGAGGTTGGATATATTTTAGAAGATTACATCCCAACAGCAGATACACCGGGGCGAATCGTGGATATAGGCCATACTGTTGCTCTAGCAGAAGCTGCCCCACCATCCGCAGCCCTTGGGCTACGTTTGCGTCTTCGAAACGGTGTCGAAGCAATTACTGTTGTTACGCATGCGTTTATACCTGAGTGTCGAGGGAGCGTTATGGAATATTTCTCTTATTGGGTGAACAATGCTAAGAAGACGCTTTCAAGATTTCTCCCGTTTGCAGCAGCAAAGAACTTACCACTAGATGCTGAAGTTCGTGAGGCTATCACCTACCGCTCCCCGTTGGGGAAAACAGTTTGGCTTGCAAATACGAATACCAAGGTAAAATCCATCAGCCAACACACTGCGTTAAATATTTATGGTGCATGTTCTAACATTTTCAGATTGGGAGAATTGCATATACGTATGATGAGCCGCATCCGTCCCGACCGTACCCATCGGGGTACAAACATGATCTTTCCCTAGTTGTTGGCCAGCTAGTTGATCTTAAGCCGCCCTGGGGTATCCAAGAAATGAAATGGGCTGAGTATCAAGATGCTCTTGATAATGCAGGTTCTGCATTTATTTGCATGTTTCAGTCCCCCGATGATGACGGGGCCGCCCGACGTGGCTGTATCTCTACCGAGCAAGCTCCCCGTGCAGTTTTAGAAGGAACAGAATACCTCTGGGACAGAGAAAACATGACTTCGAGTGCTGCGCTAATTTGGCGCACTATCCCTACATCTATCGATCTAAGAAGCTGGTCTGGTTGTGCCCTGTGCCTGGGAAGCCCCTCCGATAGGACCGTCCAAGTTGTTGTCTTCCAAAACTTTCAGTGTGTAATTCGGAAAGATGGAACAGAGTCTGATCCGAACGGGCCGACAACTTTTGATTATTTCAAGGGCGGGTTCCTCTTACCAGAGGATATAAGACAAGCAGAGATCATACTAAGCCCACAGGAACTTCCCGCCAGGAGAGCCTTTCAATCTGAGCCCACATCGGATCCTCCTACTCGTGGGCATGGATGGAAGGAGTTCAGCTCCCCATGCTAGTTCAGAGGTTGGGTCGCATATTTAGGCGTCAGGCTACTGCATTCGTGGGTTTTGTTACTTGTCTTTTCTTACTTTCTCTGGGATGCATGATGCAAAGGATCGCTTAATTAAACAGCCTTCGAAATTTTTCCCTAGCCGATATCCAGCTACGGTGGGATAAACGTCTTCACCATATATATATTTCTTAATTGCCAATTCAGTATATCGTAGAACTATAGCAGGATGGTCGTTCGCTAGCTCGAATGGGTTGGTGGCTTTCTGAGCCCCTAGCTTCTCTAGGCCCTCCAAAGACCAAGCCCCGGAGTCGTTAAAGATGAGCGGAGCGTAACCTAAGAAATCTTCAATTCGATTCGATATAGGTGTGGCGGTGAGGAGTAGGTAAAATTTTGGTTCCAGCCATAACACCACGGAGGCCGTTTGTGTCTCCCTATTTTTCACTAGGTGTGCCTCATCGAGCACCACAGTGCCGAATAAGTCACAAAGATTTTCGGGCCATCTTTTATCTGAAGTCTTGGAGAGTTTCTGTATTTCTACGAGTTTTAGACCCAACTCCTTTCTCCGCCAGCGTCCAAGCGAAGTGGGGCCATGGCGTGAAGAAAATGATTGATATGAGGTTACGACGATGCATCGGCGCCGTTGTTTTGTTCCATCAAATATAGGATGCTTCTTATCCAATATTTTAGAGATTCTCTGCGCTTTGTCTGCAACAGAGCTTCGTTTATCTCCGTAGTAATAGTAGATGTTGATGTTTGCGCAGACCTTGTACAGCTCCTCTATCCATTGCGCAATCAGGTTCGGAGGGACTATGATGAGAATTGGCCGTGGCTTCGGCGCATCCTTACCAAGTGTTTCATCACGTCGTATTTGCTGTCGGGAACACCAAGGTCAGCCTCTCTCCTAGTTTGTTCAAGCTTTCAAGGAGAAACTCACAGCCAAAAAGAACCCAATGGCCTCCCAGGTTTTGCCTAAGCCGACTCCATCCGCAAGAATAGCCCCCCGTAAGTATGCCTTAGTTTCAAACTCTAGCAGAGCTTGGATTGCAAGTGGCTGCCACACTTTAAGCAGAACACTGCGTCTCATACCAACGACCCGGGGTTTCGAAGAACTAATGCCTAATGCATTGCATGATTCTATATAATCTTCTCGTTGAAACAAGGTGTTATCTAGCCATTTCTGCTGTTCTGTAAAGGTTCTGAGCTCCTCCTGATTGGGTTCGATTAAAAATGATACCCGGTCATGGCCATCTTCGAGATCCACAGCTTCGAGCTCCTTACTCCACATGAAGGCGTCCAAATTGTCGTTATGGTGTGAGGTATCATCGCACAGACAGCTGTCAAAAGTTTCACAAGCGATATTGGCTTCAGCCAAAGCTTTCTCGACGAAACGAGCCTGCCACCATGGATCGGACATATCCATTGTTTCCGACTTGCAGACGAGTGGTTTTGGAAGATGAGTCTTTATTAGCCAGTCAGGTTCAACCTGGAGATTTTCTGCTTTGCGTTTACGACTTGGCTCGGCTTCAGGGGCCTTGCTGACATTAGATCCCGTTCCTTTCTGACGGCTTGGAGCAAGACAATAGTTCTCCCTCTGGAGAACATACCATAGCAGCACGTCGACAGTTTGAACGGGGAGATTATGCTGGAAAAATAGGCCCTCGACGGACCGCATATTAGCAGCCCGGACAGTAAGTAGAAACCATGCATGCCAATCTAGCCTCGTCCACTTAGAGGTGTCGTGGTGCTGGGAGGAGTATTTCATCTGTCCGGTGCTCTCACCCCTTAGAATTGCCGCACGCACGTCATGTAAAGAGGACCCTCTGACGCGTTGTTTCCGGTTCTTAGCTGCTGCCTCTCGCTCTGGTCGCAAGACCTTCGTCTGTAGCTCCTCCCAGGCTGGTTTAATAGAGACTTGGGGATGTGTTCAACGGACGCGAGAAATTGTAATAGTGGGGTATTAAGGAATGGTAAGGGAGGACATTATTAGCGCTTTTTCCCTGTATCATACTCAATATCGGCGTCCGTATCATACGGGATACCCTCACCCACAACTATTATTATTTAGTAGAAATAAAATAAATAAAATAGTAAGGGTATAGAAGACTTACTCCGTGGTCCATACTTTCGTGCTATTGCAGCGTTTTCTTCGGGGGTATTATTTTTTATATCCTCGAGGACTTTCTCAAACCAGGCACCACGTTCTTCCTCGCTATCAAAGACTTTTGAAGGAGTAGTAGGAGGAGAGGTAGACTTGGGTAAGGCGCTTTTAATCATAGTAGAGTCAAGTGACGATATACTTGTAATATCCGTTGAAGCTGCTGGAGAATCGGCTGATGATACGCTTGTATAGTCTGCTGTTGCGTTCGCACCTTCGGCTTTTACCGAGGGAGGGCCCATCTTAGCTGTTGCTTTCTTGTGGTTTGACATGGTTTTGGCTATTATAATTTGGGAGCAGAGAGGGCTTCTGGTGCGCGTTTATAAAGTGTACGGCTGGCGAGGCAAATTTATATCGTCATCAACTAACTCAACTGTAAGTTACTCGGTATTAGGCGGGAGACAGTGACGTACGGGCAGATGCATATAGAAAGGTCAATATAAAGCAGCAGATAGAACTGAATAGGCGGTTATCGGATGGTGGGAGGGAGAAACTCCAGGATAGTGATTGATCTAACTATATCACAGAACAAGGGGCAAAGAGATGCCCGAGTTCTACGATACTGGTGGAGGCTTTATTAGTCATCAGAGCCTGGAGTTAAAGCGGCGAGGAGGGCCGTCTATATCGTGGAGCGCTAGCTGGGGCGCCTTCCCCGACCAGGAACGCTATACCGGATCGGGGAGGTCCAGGAATACGGAGTAAATGGGGGTGTCACCAAATTCACTGACACAGGTGGTGGCCTTTGGATGCAATTTATGTGGCCTTCTTGGTGAGGTATTTGATAAATATCGTTTTATCGCCGCTTAATAATTAGGATATAGCCGCCCGACATAGGTCTTTTTATAGTGGAGCTGCGAGATGAATATAATAAGACTATTAACGCTATAGACGGGGACGCTATAACACGCTTTCCCTTAAACGTCAAATTTAGACCTAGATGAGATTATAAGTAAGATGAACACGCATATCAACAAGGAAGAGGATGAATATCTTCCGTTAGAGGCGGTGCTCGACCCGTCAGAGTTAGAGTAGTTAGCCCAGACCTTTGAGTGGACCAAGGTACTGATGCATCCCGATGCTGCGGCCGAACAGCCCATGTTTGAGACTGCATTGGCCCTGGTACAGGCTCCCATTGATCGTGCTGCAGACCTCATGAAGTGATTTCCGGAGGAGTAGTCTTATATTTTCCTACTTATTACACACGCAAAACAGGACGACTTCGATAACACTGTTTATTTCGACCCTTCTGAGCAAATCGCATATCTAAAGTTGTTGATACTGGAAGACCATATATTGAGTATAATCTGTTTTACCTGTGCGTACTGTTTGGCCCTGCTCTCGTGCTCGCAAAACTGAACAAACTGGTACAAGTATGCAGAAATGAGTTCTTCTTTTTCGGTACCTTCTGCAGCCGTGGAGAATTGGACGGAATACTCGTATATTTGCTGTAATGGCTGTATATGCTGGCAGCGATGATAGAGCATATACCATTCGACCAAAAGATCATACACAGTGATGACGTTCGTCATCTCTGGTCGCTGCACTACTTATATGCTTGATGTTGGAATGCCACGTGATGTGGGCTTGGTGGGCGTACATGCTGCGTGGCATGACATTTGCATTTTATTTGATGTCTTGCTTGGTAGAAGCCCGCTCCATGAGATACGACGTTGGCATGGCTTCCATGTGATCATTCCGTTGAAGCGGAGTTGGATACCTACTTTAATTCTATAGATAGTTAGTATTATTTATTAAAAGTATAAATGTCTAGTAGGAGTCTTACCTGAAGAGACAAAGAAAGGATTCCTGATCGCAGAGCTGAAGTATACAGTTATGCATTGCTTTGACATAGCTCTGTAAGGGCTGGAAAGCTGTGAATTTAGAACTTTTAGAGGCCTATTACATATTAACAAAAAATAAAACAAAAATAAAACAAGTAAATAAGACAGGCATACCTTAAACAATAGTGTGAGATTATTGGAGGATTTGTCAAGATTCCAGTGCCCCTTGTAGCCGGAGATGGGCTTTTCATCCTTTACTTCGAGAATTTTCCTAGCAGAGGAGTCGATAATGGTGCCGTCTCTACTAAAACATGCACGATGTATTCCGTTGAGCTCAGCGAATTGAAATAGTGTAGGGGTGATCACTGTTCTCGAGACGCGACGCAATGTGAATGGCAAAAGAAGTACACAAGCCGGTGCCATTCTTCCAAAGGGGAAACAAGTCTTCCGCTGTAAACATCTGAACTTGAAGCATCTCCTCTATTTTTTATTTGCTGATTGACCTCTCTCCTGTGACAAACATATCTAGTTCGATGTGAAGTTGTTTTAAAATGAAATCGAGCATGATGAACGAAGTAAAGCAGGAGTTAACCCACGCCTCCTCGTAGACCAAAGACTCCATTTCTGAAAGAATTAAACTGTAGTAAGTAGAAACTGCTGTTGATTGGACAGAGCACGGGGTAGAATATAGAAATAGACGCGTTAGGACGGGCTTCGATGAGAAAGTAGCGGGTTATTGGTGAGTAAGGATATCAACGCGTGGAAACCTGGGATATAGCTATCTGAGGTGTGAAACGCGTCTTCAAGATAAAGAGTGATGGTCGTAGACGAGTGAGGGTGAGTTGGTCAGAAAGCGAAACCGCACAAAGCCTTCTTGGGAGGAAAGGACGGTGGAAGTTATTAGCGCCCCTCTCCCGTGGCATACTCGATGTCGGCGTCCGTATCGTAAGGGATAGGCGAGGATAACTATTGTCTTTCAGCAAAAAAATAACATAGCTAGGAGGTCTGGAAGACTTACTCTTTGGGCCATACTTCTGTATAAACGCAGTGATCTCCTCAGGGCTTTTTTTTTTCATATCTTCCATAATTTTATCAAACCGGGTCAGAGCTTTCTTGCCTTGACGCTCTGTTGAGGGGATCGGGGAGGACGACTTGTGTGAGGGACTTGAGGCCGTATCCAGCGACGCAGGTTCAGTCAAGGACGGACTCGTGACGTCTGTTGAAGCTGGAGAATCGGCTGTTGCCTTCGCAACGGTCGACTTGGCTGAGGGATGACACATCTTAGCGGTCATCTTCTCCTGGCGAGACATCATACTAGTTGGAAATTTTGAAGCAAAGGAGGAAAGACAGAAGGCTCTGGGTATGTTCCTGTTGTGGATTATGTATATGCTCTTCGGGAGGCGAGGGATATATGATAACGTCACCGACTCTGAGCCACTCGATGCAAAACCGACAGCAGCAGCAGCGACTTTGTGCGTGATATGGATTAATAGTTAATCATCCGCCAATCAGCGATGAATGCTTTCGAGGCTTCGATCTTATCCATTTCATCGATTTCATCTTCTTTGCTGGGATGTAAAAAAGACAAGCAACTCTTCTCATGTGTTGATATATCTGTTTCTAGTACTCGAGTTATAAACAAGCACATATGCTAGCTAGGCTCAATCCCGTGGATCACCAGATGCCCCGCAAATGTGGCATTAAATTTCAAGTTCTTTAATACATAGTATGACTGGTAGATGGGTGGTAGACAGGTGGCAGCGTAATGCTGGAGCTACATAGTAGGTCGTTAAAGGGGCAAGGAGAGCCTTACCCAATTTGGAACGCTATACCGGATCAGAGAATTTGGTGAGGTCTAGGAATACAGAGTGCTTGCTATTAAACATGGAAAAATAACAATGATCCAACGGAACAAATACAGCTCGAGAGGATGGAATGAAAACTAGAGACACGAAAGGCCTGAGAAGGTTGATGTGACGTACGGTGTATATGCAGGGCTGACAGGCAGTTAAAGAAGAATAGGTATATGCATGAACGGGTTAATAATAAGTAAGAAGAATTGAGTGCCTTATTGTCGCTGATAATTAGGCAGTTCATAACTGTCGTCCAACGGCCGTTCGGAGCCGTGGGTTGGATGTCGCTCGACGCCAGAGGACCACATCGTGCCGTGCATTTGTGTGTCGTCGTACATCCCTTGGGTGTCCACGCTGCCGGAACGCGGATCCAGAGATTGACTCCGGCCCGGGGCTGGGTCCGGCTCCTCATCGGCCACGGTAGCATGGTACCGTCCTTGTTCCATGAGGTCTTCGTACTGGCCTCCTGCGTCACGAGTCCGGCTGCGGGATGGTGTTCCCCGACTGCTTCCCATGCGGCCGAAAAATCGGTTCCGATGGACGGACGAAGCGACGCTGCCCCTTGACTGGGAGAAATTGGACCGGCGGGAGTCATTAGAGTTTCGCTGATTTGATGGAATCCTGTCCATTGATACATCGTGGTCTTTCTCTTGCTGTCGACGCTCAGCGGCTTCGAGATTGGTGGAGCGCACGATGTCTTCTACCCGCTTTCCACGGTCCCAGTAAACATCGGAAATCATATCGTCCGAGCTAACGGCTTTCATGCCAAGGGAAAAGTCAACGCGTTTGGGAGCACCGCCCAGAGAGCGGTTTGAGGCCGTAGTGCCGGATCGATCGCGGTGACGGAGTATCGAGTGGGTATGGTGTGGGATGTGGACGGCAGAAGACGGTGCCAGATCCCCCACGGCATCGCGGGCTTCAGAGGTCTGCGATACATCGGTCATCGCGCCGGGGGTGTTGGCACCGTGTGTGGGAGCGCTGGTATACTGTGGCGGAGCACCCTGATGAGTAATATGGGCTGGAAGATCGGATCGGTATCCGACCAGGTTCATGCGTGGCCCTTCGATGTTGAGCTCCTGTAGGCAGATCATTAGGTTGCAGATGAACTTGTTGCGGCGCTGCAAACGGAGCAGTTCGTTCTGCCAGTTGGATTTGTAGAAGAACACTACGTTCAGAGTAATGGAGTAGTTCTCCGTTACCTCCTTGAGCTCGGTCAGCACCTGGGTCTGAAACTCGCGTTTTTCTGAAGTGACAAAATCTAGTAGCCTCTGTCGTAGCGCATCGATTTGCTCCAGTGTGGTGCCGAACTTGATTATGACAGGGACAGCTTCGGCAAGCCCACCACTACGACGCTGGTTAAGAATGAAGAGCGTATTCAGATAGCTGTTTGGAGCCTGGACGACGTGGCCCTGCATCTTCTTGAATTCAGTGTACAGCAAGGCAATCTCTTTGACGAAGTAGTCGTCCCCGGTAAGATTTGAGCCGGTATTACCGTAGATGGACACTCGATCGCCAACATCGAAAGGATGTTTGACGAAAACGAAGATGATACTCTGGAGAAATTCCTGGGCCGTGGCAGAGAAGAGCCAGGAGAGGGCCAACAGTGTTGATCCAGCAGATGTAAGAACTCCGGCGGTAGAGGCTGAGATAAGAGATAAGAAAACCAAGATGGTGATTACCACCACAATAAAGAAGAAGACATCGTCAAGCTTGGAGACAACAGAGTCGAGATCCTTGAGAGACGCGGTAATGGATTTACGCTCCTTTCCAGTCTCGACACAGACGGCTTCAAGCTCCTCCATGGAGATATCACCGTTCATGTCCTTGTCAAACATTTGAAAGGCAGCTTCAGCTTCCTCGTTGTTGTCAAATGCAGACTTGAGGTCTCCGGCAAAAACAGTATCAAAGCCATCTTTGACAAAAGTGCGGTACAAGCGGCGGGCTAGCACCTGGCTTCCTGAGGTAGAACGGAGTAGAGTCAAGACCACCTGGTGAGGATGGTTGCTCGAATTGACGCGTCTACCGGTAAAGTCTCCGGCAACGGCACCAGCGACGTCACCGACTTTGCTTAGGGCTCCCCGAGCGACTTTTTGAGCACGATCAGCATATACCATTGGGGTCCTGACGCCCGAGCTGCGTTTATCAGAACTCTCTTCCAGATCCGAGTCGTTCATATTGGTATGTTCCTTGGAATAGGTATACAGCTTGGTCAGACTACCAATCTGAAACTTATTGATCTCGATACGGTCTGCATAGGTTCGCAGATGAAAGCTGATGGCGATAAGCTGGATGATGAGCTTCTCAATCAGGTTCAGCGTCATACCGACGAAAATCGAAATGATGATCTTGTTCACGATGGTTTCCCATTCTTTAACAGCACGGTTCCCGTCGACGTGATGCGATATCATGGTCGGTAGAAACGAGATTTCCACGCTCAGCCACCAGAAGAAAAGCGCCGCAGGTAATTCTAGCTGAGATGCTAGGTCACGCCACTTCTTCGAGTTATTGGTGAATAAGCTGGCAATGATGGCCACGGGGAATTGAAGGAACTTAGCCAGGATTCTGCCTGCCCACAGCGTGAGCCAGACGATCTCAAGCCAGACGGAGAACCAGAGCAAGCTGACGCCGCCGACTGTGGCATCTTTGAAGACAAAAGCACCCAGCAGTAGAGGGATGAGTATGATGAGAACCAAAGGGATGATGTAAGTGAAATATCGGACGAGGAAGCTCGACTCGTGGACTTTCTTGAAGAAGCGAGCAACGGAGTTTGTGGGGTTCTCTGGCGGTTTGTAGAGGGAGGCATGCTCGTGTATAGGGTTCGTAGCCGTGTCGAACTCGTCCACTGGATCCGTACGGTGAGAACGAGCAGGCTTGATTGAGAGCGACCTGCCCCTTTCCGGAAGATCTGTATTGGACACCATCCGCTCCGCTTGCAGCATGGCTATGTCATCGTCTAGACGGAAGGCCTTTTCCCGATCCTGCGAGGGTGTTGGCAGTAGGCACTCGCCGGACTCCCGCTCGACGTTCACCTTCAACCGATCGTCTCTATCATCAGCCATCTCTTCTTCCGCGGGGAAGTCGTACTGTTGACCAGCTTCCCCTCGTTGTTCATCAGACGCGGTGCCTGTTTTGTATTTGGGCTCGGGGCCCTCAAAGACCGGGGTTGACATGTTGTATCAGGTCGTTTTCTTTGTTCTCCCTCTGTTCAGACCATGCATTCCCTGGTAACCTCGGCACAAGCGATAGAAACGGTGGAAGATGAATTGGTGAGGACCGGCGGGTGTACTATGTAGTATATGTAGAGGGGATAACACCAGTAGCGACAGCCGTGTGTTGATGGCAAGAAAAGGGGAAAAAACTGTCAGCAACTCAGACCCGCGGAGATGATGAAGAGAAGATGAATTGAGGGAAAGGACGGGATAAAGACGAAACTTGGAAAGGACCAGCCTCTGCCTGCAGCGGATCTACGGTCATTAATAAGGCTTCTTGTTCAATGATGATGGACCGAAGCTCTCGTCACTAAAAAAAAAATTCACCCAGACCCCTTGGCGCACTCCACCGGAGCCATCGGCGTTTCCACACAGGTAGGACCACCAGGGCGAAAACCGGTAGAAGTGCATGCACTCACCACACTCATAGGCACATGCCGGAGACAGCTGTGACGGGGTGCTGATATCTCGCTCGTCGACGGTTCGAGGCTCTTGACTTGCTTCTTTTGGTTTCATGATAAGCGCCACACGCTTCTCAGCCGCCACCCGCAGGGCCAACCTTAATACTTTAAAAAGCCTTTTTTTTATACGGTAATCGAAGAGGAAGAGGAAGAAGAAGCTGTAGGAGGAGTTCGCGCGTTAGTTACATCGAGGAAGGCTAACGGCCAAGTTCCACTTTATGGAGAATTGGACAGCAGGGCTAGAATCCTGGCACAGCCCCTTGGACGAATGTCTATCCTTCCATAGTATGGCTCAGCCCACTTGGCCGTTCATATGTAGATGAACTCCGTAACTCTCCTCCAATTGATATCTGTATACATCGTACAAGATGAGTTTCTGTGTGTTCCAAGTCTATATGATTGACAGTCGAGGGCGAGCTTACCTATTTATCACCAGCCAGGGGGAAGCATAAAGTCAGGTTGTCTTTGCCACAAGGACGGTCTATAGACTGTTGGGGCCATGTCGTCCGAGACGAACGTCAGACTGTCTTGGATTTATCAGTTAAGAGCTGATAACTTGTAGGCCCATGACGTATGAACTATAGGTATTTTAAGATACACACAAATATATACATGCTGAAGGTTAGATCAGTAACAGTTCATGAGTGGCGTCTCTTCCTTCAGGATCCAAATATCTCGACCAACCCATGAACCACCCTACTGGGAGAAATGAGATATGCCCGGAGAACCCCGTCTAGAGTAATCCATATTAGGCAACCATATTAGGCAGCTCTGAGGCCGTGATGTTGAAGTCCCTGCACAGTAAGCAGGCCCTAGCTAGTGGGAACTGCATAACTAGTGACTGCTCACCATTATTCGTTAACTCTATGGTTCGTGTAGGAGTCCGTATCCTCTACCGCTCTTCCTCCAAACGGGAATCCAGCATCCGTACACCATATACCATCTACTCTGTCCAAGTCTAGACGGATTGATTGACACATACACATACTACTTACACCATTGTGATAACAACTGCCATCGCCATCTCCGAAAAAAGGGGCTAATTCTTCAGGAACTAAAGCACGTGACACGCGAGCCATGGATTGGGAGAACCCGCGTCCGAGTAAACAGACAGCGGCAGCCTGCATATCAGACACTCGAGGTTATCCGTGACACTTGATGTATCCAGCAGTAGTATTCGACACGAGTAGACAAGTAGAAGAAGAGAGAGACGGGAGAAAAAAGAGAAACGAGAGAGAGAGCGTCTTAGTCAGCTTGTTTATACTGGGGGAAAAACCAAGCCCGATTGGGAACTAGCGCGCACACGTCGATCTGGTGTGGAAAGAAAGTCGCAGGGGACGAAAGAAAGGGTGGGCAACTTTCTTCTTCTTCCTCTTCTTCCTCCTCTCCCTCTCCTGTTTTTTCTCTCTCTTCATCTTCGTCTTCACCAAACTCCATCAGAAACACATCTCTCTCTTCCTCCCTTACCCCCCCCTTTACTCTTATATCCTACAGTCACCATGAGAGGCGAGGTATGTGGTTTGTTCGTTTTTTGTTGACAAGAACCCCTGACCCCCCCAGCTCCTAAACACAGACCATCCTCTGCCCGTCCTGGCCCCAAGCCGTTCCCATACGAGAGCGTAGAAGAGGTCCTCTGTTTCATGCTAACGTCTTCACTGTCAATCTAGGTCTGCCATCTTCATATCGGCCAGGCTGGTACTCAGCTCGGTAACAGTGCTTGGGAGTTGTAGGTTCACCGCCTTTCGTCCCCCTCTCCTATTTGGGAAATTGGGCAAAAAAAAAAAAACACAACATCTCAGATAGAGAGAGAAGACAGAGAAGCAGAAGAGAAAGAGGATGAAACAGACTGACGAGAGACGCGTCCAGGTACCTCCTCGAGCACGGTTTGAAGGCTGATGGCCGTCTCGACCCCGAGGCCACTGATATCGGTGAGCCAGGATCCTTCGAGACCTTCTTCACCGAGACCAGAGACAATAAATATGTCCCTCGCTCCATCTTCGTCGACCTCGACCCTTCTGTACGTACCTGGCGTGTAACAGCTTGCAATTGGACTCTCCTACTGACGGAAAATGTAGCCAATTGACGAAATCCGAACTGGTCCTTACCGTCAGCTCTTCCACCCTGAGATGTTGATCAGCGGAAAGGAGGATGCCGCCAACAACTGTACGTACAGGCGTTTGATTGTGTGAAAAAAGAGATGAATGCTAACTGGTGAGAATAGATGCCCGTGGTCACTACACCATTGGAAAGGAGCTCGTCGACAATGTCATTGACCGCATCCGTCGTGTTGCTGGTAAGTTTGAGCCCCTCCATCGCGTCTCATTGGTCAGGGGTACTGTGTGTCTGTGCTAACCGTTGCAGACAACTGCTCTGCTCTCCAGGGCTTCTTGATCTTCCACTCCTTTGGCGGTGGTACTGGTTCCGGTTTCGGTGCTCTTCTCCTTGAGCGTCTCTCCACCGATTACGGAAAGAAGTCCAAGCTGGAATTCGCTGTCTACCCGGCTCCTCGCGTCTCTACTGCCGTTGTTGAGCCATACAACGCTGTTCTCTCCACCCACAGCACCATTGAGAACTCCGACTGTACCTTCTTGGTCGACAACGAGGCTGTCTACGACATCTGCCACCGTAACCTTGACATCCCCCGTCCAGGATACGAGCATCTCAACCGCCTCATTGCCCAGGTTGTCAGCTCCATCACCTCCTCCCTTCGCTTCGACGGTGCCCTCAACGTCGACCTTAACGAGTTCCAGACCAACTTGGTGCCATACCCACGTATCCACTACCCATTGATCAGCTACGCTCCTGTTGTCTCTAGCAACCGAAGCTCCCACGAGTCTTTCAAGGTTCACGACTTGACCTTCCAGTGTATGTATTTGTTCTTCCGTGCTCTTGTTCATCTTGATACTAACACGTATATCCAGGCTTCGAGCCAAACAACCAGATGGTCGTCTGCGACCCACGCAACGGAAAGTACATGGCTGTTGCCCTTCTGTACCGTGGTGATGTCGTTCCACGCGACTGCACCGCTGCCGTTGCCGCTCTCAAGGCCAAGACCTCCTTCAACCTCGTTGAATGGTGCCCAACTGGATTCAAGCTCGGAATCAACTACCAGAAGCCAATGCGCGTTCCTGGCGGTGAGCTCGCTCCAGTTGACCGCTCCCTCAGCATGTTGTCCAACACCACCGCCATTGCTGAGGCCTGGAACCGTCTCGACCATAAGTTCGACCTCATGTACTCCAAGCGTGCCTTCGTCCACTGGTACGTTGGTGAGGGTATGGAGGAAGGTGAATTCTCTGAGGCCCGTGAGGATCTTGCTGCTTTGGAGAAGGATTATGAAGAAGTTGCCAGCGACAGCTTGGACACTGAGGGTGATGAGGGTGCCGAATACTAAAAATCCTCTCTCAATCTCTCCCTTTTTTCTTTCTTCCTGGACCCTTTGACTTTTAAAAAAAAAATAATTAGGAGAATGGAGAAATGATATCCCACCCCTTGTCTCTGCTTTTTGCTGCCTCATATCCCACATCCTTGTTTTAATTTTGTCAATTAACTATACCTTTTGCACTTTTTGCTCAGCAGGCAAACACACCCATGCGCACCTTTTGACTGTTGCGCATTCCTTCTTTTAGTATGCAGAGTATGCCAACAAGTGTTCTACCATGACGTACTGAAGGATTCTTCTACTAATAAATATACTTCATTACCCATTCTCTCCTTTGATTATACCTTTTTACGGCGTAAATATGAATAGATTAAGGTATTATTAACATGCAGAAACCTGGAGCTTAACCCAATCCCTTTATACCCTTTATACCTTTTATACCCGCAACCAAAAACGCCCCCATCTAACCACCCGTAAAGTAAACTAATGGTACAGAAGAAAACCCCCCGATCAGTCCCGGTCGGAATCCAGCTCCTTCAAGACTGCCATCACCCTCTCATATGTCCACATAGTCACCGCACTTGTCGGCGCAGCCTTTATCAAACTCACCGTCAAACCCCTATACAGCCCTCTGATGCCCTGCGTCCGTACAATAGTCTGGATAGTGCTCACTACGCCGTGATATTCAGGTATATTCATATGCACATACCTCGACCGCGTAGGCCCTTGAACCTGCAACCTCTTCCGAACAAGATCTAACGGAAATACACCCGTCTTCGCCATCACGCTCGCAATAATACCGGCCGTAGCATCTCCAGACCCAAAAGGTAAATCAACGTAACTTATCGGTTGTCGAAGCGATTCGTACGCGGCAAAAAATAGACCCATATAAGGAACGACCTGTGCAACAGCGGCACTGATACCACGGAAAAACCCACTGGGTCCTTCATGGCGGTATATATCTCGTATCGAAGAGGCGAGGGAATGGTATACCTTGTCGTTCCCCTGGGCTGCGAAACGGGTGCGTAATAGGTCAAACGGGTACGTTGAAGCCGTTGCTACTCCACCTGCTGTGGCGCCGCTTATGAATGACTCGACGGGAGCTGGGGCTCGGTGCTGTGGTGGAAGGAGGTGTAGTAGCTGGGTTACGCTGCGGTATGCCGTAAATTGAATTCCGCCGTAGCATATGTAGAGGATTTCAGCGGGGATGTTTCCTTTCCAGAGGCCCTGGTGTAGATGTTAGAATGGCATTGGAGACGTAGGATGTAAGGCATGGGTACCGTTATGCCCTCTTGCCGCGCAATAGCGACGAGAGTGGAAATTGTTCCTTTGTATATCGGCCCTTTGACATCACGGTGCGATAGAGGATCGGAGAGGGAATGGACCTGAAGTTGTAGTCGTATCTTCACGACGTCTAGCGGTGCGATGCAGAACCTGGTAGATGAGGCGGAAAGGAATCAAATCAGTTGTGGTTCTATGTGTATCTATGTGTAGTAGCGACGAGATATGCGATAGTACCTCGAAACGAGCCCTGCAATGGCACCGGCGACCACCACCTGAGTTCGGTTGCCCTATTACAAGATCTAATTAGTACTGACGAAGACATAGGGTGCTGGATTCATTAAAGAGGATGTAATTCACGGCCTACCTCATCCTTCAGATGCTCACCACCTGCAGACATTCATCAACACCAGAAGCGAAAAAGTGACGTGACCTTAGGAAAACCAGCTAGGCTTAGAATCCAACCAGATAAAAACCCGAAATATACAAAACTTGGTGAACAGCGGATTAAAAAAACGAGTGTAGAATTCAAGAGCAAGCAAGTTGGAATTTCATGAAATTATTTTGTTGAATCTAAGAACGTATTTACATGATTACGTAAGGACTAAAACCCCCCATAAAGTTGAAATGTTTTTTCTCGAGTTTACGAACCGAAACCAACACCTCATTCAATGACCATGTTTGTGGCTGGCTCCAGAGCCCTGCGGCTCGCATGCAGGTCTACCAGGACTAATTTTCCACAGGCGCAACTGGTTCTGGCCTCATATCCTCTTCAAGCTCTCGCGGTACCTCGATATTACACATCCTCATCCTCTGCGATCGCTGAGAGCCGAAAGCCGGTGGATGAGTCCGGTTTACCAGGACATGACGGCGCAAAGCTGGTTCCGGACAGCAATAGCTCACCAGTTTCCACTCATAATGTGACAGTCCGAACGGAAGCGCAAACGCCCTCCAAAAATGGTGTAATCCGCTTCGTTACGTCCGGGTCTTGGGAAACAGTTCGGAAGCCCACTAGGAGAGTCGCGCGCCCGAGGAGTTCTCCAGATACTAGAGATCAGTGGCGGAATAGGGTCAGTCATATCCCAGTTGAAGTTAACGGAAAGCAGTTTCTTTTTGAAAGTGCGCATCTCCGGGACAGCTGTGCTTGTCCGCGCTGCATTCATCCATCCACGAAACAGCGCACTTTCGAGACAGCACAGATACCACGGGAAATATTCGCTAAAAAGCTCCATATGGAGAAAGATTCACTTATAATTGAATGGGGAAATGATATTGAAGGATTCGAAGGCCATACTTCTACTTTCTCAACCGGCTATCTCCAAACTTTGACGAAAGTAGAGTGGTCATTTCGTCCCGCAGACCCTGCCTCCTATTGGGATAATTCAAAATTCCAGAAGACCAATCACTGGATCTCGTACGATGATTATATGAACAATGATAAAGAATTTCGCTCTGCCATGGCACAGCTAAGCAGATATGGGTTACTGTTCTTAAAAGGTGTGCCAGAGGACACGGAGAGCGTTTCAAGGATAGCCACTCGGATTGGGCCTGTTAAAAATACCTTCTACGGCTCGACTTGGGATGTTCGAAATATTCCTAACCCCAAGAATGTCGCCTACACCAATGTCGACCTTGGCTTCCACATGGATCTTCTCTATCTTGTTCAACCCCCTGGGCTCCAATTTCTCCATTGTATGAAAAACGAGCTACCAGGCGGTGAATCTCTCTTTGCAGATAGCTTCCACGCCGCAAAAATTCTTCGCAAGACCAGTAGGGAGCAATTCAACCTCCTTACCAAAGCCTGGATGACTTGGGGTTACAACAATGATGACCAGATCTATTCGGCCACACGTAGGGTTATTAACGTAGTCAGCCAATTTCCAGGCACAATCAAGGATATAAACTATTCTCCACCGTTTCAAATGCCTTTTTGGAATAGCCGCCCCGGAGAGCCTGGAAGTCTTTGCACCCGTGTGGCCGCGGCATTGAACAGCTTCAAATCCATTCTCGAGGACAAGAGAAACATCTTTGAGTTGAAGATGAAACCGGGTGAATGTGTCATATTCCAAAATCGACGAGTCGTACATGCTAGAAGGGCGTTTGGCGACACAGACTCACAGCCTGGTGGAGACCGATGGCTGCGTGGATGTTACATAGATAGCGATGTGGCAGCCTCTAAATTTAAGACTCTAAAGGTATAAGATTTATTTTTGAGTCCTAGTCATGCGGCTTCATCATTCCGTGCACATGCACGGCTTGTACATTCAGCAAGGACTAATTAAAAGGGGGACCCTTGGATACATTTTCTCCACCACATCCATTTTACTCTTGATGAAAGATGGGAAAAGATCAAATAATGCTTGTATTCCAAGCTCGTTCACAGTTTCCCTTATGTTTATATGAAAGATGCTGGGTATGGATTTTGGAGTATACTCTGTGGACAGATAAAAATATCACCCTAGATAAGTGAGTTTACTAAACGGTACACTCGTACTAAAACATTTATAACAGGTGTCTAAGGAGAGCAGGGATATCTAAGAAGGTACTGTAGATGGCACTTTTGGAACAGAATAATCACGGAGGAAGTCTGGGTTGGCTTCGATTTCTTCCTTGACCTGCGTTAAACAGGGTTAGTACTTGAAATGGAAAGCAAATAAAGAAGTGAAAGGCAGATCTTACAATATCCAGGCCACCAACAAGCTCACCCTTTACCCATAGCTGTGGGAAGGTGGGCCAGTCTGCAAACTCCTTAAGTCCCTGCCTTACGTCGTCATCTGCAAGGATATTGAAAAACCCATACTTGACACTGTTCTCTCGTAAGATGCTAACTAGCTGCCGGCTGAAACCGCATTGAGGCGCACTGGGGGTCCCTTTCATAAATAACATCACCGGGGCCGCCTTGACAAGCTCTCCAATTCTAGCAAAGAGCTCCTCCTTGGAAGGGGACTCCTCGGCAGCACGGCCATTAATCCCATTTGTGCCTTGTCCCGCAGACGGTGCTTGCGGTATTTGATGATTCTGCTGTTGCTGCTCGTCTATTTCTCTAGGAACGGCTTCAAGTGGTGGGGGGATAGATTGTTTCTCAGTCGAGCCCGCATCTGAAGATGGCTGGTAATGCTTCTCAATCGCCTCACGGACTCTAATCGGATTTGAGCCAGAAATGCTTTCAATGATCGTATTATTCCGGCTTAGTACCACGAATGGAACGGCCGTTACTTCATATTGCTCTGATATCTCGGGGAGTTCTTCTGCGTTAACGCTGACGAAGGAGATGGATGGCGGGGTGGTGGGTGTATATAGAGACGCCAGGGTCTGGAGAACGGTGCGCATCTGAGTGCATGGTGCGGCCCAGGGGGTATGGAAGGAGAGGACAAGGAGTGCCGATGGTGGCAGAGAGGATATGTGAGCCTCAAAGTCGGCCTCTGAGGCGATTTCGTGAAGGTCCGACATGATGGCTTTTCGCCCCGCGGGCTAACAACTTTGCAAAGTGGGATGAGAGTCGTAAGATACAACACTCAGCTTCGGGTGTGCAGTTAGATAGCTTTTGTTAATGACCAGTTCAACTCCTCCTGTCAACTTCTAACGTTAAAATGAGCTTCTCAACTGCCCTCTGCCAGCCTGTTTTGCTGCAGTGACAAATTTACAAGATGGAGAATTACTTTTTGGTTCAAGGATTGCGTTATCTGATTTTTTCTGAGAACATCATTACGGAAGATATTTTATCCGGGGTTATCAGATCAAGTCATGTGATATTTAAAGGCCCTGAGGAAAAAGGAATAAGAGAAAACAAATGGTTGGTTAAGGAACAAAGAGAAGAAAGAGGTGAGGGAGAGGGAGGGAATGAGGTAGACGATATGATGTCAAAGACAAATGTTCATTCTTCAGGGGAACTCCGCTGTTTTGGAACTCTATGGTGATGCCTTGGATAAACTAAAAATAATGGGTTGCTCCTTTACCATGTCTTAGGACCAAAAGTCTCGCCTTTTGCGAGAGGCTGTCGGATAGCGGCTCCTAGGTTGTCTAATGTGTTCATAGACCCTGTATTACCCCACCACGATGGGAACTTGGCGCCTGTCAAGTTGAGGGCGGCAATGACAACGATTGTGGAAATGGCGAGTCCAGCATCCAAAGACGCAGAGGTGATGTAGTTGAAACGCATCCACCATCCTCGGTATTTATTGCGGATATACCTTTGGAAAACGTATCCAACCATGCACCATGCAAGCTAGCCAAAGCCATTAATCAATATGATGGAATTTTTAAAACTGGAGAGAGTAAAAGGTAGCCACTTACATAATTTAATGGTGTAGCGGGAGGAATATACAATCCACTGCCAAATATAACCGGTGCGCTCAAGAATCGTGCATTCGAACGGGGGAAGATGCGGGCGAGGGCGTAGAAGAGGAAGGGAGCAATCGCGCCCACTATCCACAAGTACTGGAGGCTGGCATAGAGAGCGCTTCCGGAGAACATACGAGCGGGGCCGATGACACCCCATATCACAGATGCGCCGAAGAAAACTCTTCCCTGTGGACATGTAAATCTGTTGGCTTGGTGTGGTTGGCATATATCAGCGATATTATCCAAGGCCCAAATCTGCACACCAAGCTGGACGAAACACGACCATATCGTAGCAACAAGTTGTCCCCAGAACAGAGATCGTGGAGGTACTTTCATGTAATGACCAAGCTTTAGATCCTGGACGAAAGAAAGCGCTTGAACCATGGTGATGTAGCCATAGGTCTTGAACAACATCATCGCAAGCGGCCTTCCCGGGAGCATGTAACCGATGATGTACTCCGTGAAAACGTTCAACCCCAGCTGAATATTTGTCGTCGCCTGTACCACACCGATTGGAATAGTCATAACAAGCGAGATAAGAAGGGCGATGAGTAAACCCCACCAGGTGAGGTGAGTAGGAAAAGCAAGACAGGTAACGAGACACAGGGCAACACAGACTGTAAGCAGAATTATATACCACCACCATGGGGCATTCTTATACTTCTTCATCATGCGAGTGTGAACATCATCAAGATCACCGCGGCTGTCCTTTATAACAGTCCATATATGTTTTCCGTGGAAAATGGCAGTGTGGGTAACCACTGATGCGATGGATGCGAAGGATAGCCCATAGGTTAAGGCGAAAGTCGTCGATAGAAAAAGGGGAGAATATGCCTAGGCTAGAGTTAGACGCAGAATACCAGGGAAAAGGGAGGTCGTATAACCTTGTATTTCTCCTCATCGAGTGTGAATTCGGGCGTCAATATTTTTGAAACATTATATGGGTTGGCCGTATTGTCATACGTGGTAGAGTCACTAATTGGAAGGTATTGTGCATACCAGTGGTTGGAGTAGTGCAACCCACAGGTGACTAGGATGAATAAACCAATCGTGCCAATAAGAGTGTTTCCTATTGCGTGCCAGGGGGCAATTAGAGGACTCTGGATATAACCTGTAGTAGTATATTAGTTAGAGTTCGGGTGTAAAAGGGAGCACGAGAAAAGACTTACCAGTTACTTGTGTCCAGTCAAAAGTAATAGGAATAAGTGAAAGGCCGGTCCAGCCGCCAAATAGCTGATTAAGAATAACATTTTTTGGTTTTATGAAGGTAACAATTGCAAAAACACTTAAGCACGGGGCGATAACACCTGGAAACCAGTACCAGATGAATGAGCCCGCAAAGACGTACAGGAAGTATCGATAACGTCCAATCGTCCAACCATTGGTTTCGGTAGGGTTGGTTGGTGACTTATCGTGCAGAGTATAGATGAATGTGGCGCTGACTAAATCCTGTGGCCAAATCATGGAAGCTGCAAAGAGGTCAATATCAGTTAAATAACAAGGCTCGCAGAAGGCCATTTTTCCTATGGATGACAGCTTAACATACCTGGTTCGACGAGGACCTTCCGAACAAGGCCAGCTATCCCAAAGCCAACGATTTGGGTACTAAGAGCAAGACATACGTAAAAGCCCCAGCCTAATCGTCATATTTTATTAATCCAGGAATACTGTCTCTGGCGGAGAGGTCAAGAACTCACCATAGTCAGTGTGGTAGAATGCCTTCAGCGCCTGGATAGTATCGGTAAAGTATGCGACACCATTTCCGAAAGATGCATTGGCCATAACAACAATCAACACATGTTCTTTGACGTTAAATGGCCCCGGGTTCGAATTCCACTTCATTCCAAAGGTATTAAAGGTTCTTGCCGGCATAATCTTTGCCCAAGCAACACCTATGGGGTATGAAACCAGGAGAGCGACAACCGAGGTGATGATGATGGCGGGAGCTCTGAGGGAAAACAAACTATTTAAACCAGAGCCGATAGTTGTTAAGAGCATCCCGATTACCCAGGCACGAACAGTACTTGCGGGGAGGTCTTCGTCATAGTTCCGTACAGCTGCCCTTACCTTTAGACGACGTTAGATTTGAAGTTATAATAGTCCAAGTTGGGGCGTAAAGGCATACCTCTGGATAAGGTGAATTATCAATAACACTACCAAGGACTTTGCTCTGTGCACCAGAGTCATGTAATGCAGTAGCAGTAGAGATCTCATCAAGAGTATCATTCCCGAGATTAGGATCCCATTTGTGTGCCCGACGGTAGAGTTCCAGTCTGTTGTTTGCCTCAACGTCAGATATTTCTGTCGCTGTCGTCGTCGCTTTCTCCTTCTCTCCAGAAGAGGTGGTTATGGCCGGCTCGATTGGCTCTCCAACGACATCGTCTGGCGTTGAGGGCTTTCCCCGAAAGAAGGGGATGTTCAGAGGCATACTTAGAAGTCAGATTGTTCGTCCTAGATGGTCATAAAAGGGAAGCTAGAGTGTAGCAATGTTATTCAGGAAACAAAGGCGGAAAGCGCATATAATTACCAACCTCTCAAAGATTGGAAAGGGGGTATCCGGGGATCATATACCCGGGTAAAAAGATCATTACTAGTGCAACTATCCAGGCCATTCTGATATAAATTCCCTGGTGTTATTAGGTGGACCATTGCACTTTGATATTACCCTGGTGCCGTACCAGGCATTGCTATGGGATTAAGAGACATAACCGACGCTAACAAAGGCAGTGTGGTATCAAAGGCGGGGTCATAGATCCTAGAATATCGGACCCAAGAGTAACTAATTGGGATGAGACCTTGCTGGCCTGGTATCGGTTCATTGGTATCCAAACCCCTAATATCATGGTCTCGCAAATGTGCTCTTGTAGCCATAACAAGGGTGGCAGTCCGCGGAGGATATCTGAAAAAGTATGCATATACGACTCGTGTGCCCCACAAAGCGCAGAGATAGGGGCGGGAGGGAATAGTCAAGCTTTCTCCACTTCCCCATATTCGACGAAACTAAGCGGGTTTATGGTGATCGCTGTTACTGTCGAAACCATCAACTTTGAGGCTTGTATATGTGTTGAGATAAGCGCACGATACCTAGCGAAAGTCTGGTGGCCTTCAGCCAAATTAACAAAGGCAAAGGTATTGTACTCACTTATTGTGGCGGTTACACATGGTTTAATGTAATATTGGTGCCGCATATGTCTGAGCTTTGCATCTCGTAATACGGCGTCAGGCAATAAAACGAAGGCCTGGGGATCAATCCCTGATGGTTATTTCCCTAGATTCCCATACATAGTACAGACAGGTGTGGTCACTCGACAACTTAAATCACCGAGGATGGCAAATAACGATCCCTGACAGGCTCGCGTAGAGAGATAGGCGAAACCACTACAAGCGTCAAATACCGAAGCTTTCTAGAACCCCTGTTTTTCTGTTAGTAATAAATATGATATTTGTATAGGTATGTATGTGCGTGATCGTGTTGATCAGCACCATACCTGTTGTTGAAAAACACCAAGCAGCTCGACCTCGTTGTTGGGTTGATTCATTGGTGTCGTTGCCCTATCAATTGGCCTTAAGAGTTGTTGCTGCTCTAACCGAGACTTCTCGCGATGAACAGCTATGTAAAGTTAATTGATTGGTAGCCAACGAGTGCACGGGAATGAGCAGACTGTTTCACATCAGATGAGCACTCGGTTGAACAAGTTATCTAAGTTAAAGATACTTTGCGCCACATCCAAACCAACTATACCAGATATTGCCGAATGTATTATCGGGATTCGAGGGGCGCGGTACACGGTACTCCATTATCTCCACACAGTGGCTAATCATCACTGGAAATCCACTGAATGGAACCACTAGCGGAACGGACAGATATAGTTAGGATATCTGCTCACCATATCATGTAGGGTCTTGACGTCGCGCAACCCATGTGGAAGGTTATAAGACGGGTTTAATGCAGCCATATAAGGTCACGATGGGTACATTCGCCTTCATGTCCAGAGTAAAGGAACTTCATGAGAGGGCTTAAGCCTGAGAATCCTTGCAGGCGAGGTCAACTATTTTCCGTAGTATAGGATATGTGCTGTCATGTATATCCCCCATACGCATGCATATGTGAACAAGAGATACCCGGCGAAGCATGGAAGGCTATTTCGCTCTGGCTAATAATTAGGAGATTTTTTGAAATTCCAAGCCCCAACATATTGAGTGAAGTAATTATTATCGGTATCATCTGCTTTACGTGACAGGCTAGTGCAGCTCATGTGTATGGTATACGTGCAACCAAAGAGGGGCGTCAATGGGATGACCCCGGCTGCATAGATACAGGCCAAGTTAGTTGGTATGCCTGACGTTGCCCCAGGCAAACGGCCACGGTAACCCTGTCGCATTCAACATTTTAGCCATAGCACCAAGTTAAGGCATCTAGCGCGAGATCCGGTCCCTCGAGTAGCCTTTGTTAAATTTCACATGCTGCTCTGCTTCCTATAGATAACGGGGTCAGTTATCATGCGCCTAAACCGAGAGCGGATGTAAATACTCCGTATCTGGGCCCAAAGTAGGCAATATTGTCGAAGTGCTTGCGTTATCATTCGTGAGAAGTACGCAGCAGCACTCTTTGAGAGGAGACATCCCTGGTCTCTGTAGGACGGCTTGCACTCCCTTGGTCCGACGAGGGCCCAATCACACCATTCCACTCACCCCCCCCCCCTTGCGATCGACAAGGGTTCATATCAAGCCACCAGCCGTGTTGCTTAACCCTCCCAAGCGTTTGCGAGTTCAAAAAGAAAACTGGAAAAAAAGGTGCAGGAAACAATATCATGTGATATCAGCTTAGTCACTTTTATTAGTCATCCTTTTGGTCTCAAATTTTCTTCTCTCGGACGTGATTAAACATAGAGCAAACGCGACGGCGAAGAAGATATGGACATGCATTGTTAGCGCATGTCTGGAGCCCAAACTCTGTGGCATACCTATCTTATCCTTGATATCACTGCGGACCTGTGATAGGATATCTCGAGATGGGGAGAAAGCGGAAACACGGTGATGTTGCCACAGACGACACGCGGCTGGACTGCTCAAGTATAACTTCTACCACCTCTAATAGTGGTGATAAGGGGTTTGGCCTGGCGGATACACTATCTCTAATTCGCGACGATAATGGGCCTAGAGAACCAACCTTGCCCAAGGATACCTCCGGCGGAGAGGAAAAAGAACCAACCGGGGAGTGGCAGGTGGTAGATCGAGCGTTCACGAAGAAGCGAAAAAGAATAGGGAACGAAAAAACAAAATATCCAACTTTGACCTATGCCATGGGTGGGCGCCAGTCGTCCATCAAGATTTCAGATTTGCAGGGGCTCTTGCTCTATTGTCTTGCTGATGCCGTTGCGCCGCAATGGATATCAGTAAAGCACTCAGGCCATGTAAGAAAAGTTGTTGTGCTTATGGTTCCAGGCCTGGAGCTGGGGATGTTTGATAGGTCGATCCCCTTAGCTAAAGGAGAGAAGACCCCCGCCCCCGAGACTGAAACTACCCCCAACAGCTACTCTGGAGATGAAGCAAAGAAATCCAGCGAGTTTGAGCGTTGGAAGCGTGGGGTATCCCCCATCGGTGAGGAGACAGCCCGCCAGTTTGCGCCTAGAGCCATGCATAAAGATAAGCTGCCTGAAGCTTTACAGCCCCTTGCCGACATATTTCCGCATGTCTGGCCAGTGAAGTCCCCTGGGGACTCCAAATACAATAAAGTCCACTCACCTCTTCAGGCAATATTACGGTCTTCCTTGCCCAAGTCCAAGGAAAACAATAACAATAACAATTCAGGACCTAAAAGAACCAAGAGTCTGCCGAATTGGGTATCTCGGCGGACACCAATTACCACATTTTTGAGTACTGTTGATGATTTAACCGAACTTGAATACCCTCTACATCCTGCACTCTTTAGATCCGCTGAGGAGAAAGAGAAAAATGCTCGACTGCGTACTATGAGAGGGCAGTCTGCTGAACACGGATGGGTGGATACCCATGTCGAAGACTTTGCTGACGGAACTGTACCAGACAATGAAATAGCAGAAGGCAGTGTAACTGCCGGGCGCGATGTTTTTGCACTTGACTGTGAAATGTGTATCACTGAAGGCGGAAAGTCCGAACTTACCCGAATTAGTTTGATGTCATGGGACGGTGAACGAGTCTTGGATGAATTTGTTAAGCCAGTAACACCAATTATAGACTACCTAACTCGTTTCTCTGGTGTCACAAAAGAGAAACTTGACCCAGTTACTACGACACTTTCTGACATACAACAAAAACTGCTTAAAATTTTGACGCCTCGCTCTATATTGCTTGGACATTCTCTCAACTCTGACCTTAATGCTCTAAAGCTAACACACCCTTTCATTGTCGATACGGCTGCCATATACCCACACCCACGGGGGCCACCTCTGAAGTCGAGTCTGAAATGGCTTTGTCAGAAGTACCTTGGCCGGGAAATTCAAAAAGGCGAAGCCGGTCACGACTCCATTGAAGATGCGAAGGCAGTGCTGGATCTCGTGAAGGAGAAATGTGAAAAGGGCGAGGCATGGGGCACAAGTGAGGCTTCCACAGAAAGTATTTTCCAACGACTGTCTAGATCTTCCAAGCCAACCAAATCTTCCGGTTCTGTTTCCGAGGGTGGACGAACTGGGGCTGTGGTTGACTGGGGAAGTCCCGAGCGTGGTTTTGGTGCACATGCCAGTATTACTTTAGGTTGTACCAGTGACGAGGAAGTAGTTCAGTCCACCAAGCTTGCCGTCAACGGGGATCCTACCGGTAAAATCCTCTCAGGCGATGGCGTTGACTTTACCTGGGCCCGACTTCGCAGCCTAGAAATTTCCCGCGGATGGTGCAAACGGATTCCTGGTGCAGACCGTAATAACCAATCCACCGATATACCCGATCAGGATATTATAGGCCCAGAAAACTCTGATGAACTTGGCCGGGCTGTCGCCAAAACTGTTTCTTACATCCAACAGATATGGGATAATTTACCGCCATGTACACTTTTTATTGTATATTCCGGCACCGGTGATCCACGGGAAGTAGCACGACTACAGGCCTTACGGAGAACTTATAATGAAGAGTTCCGGAGCAGAAAGCCATGGGATCAACTGAGTGTGAAATGGACGGATACTGAAGAGCAGGCGCTCAAACGAGCGTGTCAAGAAGCGAGGGAGGGATGCGGGTTTATGGCTGTAAAGTAGAATCTGCTTATGTATCGACATGGCATATCGTACATGTATGGCAGACCTTGGTTGTAATATTTTTTGTTCAACGTTTAGACATTGCCATCGTGTGTTTGGGGCAGCACCAGTTTATTAAGACCAATTAAGACCACCCTTTTATATGATTTCCTTACTCAGGGGCCGAGAGCAATTAATATATTTTAATAGTTAATGGATACAACTCAACGACGTGAAAAATCTTTGTCACGTGGCTGTATTTACCGCGATGGGAGTTTAAATCTTGAGTTCGCCTATAAGTTCGTGTCTGACTTCCTTGTATAAGGAGCCAATGTCGTGAAAGGAGGTTTTTTTCGAGATCCTATTCAATTATCACAGTATATCTATTCATTTTTCGCGCGGGGAATTAGGAACTGGATGAAAAATCACGGTATGGCTACCGTCCAACATGCAAGAGCGTCGAATCATCCAGTAGAGAGGGAAGAGATGTATGATTCATCGAACAAAGGCATTTATAAAACGCTGGCAGTTATATCTACGGCCATAAATGAGCTTGCTTGCACTCTCCAGCAGATTCGCGAGCAGCTGCACGGTGTATCTTCCGCATGTGCAACTGAACACGAAAAGTTGAGGTCGAATAATCATCCTGATCATTTCGAGATATTTGCCATTGCCATGAAGGAAGTGCAATCTAAAGCAGCTAGAATCGAAATATTGGAACAAGAGAACCAGTCTTTAAGAGACAGGCTGAGTAAGGGTATATATGACAGCTACTCTGGTGTAATCCCAGGAGAAAACCGAGAAGTTGTTGGCTTTAGACCCCAAATTCAACCTACACCCTCTAGATGTGGTCATGAAGAAAGCGCTGGAAAAGTTAGAATGATAAGGGCCGGAGAAAAGAGTGTCATACCTCACCAATATACAAGTCCTGTTGACTATCCCGATAGACTTATGTCTAGCAATGCCTCCAATCCAAACGGGAAACGGCCTCTGATACCCCTACATAGAGAGCAAAGAGTCCACCATGATGATAACACAATTCCAACCTCCACCAATGCTACAAGTGTGGAATTAACCATTGCCCCAAACGAGAATGAACTCATTGAAGATAACAGCTCGGACGCCGAAGTGGAAGAAATCCCAGAATCTTCCAACGGACAGATAAACGACCAGTCTGCTGAAAATGAAAAGCCAACTGTATCGGAAGAAGCGTCGGAAAAGCCTACTTTAAGGCATAATCCAGCAAGGCGTCGACGAGGAACAGGGTTAAAATCAGCCCTGGAACAGACGGTCAGAAGTGATGCGCGCCCTACCAGTGTCCAGTCAATTCCACAAAACGAAAATACTACGAAAGCTGTAGGCGATGACTTAATGGCTGAACGGCCTACCATCTCTGAAGCTGCCATGGCTGGTGCAATGGAAGCTGGAGGCAAAGAAGCCGCTACAACGTTTGATCCGGTTACTAGAGAAAATGGAACATCATACACCCGAGAAACTCGCTTCCGGCCACCCCGTCGATTGACGAAGCGCCGTCGTGGCCGGCCGAAGGGACTGGCCTCAGAGCACCCAATGGTTGAAATTATTACACCCACAGATCCGGTCACCGCCGCTCCAAGACCAGAATCTCCCAAAGATACTTTAAGAGATTCGGAGGATAGAAGATATTCCACAAATACGAGGGAGGATGAGAAAGAGGCGAACAAGAAGCAACAGGCAGAAATTGCTGCTCGGGAGCTTCTAGTGCAGGCCGCAATGCAACGAGAGGAGGCGTATATGCTGTAGCTTGATTCCTTAACATTGAATAGAACCTGTAGACTAGATCATGTATATTAACTGGCAACCAAATCTTGTTAAGAATTCCAGCACTTCGTAACTTGTTTGGCCTTCCCTCGGCTGTTGGGTGGGGTAACTAGTAACTAGTTAGCAGTTTAAATACTTGCATGGAAGAACCTCCCAAGCAATGTCTTCGCTACAAACGCATCGTGAAGGATGAACAGAGGACTGAGTGCAGTCAGTCAATTGTGCAAGCCGCGCTTGAATCGTTTATACCACGCTGGAATACTACCAACTTTGCAGAGGGAGCGGAGACGCTGCAAGTCTGATCTACGAACCATGCAGGCCGTCAACGCCTGGCAAGCCCCAGGGGATGCAGCCTTCGACTTTCGAAGTTAGTTGATCCATTCCCAAGATAGTTGATGATGAAGATAAAATAGTGCCCTCGTTGCTAAATAAGACGATGCGCAGGCGATGTTATGACAAGACCAACGGCTTCGATGCTGGAGGCCATCGTAAACACGACGCTGGGCGACGATGTTCTGCAAGAGGATGAGGTGACATGTTCGCTGGAAAAATCCATCGCTGAATTGACGAATCATGAAAGCGCGCTGCTAGTTATGTCTGGGACCATGGGGAACCAAGTTGCCATCCGAACTCACCTGACGCAGCCGCCGTATGCAGTGCTATGCGACCACCGCGGCCACATCATCAACTATGAAGGAGGAGGTGTATCGACTTGGACTGGCGCCTACGTCAAGGGCATTGTACCCAAGAATGGAAGATATCTAACCTTGGAAGACATCAAGCCTCATGCTGTGCTAGGTGATGATATTCATGGCTGTCCAACACGGGTAGTCAGTCTCGAAAATACCCTAGACGGCATGATAATGCCCCTTGATGAGATAAAAAGGATCTCTGAGTGGGCTCATGGAAACGGCCTGAAGATACATCTCGATGGAGCTAGGTTGTGGGATGCTGTTGCTGCCGGAGCTGGGAGCCTCCCCGACTTTACTTCCTTGGTTGACAGTGTCAGTCTGTGTTTTTCAAAGGGTCTCGGTGCTCCAATTGGGAGTGTACTGGTAGGATCAAAGGAGTTCATCCAAAAGGCTCGATGGTTCAGGAAGACAATTGGCGGAGGGACAAGACAGTCCGGTATCATTGCTGCTGCCGCCCAGGTTGCCCTCAAGGAAACCTTTGGCTGCGGGCCGAACGGTCAAGGCGGAAAACTTATAGTAAGCCACCAAATGGCGAGGAAGATTGCAGATCTATGGACGGGAAAAGGTGGCAAGCTTAAGAACCCGGTCGAGACCAATATGGTGTGGCTTGACTTAGAAGCATGCAAGTTGTCAAGTGAAGACTGGACAGAGATCGGACGACAGCATGGCCTGAAATTTATGAGCGGTCGACTCGTGGTGCATTATCGTAAGTACTTCATTTATTTTATTCCTATATCTGACATGAGTGAATAACATGAAATACAGAAATAAGCGAGGAGGCTATTGAAAGGCTAGGCAAGGCCATGGATGCAGCAATTCGTGGTAACTTCACACCAGCACCTAAGAGCGAGAAGAATGGACAATATTGCGGGCAGACATAATTCATGTTCGGGGTATTGATGGACTACGTATATATAATGCTCTTTGGATTATTACTGGATAGTAAGTGTCGGCGTACAAAGATGGAACGCATGTACTATGGCTTCAAACCAAATGTATTTGACGTACCCATGGACAAGCTGCTTCACAACCTATTCTATCCTGTTACATTCCGTCGTATGGTAGGGACCAATTTTTGCGCTTATTGCAATTATATATCATGCTCAGTCTCTCTCTTAGGTACCACACAGCCTTTCTGGCCCTTATCAACTCCTAGCCACAAGAGATCTGGACGGCTGTAGTGTCCTACCACGTCGATGAAGCCTTTGTTCATAACCACTCTTGCCATATCCAAATCAGCATACACAATACCTTCTGCAGCAGGATTCCCATCTGCCAACGGCTTCGTGAGCCTACGACCATCTGGTCCAATGGCAGCACTATGGCCACCACCAGGCTCCTGGAACAGGAGTCCTCCTTTCGTTTTCAAAGTATCAATTCCCTCCTCATTGCACACCGCTGTGCAGTGCAGCACATACGCACCACCCTCAATGGCATGCGTTTGGCTAAGATTTTGACACCCTTCGGTACTCATGCTCCAAAATGCTGGAGCTTCGACTCCGGGATGAGGGTCAAGAGGTGGCCACATGGCGATATGAACAGCCTCCTTCTGTGAATAGGTGTGGTACTTCAGCAGAGGCAATGCATGCTCCCAACATGCTAATGTCCCGACCTTGACAACACCAATTTCGCAGCCAAAATCAACATCTGCAACGTTGGTCAGATCAGAGCCTGAGCCATCTCCAAACACAGTACGCTCCATATGAGTTGGCTTGATCTTTCGGCGATGCATCAGCAATTCGCCTTTGGGCGAAATAATGGCTTGGGAAATGTAGACACTGTGAGTATCAATGGCTTCCGCGAAACCAAGCACGACTGCAATGTTATTAGATTTTGCAGCTGACTTGATAGTATTCATCTCAGCGGAGTTGATAGATAGTGAGTTTTGTATGTACTTCGTGTTGATGATGGGGTCGACAGGCCTTTGCCTGTATTCGATGTATATGGTCAGCAATTGCACTGTTGGTCTTATATAGTATACATTCATTACTTCATGATGAACTAACCAAATCCATCCTGGATAACCTGGAATCCAGCACTCAGGGAACGCAACAAGCCTTGCACCACCCCTAGCTGCTTCGGTGATGAGGTTGACGGTCTTCTCAACACTTCCAGCCAGGTCCAGCCATTTAGGCTGCGCCTGGGTAATAGCAACTTTCAAAATAGGACCGGACATATTGTATTGCTAATGCTAAGTTGATGGACAGAGATATGACGGGTGAAGCGTCCGCAGCTGATGGTGGGGGATTTGCCCAGCCTTCATCTATGCAGGATGGAGCGGGGTATATGCTTGGTATACATATCTTCCCGGCCCTTTTTTTGGCGTGGGTAATAAGATTTCACTATACCTACTATGTAGTTATGCTATACACAGTGCCAGCTCATTTGACGAAAATAGATTGCTTCTCCAAGCCACCATGCCGGAAATATGTACTGTTGCGGTGTCAAGAGTTACGAACACCGTTCTTTAGCTAGGGGCTAGAAGTGGTAAGCTTAATTAAACAAGGCTATAGCCTGACTGATTATGGCTACTGCAATTTGTACAAGACGACGTGGCGTGGCTCGCTTGCATCTCTAATAATACTCGTAAGATGACTCGTACCCCAAGTCGCAACGTGGGTATTAAAGTATCAAAATTGTCATTCTGCAGCTACAAACCGGAGATCTCTAGCTATAGACCAGTGATATGAGTCAGAGTATGAACCTGGGCAGCCAACTTTGACAGAGAAATTGGAACGGCATGATCAGAGACACTTGCGCTCCTCTACATAGTAGGGCGACTCGCCATATCGTGGGCTTGTTGACCCTACCTGTAAATGGAATAACGCGATTAAATTACCATTACCATTCTGGTCTCTAGAGACCTCTTCTTCAGCCTACTTGGGAATACACACCGTAGAACTCTACACAGTCTACGGAGTTATAAGTCTAATAGATAAAGGGGTCCATGCCCCAGGATCCACCAACAAGAATAAGCAGCATCACGTGATATTTACGCGGCTAGTCTAACTAAAAATAGCTAGTTCCAGGCACCGAGAAGGCGGAACCCAATTAGGCTAGCCGCCGCATCTTCTGCTACTCCGACAAGTTTTTCCGATTTGCGACTTTCGGGGATTGAAAACATTCCAAAGCTTTAATTTTTTTATTGATTCTGGGGCCTGAGATGGCGTTGTTGCTCCAGTCTCCAACTCCAGCCTCATGAAACGTTGTACAGTGCTCGTTGTTTAGCGCTTGTGTTTTTCTTTTTGTTTATAGCTGTCCTGCATGTAAGTCATCAATGTTTGTTGTGTATCTGCCCTGCGAACCACTCGGTGGCGAATCACCAGGGCAGGCTACATTGATGAACCTGGGAGTCATGACTCGCTAATCAGACTAAAGCTATTCATTTTGATAGTTCCCAGCCTCCCCTGCCTTACCTGCTTTGATTCTGTCTGCCTGTTACCGCCTTTCTCCCGCACATCAAGGGCCATTGTGACTGCTCCCTGGTCACGACATATACTACAAGACCCCTCGACGATAATATACTCCAAGGCTGGGCTCTCTACACTGGACATTGACACGTAATAGGGCCTTGTATGTACACTAATAACGAATATACCAGGCTGCAGCGCTTGGTCATATTCATTTTTAGTGGAGTGGCAGCCTTTGATGCTAGACAAGGCAGAGAAAAACTACCCCGGGCGCTAAGCCCTGCATACATTGAAATATAAAGGGTTAGTTCCCCTAGTGTTTATCTTTTGATATTTGAGAATCATCGCTCGCAACGGTATGGTCTCCACTGCTTGACAGAATGGAAACAAAGTATTAGCTTTACTTAACACAAACTCTTGCTTGTATACCGTTATACCGTTATATCGTTTTAGACTGACGGTTTCTTGAAATTTCACAGTAAATCCCACGAGATTCCAAGAAGAAACGACCCAGAGCTTACACATCTTTTAAGGACTCGTAAACCCGCCTCACGCCACAGTCGCCTGCTACGAAACAACGGCCCAGTAGTGTGTGTGTGTATTCCCTAAATGGTTTTAATTGATATATTTCCCCTACCAGCGCCCTCACTTCTGATTGCGCCCAGTCGCTCAAAGAATCGACCCCTCTCTTAAGGCTCTCCCTCATGGACGAAGAAACCCAGCCGTCGACCCAGCCCTACGCAGACCCTCGTCGGAAGGGTGTTAATAACTCAGGCTTGAACCAGCAAGATGTAGCAGATATCATATGCATCCTGCATCCAAACTCTCCTGCTGCACATACATCAGCCTCTATAACGGCGGATCGTAACCCTCAGCATATCCTCCAGCGGGATGAGTTTGACTGTGATCTGGGTGACTCAATCTCCGGCGAATCAACTTGGGATATTGCACTGCGGTTTTCTTCATTAGTGAAGGACCAGAGTATGGGCTTCTATTTTGGCCGAAGTGTTACACGATGCGACATCATATTTGCCGCAGATGACAGGGTATCAAATACCCATTTTCGCATATATCTGAAGCCTGATGGTATACTTATGCTCCAAGATACATCTACTAATGGGACTATCGTGGACGGAAAGCTCATCCGGAGAGACGGTAAATATGATAGCCCAACAACCCAAATGCTTATGCCTGCATCGGTCATTCATATTGTTGGGAGTGATTCGGCATCAGCTATAAAGTTTGTTGTTAGAGTGCCTCCTCGAGATGAACTCCAAGCGCAATACACTAGGAATCTTACCCGGTACCTTAACCGAGCTCGTCAACTAAATGCAAAGACAAGTGACCCTGGCCGTGGGGAGATGCCTGCACCTGGATTCGTTATGCCCCAGAATGGCCATTCTTACGGAATGCATTGGAATGGCGGAGCCAAGTATAATGTAACCGGTCAGATTGGAAAGGGCGCTTTTGCGACTGTCTATAAATTGGCCACCAAGAACGATGGTGCTGTATTCGCTTGCAAGGAGTTGGATAAACGGCGTCTCATGAAGAACAATGTTTTGGACCACAAAGTTGACAGCGAAATGAGAATCATGAAAGACTTGGATCACGTATGAACCCTCCTTTAACTACGAAAAAAGCAATACTGACGACTCTCATAATAGCCTAATATTGTACGCTTTCATGATTATTTTGATCTGAATAACCGCTGGATTTACATTGTTATGGAATATATTGGAGGGGGTGAGCTTTCAAGCTACCTCAGTCTATCTGGGAGTCTTCCTGAAGTTCAAGTGCAGACCATTTCACGGCAGCTCCTCCACGCACTACATTACCTTCACGCAAGGAAAATAACCCACCGTGACATCAAACCAGATAATATACTCATTTCGTCTTTTGACCCGTTTATTATCAAGTTGTCGGACTTTGGGCTCTCGAAGGTGTCGCAAGAGGAAACGTTTTTGAAAACATTCTGTGGGACACTACTTTATTGTGCACCAGAAGTATACCCGGAATATGACTCCTATAAACACCACCTTCCTCGGAAAAGGCGTCGACCGGGTGATCCGTAAGTATTACTTTCTTAGTTCAGCATTGATATTAGTTGCTGACCTCCTCTCCGCAGGTTACCCAGAACTTCACCGTATGACCAGTCTGTTGATATGTGGTCGTTTGGCGCAGTGTCTTTCCACATTCTCTGTGGCCACCCTCCATTCATGGGCCGTGGAGACGATAGAGGGGCCCAGATGTTACGAAATATAATGACTACTGAAGCAGATTATACACTGCTAGAAAACGCTGGGATATCATCGGACGGAATAGATTTTGTTTCCAGGCTGTTAAATCGCGACCCTAAGGCTCGGCCAAAAGAACCAGAATGTTTTCGCCATCCATGGATCGTTGATGTGGCGGATGTATTTGAGTATGAGGAGGTGGGCGAGCCTGTTCAAACCGGGCCTCTTACCGAGCTGGTCGCTGTACCGGAAGTGAGTGAAGATGAAGATCTAGATGCTTCAAACCTTGCAATTAATGAAATGGCGAATGCAATATCCAGACATGGAAAGGGGGAAGTTGAGGAGGAAGGAGAGCTGTTATCTTCTGACCAAAATACCCATGCGAAGAAGCCCCGTGTAACACTGGAACAGGATCTTGGAAACAAATATGTCCAAGCCCCGGATGAAGTCCGTTATCCTTCACTACCGCAATTTTCAAGCTATGGATTTGAAGCCAAAAGCAATGTGAAACCCCCGTTAAATGTACCTCGATTATTTGGAGAGATTACAGAATCTCTACTTAGGAGCTCTGGGGTCCTTGGCCGAGATTATTCCGAGGAGATGGATGTCGTCGTTCCCCAAGACGAGGACGACAATGATTCTACTGACCAGTACGTGATTTCAAATGGAGGCTCGAGTATAAGCCAAGATGTCTTTGCGGACGGAGGCCAACCGCACCCACCGCTTACAATGAGGCCTCCCCCCCCTAAACTTTCAGACCCGAGCCTGATGGGGGCAGAATCTTTAGTAGGACACCTGAACATGGATTCTGTTGGCCAAAAGGACATGGCAGCAGCTGCACAAAACGGTGACGCTACTGCTACGGGGAGATTGCCAGACAGGGCATCTCAGAGCAGCAGTAACCATGCTTATTCATCTAATGGCACAGAGAGGGCAAAATTGGCTGGGAATGGAGCTACAACTGCTCTGGAGTCTCTTTCTCCACAAAATAGAATCTCACCACCCGGTGATAGACTTTCCTCGTATAGATCAGTAACCAGAGATATGAGCAGTAGCGTGGAAACCGATAAACCTGCCGGCATAACTGCAAGTGCAAAGTCGAGCAGTAAAAATGATATTGACCAGATTCCGGATGAACTTGCATGTACCATTGACGAACGCACAGGCCTTGAAGTCCCTTCCCAGTCTCAACCAAACCCACTCGACCCTGATCGACAATATATCACACATGAAATTAATGGAAACCAACAAGATGAAAACGATGAGAATAGAGAGGTTGGTTTCGTCAAACCTGCTACGATTCTGGGAAAGTTGACCCCCCTGCCAGGGTCTATCATCGACCAACCAATTCGACTAGAGTCACGTATGACATCTTGGGGCCGAGGAACACAAGCGACAATCCGTCACCCAGACTCCATGGATATCCGCATTCCTTTGTATGCTCTTGAGCTGACATTCTGGGCACCGTCGATTGAAGCTCGCATTGCTGAAGGAGAGGATTGGCTACAGATGAACGACGTTGTGACTCTGATATCCACGAAGACCAGCCGATGTATCTGGGTCAACGACGTCGAGCTACGCAAGGAATCCCGGAACAAGGATTCATTTCTCTTTGGTAAGATATACACCGGCGACATTATCACTGTGTATAGAAACAAAGACCAGAATCTACGGTTCCGGTGCGAGTTTTATCACGGAAACAGTAAACTGGAGAGGCCGAAAGATGAGATGAGGTTTACCATCGAAGAGTCACCAAAGACATCGTACACTGCTAGACCAGAAGGCGGTTCAGTATCTAAACCAGAGCCCTTCTCTGGAGATACACTGGACAAAGGCAGTGTTCCCGCTCCCACGAGCCGCCCGGCAAGTGTCAACAGCGCTGGCGCAGATAATATGTCTACCTGAGTGACCATCTGAAGATTTCTTTTCTCATATAATGCGTCTCTGCTCAATTGTTTTATATCGCCTAGTCAGCTAGTTGTTTTTGCGTGTTTTATCCCATATTACCCACTAATTCCTACGCCCTGCGAGTATTATTATCCCACACACTTAAGAGATAAAAAAGATATAAACAATATATATTATGATTGCTATGATCTCTATGGAATCAATATAGTTGAGTCGATCTGCATCTCTCTAGCCACCTCAAGTAAAAAACTACCGTTTAAGGTCGCTAAAAAAGGCAACTTTCAACTACATCTAACTGTCAACCATCGCATTATCTCCAACTCCTAACTGACACTCCTTTCTTCCACCTTTTACTCTCCTATGAGAGAAAGAAACGGCTTCAGTCAACCTTCAACTCCTTCCAAATACGATCCTGATTATGATCCAGCGACGACGATGTAACCCCGAACCTGGTTAGCCCGAGAGACGACAGAGCAGGCATCTTGTATATAAGAAATCGGCATATAATAGTTAACGATAACATTTAAGAACGAATTATATGGAGTACAGAACCGAACAATTTTCAAAAACCTAGGAGTAAGTTTCAAATAATGTGAAAGGAATATCGCGTTGTTTGGTTGACACTGTCCTTACTATGTACGGAGTATACAACGAACATACTATGTATACCTTGGGCGCACCTCAAGCATGGAATACGAGGACTGACAGCGGCCTCCAACGCAAGAACAACGCCTCGGAATGACAGCGAAGGGCGTAAGAAAGCAGGCCTCGGGCGTCGGACTTGGAGGTATTCCGGGTACGAAGCATTGGAGCTTCCCTGCATTTAAGCCAACTCAGAGCCACCGAGGATTATCCTTACAGCAACCCAGGGGAGGTGTAGAGACGATATCATACGAAGGCTAGCAGTTAACAGACCTGCCACTGGATATGGAGATCAGAGTATATCTCCTTCAACTGGACGACAGAAGGACAGAAGAAGCCGAAAAGAACTGCGGATAACTGCTTATAAATTCTACCAAGCTCTGCACCCCACACATTCCCCGTGGAGAAGACGATAATCACGAATCATACAGGGTTGCACAAGTGGCATTCGTCTTGGGGACAGGGATCCTGCTTGCTTCGACGATGCTTGATTCGGCCCAAGCTGGTTGGCGAGCCATCTCGGTTCTATCTTTCATTGGAGATACGAAGCAAAATGCCAACAACATCATATTTGGGATGTGGGGAGGCTAAGATGAAAAAGTGTGTCTAGTGGGAGGGTGCGATGATATTCAGTCCCAATATCAAGCTACGATAATATCTGGGGGCATATATTTCCCTGTCATTTCCTTCCCATCTGCCCTTTTTTTTTATTTCTTGCCATATTTCATTTTTACATTTGCGCTCCCAATTCCAATTGTGCTTTTTTTTTTTTGACCCTGTCTAGGGTGCAACGCAGATTGGCAGCTTACGGTGAACATGAAACCCTTATTGCTGCTGGCATTGGCCGCAGCTGTCGTGGAAGGCTGTGTCCGCGAGCGAGATGTCGGTTCAGTCGATGTTTTGAGTGTACTGTCGAAACGGGGACATGAGCACCCGCATCTTCCACACTTGTCCAAGTATGAGTCTCTGTTGGTGAACAGCTTCGACAACACCACTGTCGATAGCTGGGCTTACTACTATACTCATGGGATACACATTGCCGGAACCAACCAGAGCATGGCGCAGTGGACTGCGGATAAATTCACGGAATATGGCATTCCTTCCTCCGTCGTGTCGTATGACGTGTATCTGAACTACCCGGTTTCCCATTCCTTGTCCTTGAGTCACCCTGACGGTACTACCTGGAAGGCTTCTTTGGAGGAGGATGTTCTCAAGGAGGACGATACCACTAGCTATCCCGACCGTATACCGACATTCCACGGGTACTCAGCTTCGGGTGACGCGAGTGCGGAATACGTTTATGTTGGGCGTGGACAAAAGGTCGATTTCGAGAGACTTATCGAGCTGGGCGTTGACTTGAAGGGGAAGATTGCTATTGCTAGATATGGCGGTCCATTCCGGTGAGTTTTACATCATTTCCCATCTTTTCTTCTACCACCGAATCTAATGCTATAGATAGAGGCTTGAAGATTAAAAATGCCCAGGACCAAGGGATGATCGGCTGCATCATCTTCACTGATCCCGGCGACGACGGGAACGTGACTGTTGCAAATGGCTTGAAGGCATATCCTGATGGTCCGGCTAGAAACCCTTCCTCGGTTCAGCGTGGGTCGGTTCAGTTCCTGTCTACCTACGCGGGTGACCCAACTACCCCCGGATATCCATCTCTGCCAGGTTCCCCACGACAGGACAAGAACCGCGTCCTACCAAGGATCCCGTCCCTTCCAATCTCACAGCTTGACGCGCAGCCAATCCTTGCAGCTCTTGATGGCCACGGAACCCCGGGTAAGGAGGTAAACCGCACCAGATGGGTTGGAGCTCTGAATGCGACCTACTCTACCGGTCCAGCCCCGGGAGCCAAGCTTTCCATGAGCAATGTGATGCGTGATACCTACTCTCCTATCTGGAATTCTATTGGAATTATCAACGGAACCGAGCAGGACGAAGTAGTCGTTATCGGAAACCATCGCGATGCATGGATTATTGGAGGAGCTGGCGATCCAAACTCTGGATCGTCAATTTTGGTTGAGCTCGCCAAGGCATTTGGAAAGCTTCAAAAGGCCGGCTGGAAGCCAAAGAGAACTGTGTATGTGCTACCATTTGCCTAATACTGACGCAGTTGATGCTAATAATTGCATAGTGTGCTGTGTTCTTGGGATGCTGAAGAATACGGTCTGGTTGGATCTACCGAATGGGTTGAAGAATATGTATGTTTTTGATATTCTTCTTTCTCCTTAGAGATGACTGGGTGCTGACGAAAGGTATAGCTCCCATGGCTCAAGGCAACGACGGTTGCATACCTCAATATCGACGTTGCCGTCTCCGGTCCTATACCCGACCTCAGTGCTACCCCTGAACTGCACAAGCTAGCCCTTGAGACTATGAAGAAGGTTCTCTGGCCATACAAGGGACGCAAGGACATGACCATGTATGACGCCTGGAATGCCGCCACTGGCGGTGACGTTGGCGTCCTGGGCAGCGGCTCTGATTACACCGCCTTCGTCCACAACGGCATCGCATCGGTAAGTCGTGGAACCTATCGATTGTGCAACAAGCGGTCGTTTGAGAGTTAACGGGTTTGATGTTATAGCTTGACACTGGAGCTGGAGGAGACAGTAACACTGACCCTGTCTATCACTATCACTCCAACTATGACTCGTATCACTGGATGGCGACCTACGGCGACCCTGGCTTCCACACTCATGTTGCCATGGGCCAGTTCCTGGGTCTGCTGGGCTACCACCTGTCCACCGACGACATCATCCCCTTTGACGTGACCAACTACGGCGTACAGATGACCAAGTATCTGGATGATCTGAAGGCCTACGTGGCTGCGTCCATGTTCCCTGACCTCGACCTGGGCAAGATCGAGAGTGCCATCTGCTCCTTCAACGTCTCCGCCAAAGCGGTTGCGAAGCTACAGAGAAGAGCCGAACATGACCGTCACGACAAGAAGCTGGAGAAGCATCTCAACACCATCTACCGAGACTTTGGGCGCGGGTTTGTGTCGCAGGGCGGACTTCCGGACCGTGAATTCTACAAGAACATGCTGTACGCTCCTGGTCTGGACACCGGGTGAGTGGTCTCGTCCTCGTTTGTGTCTAGCAACTCTCTTTCCCCTTGCTGACCGTGTCTGTAGATATGCACCGACTACCTTCCCTGGAGTGGCCGAGTCCCTCGATGTTGGAAACAGGACCAGAGCCGTGGAGTTTGTCGAACGGGTGAGCAATGCCATCTATGTAGCTGGCGGCATCCTCTCGTCCTGCCACGACTGCAATGACTTTGTCGTCCAGGAGTAGTATATAGTCTTCCAAGTTTCAGAGAATGGCATCTCTCTCCCTCTTCTACTATGCTCACTTCCTGTTTCTGCGCTCCGCCCCCTGACATCCAAGCGACTCCGTGGTGTAGTTGGTTATCACGTGAGTCTAACACACTCAAGGCCCCCAGTTCGAGCCTGGGCGGAGTCACTCCTTTTCTTTTTTGTGCCCTTCTTTTGTGTATATTTCACGGGCAGGATATGCTGTGGACTGTTGACTGGAAAGCGAGCTGTGGATGTTGTGGAGATACGGAAGAGGTAAGATTGCGCGTCAACAGGATCGCCGTAGAGGCAGAGATTTTTCTCTGTACGGAGCAGCGCAAGCAAGCCCCTTAACTTTTAAATCCGTAATGTATGTAATGGAGCAAGAAACATAAAAATAATCTTAACGTGCAGCGTGTCCTGGTTTGTTTTTCGCATCTATGATAGGAACTGATCTTCGCCATGTGTTCGTTTCCTGAGCGTTAACAAGGCCGGATGTCATTTTTATACGGGGAGTTGCGGCTGGCGAAGAAATCACCGGCTGCTCCACCGTTATCCTGGCGAGGATGAGGACGAGATGAAGACGAGAATAGAGGATTGGGAGGCCAGCCCTATTCCTTCAGAGTGAATCTCTTTATACTGTAAGGCTGGAATCTTGGTCGATGAAACAGCGTCTCATCCTGCAGGCATATAGGCCAGAATATGTCATGCCAGTCACAAGGCCCATCTGAAGAAGACCAAGTCAACAAGAGCCATACATAGTAAGCGTATATATAAGGATGCCGCTTAAATATAGAGTCTGCAGGGCCCTGGCGTCCTTCTTCTGGTCGAGGACTGGGAAGGCCGCTGTGGGTCAAGGGGCAAAGCAGAAGAGCCTGCAAGCAAAGAAGCAAAGGAGGGAGAGAGACGCAAAGAGCCTGCTTGAGACTTGCTGAGGGCTTCTTCCCCTTTTGCTTTGAACCAGCCCTTTTTTCCCTCCCTTTCTGTCTGGTAATTGGTGCATCTCGGTGGCGGTCCAGACGGAGAGAAGAACTTTTTGCCTTGTCTTTTAACTTCTCTGGAGAAAAGAAAAAAAGCCTTCCATCTTCATCTTCGCTAAATATTGTGTATGCCGGCGTTATCACATTTCCCAGCTCCTCGTCTCTCGTTAAAAAAAAAATCGTTGGTTGGTGTCTCGATCTCGACTGGTTGAAAAACAGCGGAAGACTATAAACCGTCCAGCGTCTCTCTCACTCTCGCTCTCCCTCGCTCCATCGTTCAGCTCGTATCGCAATCCAAGACATCCTGGCCAAGCAGAAGCGCTTGCAGTGACACAGCAAGAGTAAGTAAGAAGAAGAAAAGAAAAAAGGAAAAAAAAAAAGGACTGGGATTGCGACTCCTTCGTCTCTTTGGCTTGTCTCCCTCTTGTGTATCCTCGACAGGCCAGACCAAGACAGACGAAGAGAGAGACTCTTCTCTTCTTGTTTCCTTTTACTGGAGAGTAGGGGAAAAAAAACATCCCTCGTCGTCAGCGTTGGGAGAAGCTGGTTCTATATAACGGATTAAAAAAGAGGGTGCGTTGTTGCTACTCTGTCTTTTCTACTGCAGCACAAGAAAATGCCAACATCCTCGACCTCACCTTTTTCGCCCTGTTAAAAAGAGAGATGGCTAACTTGTATATACAGGCCTGAGGAGCTCCTCTCTACTCTGATTGACCGTTGCTTCTTTCCATGCCTGAATCGCTCAATCTGGCCGCCTCGTCTTCATCGGAAAACACCACCAGCAGCACGCATCACCGGCGACGGTCTTCTTCACACATAAGACCCTTGAGCCTGAACCAGTCGTCCGCCAGTAAGGGGGCTACCGGCAGCAGCAGCTCGTCCCGGACAGAACCCTTCGGCCACCTGTCTGCCTCACTCGCTCCTATCCCGGGCACCCCCTCGGCGACGGGCCACTCGCCCATGTCGCTGTCCAGATCTCCCTCTCCACGGCCAGGCGGAGGTTGGTCCAGCCCCGGCCTGACCACCGTCACTGCTGGGAGCAGCGGCAGCTCCAGTCCCCGCCGTGACTACGGCGACCTCACCCCCAATGGCCACTACTCGAACGGTGCCCTAGACGGTGACCACGCCTGGATGGCCGCCAAAGCAAAGAGCGATCGCGTCAAGGGGTACCCGTCCTTCTCGACCAGGAATAACGGCTTCTTCTCCAGACAGAGGAGGAAGATCTCGGCCAGCCTGCCTCGGTTCAGACTCAACTCCATGCTAGACTACGGCGAGAAGGAGAAGCTGGGTAGGGGACGATGGTCAGGTCCCAACGGCAGTCCGCTTTTATACAGGGTGAAAACACTAGTCGGGAGCCTTCTACGCCGCACGAGAATACGACTTCTTCTATTATCCATTTTGTTCTTTGTTCTTTGGCTTTGCTTTTCATCTCGTACGTCTCTTTTCTCCCTTCTCTCTACGCGTATGAAGGCTAACCATGTTGCAGCTATCTACGAATCATATCGGCGGTCCTCCGTAGGCGGAGGAAAGAAAATAGTCTTAATTGTGGCGTCTAATGTCGGTGGTGGTGTTATGGAGTGGAAGGGTGCGAGGGAGTGGGCGATCGAGAGAGACAGTCTCCGTAATAAGAAGAGGTATGTCAAGAGATGGGGATACGACCTGGAGATCGTCAACATGGTCACCAAGAAACGATATGCCCACGAGTGGCGAGAAGGCTGGGAGAAGGTCGATGTCATCCGTGGTGCCCTACGGAAGTATCCCAAAGCCGAATGGTACGTTCTACCACAGCTCTACCGTGAGTGATTGACCCATTAACGTGTAAATGCAGGTTCTGGTGGCTCGATCTAAACACCCTGATAATGGAGCCCTCCTACTCCGTCGAACACCACATCCTCAACAACCTGGAGAAAAAGACATACCGCGATATCAACAAATACAACCCCCTCAACATCACCCACCCTCCGTCCCTACCGTACCTCGACCCCATCTCCCTTTCTCCCGAGGGCGACAAGAAACCGTCGTCCATCAACATGATCGTTCCCCAGGACTGCGCCGGATTTAACCTCGGTTCTTTCATGATCCGACGCAGCACCTGGACCGACAGGCTGCTTGACATCTGGTGGGACCCAGTCCTCTACGAACAGAAGCACATGGAGTGGGAACACAAAGAGCAAGACAGTCTCGAACACCTCTATACCAACCAGCCGTGGGTTCGACCCCACGTCGCGTTCATCCCCCAGAGGAGAATGAACTCCTTCCCTCCCGGCGCTTGCGGCGACGGAACAGACCCGGGCATCCACTACCAGCGCAAAGACCGAGACTTCCTGGTCAACATGGCCGGCTGCGAATGGGGTCGAGACTGCTGGTCCGAAATATACAACTACAGAGAACTAAGCAACTACCTCAACAGAACTCCCTGGGAGAAGTTCAAGGATGCCCTCAGTGACCAGTGGAAGAAAATGATGGGCAAAGAGGTCAAGAAGAAGCCATGGATGGCTTAACCTTGTCATCTTTCTACCCGTATCAAATCTATTCTACACTTTTTCTCTTTTTTTTGCTTAATTCATATATATCTATTTATTGAAACGGCGCTCTTTTGTTAGCTTTTTCTCTTCTTTGTTAATTCCCATTACATCCTTTGTTGATCTTTTGTTTGAAAATATATCGGAAGGTTGTTTCTGTATAATGTTTCCCTCCCTCCTTTTCCCCCTTCCATTCCTCCATGTTCTCAACCCCTACTTTTCTCCTCGATTATACGCGGACTTCTTTCATTATGCACGACAGTAGAATATCTTCTTATTCCTGTCCTAGGGCTGCTGGTTCTGGTTTCTTTGCGTCTTTTTCCTCTCGACTTTTGCATCTAGCTCACGTCTTAGACTATCGCCGCCTTCATACTTGTGTGCATTACGTTTTCGCTTGCGCTTATGTTGGATCTCCTATAAGTCGGCTATTTTTCTCTTCATCTTTCTGCTTTTATTCGTTGATTGCTTGTATTTTGATATTTGTCTTGCTTTGGAAAAGTACGATTCCGTTTTCCTGTAAGCAATGTCTCATGATTTCTTGCATCTTGTCTCCTTTCCAATCCCAAGGGATGTCTGTATTATCTATCTTAATTCTTGGGCCTTTCATCTTTTTCATCAAGGACTTTTTCTCTTTCTCTTCTTTTTCTCTATCAAAAATTCGTGAAAAACTTGGAAAAATCATTTAAATCTACTATATGACATAAGCATCACGTGAGATAATCGTTGACCAATCGGAGATCAACTTTTGCTTGAACTTCAATTTCCGTCAGGTCAGATAGAAGAATCAATATCAAGCAAACCGAACAGCTTCTGCTCTGCCGCGTGAACAGTCCTATACACCTCTGACATCAACCCAATTACCTCCCGTAGAAAGAGAGACCACAATGCCCACTCCCGAATCTGCCGCCTTCCTGGCCAAAAAGCCTACCGTCCCTCCAACGTACGACGGCGTCGACTTCGAAGACACAGTCGCCCTACACAATGCCCGCGACGCTATAATTCGTGAACAATGGGTTCGCAGCATGATGTCCAGACTTGTTGGCGATGAACTGGGCAAATGCTACCGAAGAGAGGGAGTGAATCATTTGGAGAAATGCGGAAAGCTCAGAGGTGGGTTTCTGGATCACTGGTTTGGTGTTTGGTGGTGAGATGCTAATGCGTGATATATTCTGGATAGATAAATATTTTGAACTGCTGAAGGAAAGGAAGGTTAAGGGATACTTGTTCCAGGAGAAGAATTACTTTGAGAAGGAGCAGTGAGGAGGAGGAATCTGGAGGGTGTGTGAGAGTGATGATTAGAATGGGAGATGATGGACTGTCTGAACTACTGGTTCTCCCGTTGATTTGGTGGTTGTTTTACTTTGAAAACTTCATGCTCCGTCAAATGGTGTCTGCGGATGACGGTTTTGTTGTATGAGGCTGGAGGGTTGGACCACTTCATGTATAGATATTTGCGACTATTTCTTTTATATGCGGACATCGTTTTTTTTTTATCTTAGCAAGAGAATTGACTTCCCTTGTTCAAGTTATGCTCGTATTTCCTAATATTCAAATAAATATGCAGCATTTAGAATGCTAATAATAGCTTCTTTGAGCGTCCTTTTCGTCCTCATCATCACTGCTCTCCACTTCTACATTGTCGCTGGTAAGCTCAACTGGTGCTCGCATCCGTTCGAGCTGCCCTGGCTCCAGCATTGGTGGTACATACGGCGCAGGGGGCGTATGGATATCTCTCCCAGAGGGTAGATTGGAAATATACGAGGTAGACGAAGGGATTAGCTGGGTGTTTATCTAGTCACCAGCATAGTCAGCAATCGGTAATACAAGAGTCGCCACCTGGGAACGATGCATACCGTGTCATTCATCTTTACCCACTTCTTCTCAAGCATATCAATGACCCTTCCTTCCTCGTCTCTCCCGGCGTCGTCACCGTGGTCAATATCAGTCTCTAGCTCGCCAGCTTTAGACGACATCGCTTCTTTCTCAATCTTCCTTTCTTCTCTCCGCTCTGACCACTCCTTCTTCAACTTAGAAAAACCGCCTAGTTTACTCTTGAAATATTTTTCAGTGCTTGCTTCTGATGTTGAGCCTTTAAACCCAAGAACAGCCCTAGCTGCTCTTAACCATGCGATTCCCTCTCCGACCTTTCCGGACATTTCAGCGTCGATTCCAAAGAATCGACAGGCTTTTGCTCTTGATACTCTGGCCAGAATAGACATATAATTCACCAGGTCATCGTCTATCTTCCTCTCTGAACCGGAATCGCCGGAACTTGCAGCAGATATGCTTCCCTTTTGCAACGTCCCCACACTAGCTGCAGCCTGCTCAGCATACTCTGCAGCACGGATGCAGAGTCGCGCAAAGAGTAGTGTCCGCACCTTTGGGATATCCGGAGCTTTGACCATCCATTCTGTGTCATGCTTATTCCTGGACTGGATACAGCTTGACATGTAGGCATCATCCTTCAGGACGGCCAGCAGAGTTGCCTCGGCCAAGGCCAGTGAGGATAGCGCTGATTGTGTGGATGGGTCAAGGTCAGGAATGGGTATTTGCACCAATTTTGCACCAGAGCCACCTGGAGTATAAGTATCTGAGGGGCCAGAGGTAGATGCCGGTGAGAACGTAGCAAGGTACGAGTGTATACTGCTTACTTGCAGCAAATTTTTTGTAGCGGCCTGGATAGCCGCCACCTTCTGCTCGGCTGTGGGAGTGTTGGCCGAGTACAAAACGGTAAGATACTTTGTCCGTGCAAGAGCAGAATGAACATACGCCAAAGTCGACAAAACAAAAGCAATCTCAAAATCCAGCCCGCGGCCCTTTATCCGCGACGAGGGTGAGGAATCATGCCCACGCATCGCACTCTGGCGTAGGAACCGCATTGTAGACATCGAACTCAAAGTCGGACGCCATTCAACCTCAATCTCAGATTGAAGTAATATCTCAATCTCTTCGACATCCTTCCATTTCTTCCCGCCATCATCGTTTCCAGCCGCTGCGTCTTCTCGCCATGAGCTGGAGCTTAACCCCCGTGATATAGCAAATAGATACGGAATATATTCATTCAGGGCTACCAGAACATGTGGCAGGTGGGAAGCTCGCTGGGCCGGGGTAAGGCGCTTATGCTTCTTTAGAGCTACTCGCAAGCCATGTCGAGCAGTGGAACCCGATTGGGGTAGAGATGGATGGGTATTTGAATGGAGGAATGACTGAAACTGGACGTGTGAGGTGGTTGGCAAAGCAAATGAGAAGACCATTATTATAACCGGCCCTGTGTTAGTTTCATTAGATCTGTTTACATGCAGCTTGATGCAGTGTGAGGCCGTTTACGGTGAAGGTGTGACGTATGCAAAGTAGCCTCTAATTCCCTGATTACAGGGGGAGATGCAATCCTCGGGTTTTCATATAAAACAATAGCACGTTAGAGATGCCTCTTCATCAGACTTTTTGATCCCAGGTGTGTATATCATCCTTTAATACATCAAGACATCATCGTGAAGTCGAAGCAGAAAGTTGAAGCAAAGTCGCGACTTTCCTCTTCCAGCCCACATCAGTCACATGATAACATTACATAACCAGTTAATATCACGTGATAACAATTTCGTTCCGAACAGGGAAATAAGACATTTTCCTATATCAAGGGATAGAAGCTCCTCAAAGTATCATATATACCCTATTAGCCTACTGCACCAGACAATAAGATTGAAAGGAATTGAACATTAGTATTGGTATCATAAACAAGAAGCAATAACCCGTTCTTATCCATCCACCCCCCTTCCACCAAGAGAGACTTTCTTCAGCTCCAAGGCCTGCTTTAAATTCTGCACACGCTTGCCCAGCTTTGACTTCAGAATTGGATTGCGCATTTCTTCCCATCGGCGTGTCTCTAGCTGTACATCTGCTTCGAGTTCGGCGATTTCCTCAAGTTGCTCTTGTAGCTGGCGTTGCTGCTCAAGAGCATCTTCGTCCAGGCCCTGATTGGCATCTTCTGCCGTAGACATTCCGCTCTCATCCTCATCCCCAGAAGATTCTGCTGTGGTGGGTATTGGAGAGTGGGGAGTGCTTATCTCTAACTCGCCCTCGGCATCAGGCTCATGGCTATCCTCACCCGTGTGGCTGACATCTGCGGTTGCAGAAGCAGGGACAGAGCTAGCATCCGCATGTGCCGCAAGCTCAGCTTCCATCTCTGCAGCAAGGTCATCATCCAGCGCTGATGGCTCTTCGTACTGCTGCTCTTCGTAGTGTTGCTGTTCGTCGAAGAATTCTCCTTCTGCGTCTTGCTCGTCATCGTACTCATCGAATCCATCCTGCTCTCCTTGGTGTTCACGTGCGTACTGGCTTTGGTCCATGATTTCGAAATCTGGGGGTTTGATGGCAGCCATGTCCTCCTTGAGTAATCTTGCAACTTCCAACTCCACTGCCTCGATTGTTCGATTGCTGATACGTTTCCGGAATCGTCGCTTTCTCACCCACCGTAATGGAGGTGTTAGGCCATGAGCGTATTGAAAGGTCGTAGGGTCAACATCCTTTGGTAGAGGGTAGTTGTGGGCTTCCTCCTCCGTTTTAATCTTCCCAAGCACCAGCAGCATCTGACAGATGTCTGCTGCCTTGTACCAGCCCCGTTTATCCCAACTCTTCAACCCTTCAATTATTGCCGGCAGATCGACCAAAGTGGCAGCATAAATGTTTCCCCGGATGGTAACAGTAGCTCTCCTTCCATCACGGGTAAGCGACTTGAAACTGACATCTGCACCCCCTTGCGACCGCGGCCCAAAGCGCTTTTCCTCAACAGCCTTTCGTAGATAGTCGCAGTCCTCCCCAGGTTCCATTCGTAGTATAAATTCTTCTTCTAGAGCAGGATCTATTTCGGTATCAGAGGCCTCGGAATCATAGCCTGCACCCCTTGGTCTTATCGGTGGCGCGCCTTTATTTCGGATTCGCAGGGACGTAGGTTGCTTGGGCTTTGTGGTAAGTTTGAATCGCTTAACAGGAGTGCCTTCAGCTTTTACGGCCGCTCCTGGAGCGGTACCGTTATTATCTGCTGTCGCGTCTCGAGACCTCTTTTTGGATGAGCTACTCGCGGGTGCTTCCTTGGGAGCTTTCGCAGATTTCTTAGGTTTTGGCGTGGGTTTCGATTCTGGCTGCTGGGACGGCTGCTTAGGACCAAGCTTCAGTTTGATTTTTGGCGCTGAGGCTGATGTCGCTGAAGGAGGAGGAGGAGTAGGAGATTTCTGTGGTGTTTGCGCCGGTTGAGCCGGTTTCTTGCCAAAGGTGAGTTTCAATACTGGTCGACCAGCCATTTTGGATATCACTCGGGTTATCTTGCGCTTATGAGTATTCCTAGCATTCCTGAACAGCACCAGGAAACGAGTTCCAAGCTTGTTAAGTGGTTGGTGATGGCTTAAACATCGGTTGAAGTGGAAAAAGTTGAAGATGTCATAGCCACAGGGACAACACCGATTAGTCAGCTTCCTTTTTTCCCAGCCGTTTCTCGATCTTCACAATTGATGGACAAAGTAACAATCAGAACAACAAAGCAGCTAAGGACAAACCGAGCAGGAAATATACTGTTGAATGGCCGTATTGTCTGCCTGGTTCACTTGCGATCAAAACTATTGAACTCTTTTACCCTCTTTTTCGTCCTCCCTGAGAGGATGCTTCTCCTTATATCGTGTCGGCGAGAGCTTTCTTGATCACCTTCATTCCTTTTGAGCCATACCTCAAGATGGCTACTCCAGACCTCCATATCAGTTTACTACGCCCTCCTGTCATTCAGATCCTCCGCGCGGCGGGATTCCATTCCACCCGACCGGCTGTGGTCGATACCCTCACCGACATGGCCAGTCGGTACCTCCTTCTCCTTGCTTCGTCTACCGCTCAGCATGCTGCCAACAGTCACGCAGTGTGCCCCATACCGACTCTTGACGATACACTTATGGCATTACAGGATGTCGGTGCCTTAAGACCCCAGATAAGCAGGTTAGAGGAAGATCGCTGCGGCGAAGAGGACATGAGAGCTCTTGAAGCCTTTCTATCTTGGTTTAGTGGACCCGTGAATACAGAAATTAGACGAGTGTGTGGGTTCATTGCTGGTGAGGGAGAGGTTGTTGATGAAGACTCACTAGAAAAAGAAGATTATCTAAGTGGTATGTTTCCTTTTTTTTTTCTTGTGCCGTCTCTTTCTAAAACTGCCAAACTTACGTATTCGATTTTCTGCAGCGTTGAAAAAGAAGCACAGCAAGACTGGCGAGGAATCGAGGTTCCAAGGGACTGTCCTTGGAAAAGATGCAGAGGAACGTCCAATCACCATTGAGGGGGGCGTAGAATCAATAAAAGCCTGGAGGATGCAAATTAAATCTAGAGAACAAAGCTCCGAACCTTCTTCCGTGATTAGCAGCCTCTCAAGCAACATATCAGACCCGGACGCCATGGAAATATGAACGCCCACCATCGATAACTTGGAGACCAATACAGTAATCGATATTGCCTTCGCGCCGTGACACCATATAAACCTTGCTTTGATGAGCATTTCACACTCCGGTGCTCAAATAAAGGAGTCCACATGCTCTCCCGATTCAAATCCTTCAAATTTCTCTGAGTTGGACGTACCGATACATGAATACTTGTTCTAAGCCTACCGATCTCTCACCGATCTATTTGATAGCCGCCATGTTTGCTGTTGCCCGCGTTTGTACTGGCTACTGTGATAAATGTTCTTACTGCACAGAAACGCAGACACAACATCTCTTACATGACCCTGCGGATTAATGGTGTGATGGGACGGGAGGAATCCACAAAGCCATGAAGCTCGCATGAGTTATAATATTGGGCTTAGCGCGTGCACACAGTGTCGCTCACCCCAGAGTTATCTCAGGTTAAGCTGCGTCCTTAGTCAGAGAGATTCCTCTTTAGTGACATGAAAAGGGAAAATTTTTGTCATATGTCGCCATATAGCTTTGATTATTTCCAGTTTCAACTTACCCCCTGGTTTGTTAATGATGTCTATGGTGCCTTATACCGGCTAATGCGGCGAATACTGCTCCGTATAAGTGCAGAAGATGCAACTAGGAGATTATTACTTGCATACGAAAGATGAAAGAAGATAAGGCCATTGGGATGGAAATTAGAGACTGGCGCTTTTAGGATTAAGCTCAAATCTACAAACAAACAAGGTTGGATCAGCAGAACTTTAAGAAGTTTAATCTGACCTTCTCTGACTACCTAGTAGCGACTCAGCAAAACAACACCTTGACTGACCTGCGCTCTACAAAGAAATTATAAACGTGCTTTTGATGACAAGTTCTTGGATTGATATTACAATTTGCACTCGGCAATTCACGCCTGTCTACAGATGGATCAAAGTAATACAGAGCTATTACCACCAGAACACGAATATCTCCTGTCCACCTACGCTGTGCCGGATTATGTCTTGCTCAGTCCTATAGCCCAATACAAACTCCATAGTTAAGCCACAGTGCCGAGCAGCCTGCCCCAACACCTGGGTTCCACGAAGAGAAATCATCCAGAGAGATTCCATATTTTTGAGTGATACTCCAACAAGTATCACCATCAGCAACAACATACCACTTTTTGCAATTTTTAGCAGCACCTGGCTGGGTGGGAGTTGATGGAGGTAGCGATGTTGCGGATGGAGCCGATGTTACGGTAGATGTCGAGCTTGATTTTGAGCCCTCGACGCAGAACTGGATAAAGCCATCGTCAGATACCCTGTCAAATATGTCTGCTTCACAGTTTTGTCCTATCCAGGGGTTTAAAGCGACGAATTCTGGAATACTGGTCTTCACAAACTCGGGTATCATAGAACAGTTGAAGTCGTCTATAAAGCTGTTAGCTGGTTTATTACATTCGTGCCTGTTGATTCCAAGGCTATTCTCACATACCCTTATCACTTTTATGTAGCTGTACATAACAGTTACAATCCGACTGCTGGACTGAGGTTGGGGGTATCAGCCTTATATTTGGCTCAACACAAAAGTCGTGGGGACGAGTCGCTACATTGATATTAGGTTTAGTATCAACCGTATGCTGTCTTCAATCAAATTGGCGGGAACTTACGCCGAACTTTCCAACGTCTAATGCAATACCTATATCCTGGTTTCAAAAAGCAAGTCTCTGCTGGCTTAGTTCTATCCCATATAAGACTCGGATTCCAGGCGAGTAGCTCGTCATATTCTACTTCACCATTCCATGCCCAACCTTGACAGGAGTTCAAATCTTGGAGGGACGTCCCAGGGGGAAGAATTTTAGCTGTTTCTTCGTCCCATGGGTCCCCATATTCGTAACAGCCTTCAATAGTCCCTGGAGCAAGGGGGCTGGGGTCCGGAGTCGGGAGCGTGGTCTCAGTAGACATAGAGGAAGTAGACGTGGGGCGTGGTCTTGTGAAAGTGACTGAAGGGGTTGAGACAGGATACCCAGAATACGTCGTGATGTCGCCGACGGGTTTTACACAGTATGAGTAATTTAGCCATAAATTCTCACACTTCTGGTTGACCTGTGGGTTTAAGAAATAGAAGTCCTGCAACGAGATTCCATATCTGAGCGATATGGATGAGCAGTCATCGCCAGAATTGACCTTGACGCATCTAGTCAGCTGTCTCTGCGATTGATATTCGGAACACTCTTACATACTTGATACCATTGTCCACATATAGTATTTGTCTCCGGTTGGGCATTAGTTGGGCGCGGGGCTGGGGCCGTGGTTATTAAGGAACCACCTTCCTGGACCGGGATTGTTTTTGTTGGCGAGCTATTCAGCACCCTCTGTTAGGCTAACTGGTACAAGGGTTAGAGATGGGGAACTTACCTTGCACAAAGGTACCAACCCCTCCAAGAGGCAAGGTTCGTACAGCCCGAGTTAATCATTGGATTCCAAGCTAGGAGTTGTGCCATTGTAATATTCAAGCTTTTAACTAGAGATCGACAGTTTTCTGCCATGCCAAGTTGATGTACCTTACATTGCTGTGGGAGGCAAAGACGTTTGCGCAGGTGCACCGCGTAGCAAGCAACATCCATCGCGTTTTCCTGAATTAGGTTATACGTAGAGATGTTATGAGCGCCGGAAATTGTTACGCAGGTGTCATCTGGCTGGATAGTATACCACGAACTTGTGCACGTCGGAGCCGGCGCAGCAGTGGTCGAGTTCAGTGCGTATTTGGTTGGCGTGGCATAGCTATACCCACTGGCGCTGCAGCTTGATGTTAAGGATGAGAACTCCACAGCATCATTATCGCTGTAGCCAAAGGGTGATGAGAGCTGAACTTGCTGGATACCAAGTTCACAGAAGGAGCAAGCGTGATCTTCCGCAGCTTTAGTATCATTTGCCCACTCAGAAACCATAAGATCGCAGTAACGACCAGATTGCCTACCTAAGTATCAGAGTTTGACCCTTATATTACCCCATACTGGTGTACTTACTGGTCTTGGAGGCAGGAGAGGTTTGTTGCATATATAAAGCGGTCAATCATGAATGTCGCTTCATGGCAAAGGAGTGTCAGTAAAGGATCTGGCTGCAATTGGGCTATGTACGTACCAGGGTATGCTATGTTCCAGGGTGGAACCATGATATCATTTGGCTCTGTACACGCTGCCATAATCGAAGTCCGAAGTGTTTTCAGATCTGCTGCACAAGTGGTTTCGCAGAGTTGGTCAAGCTGTTCCTGAGGAAGAATTTTGACACTCGCGTCCCTATAATTCGATCAGGATATAATGAAGACAAAAATGCATAAGGGAACTCACCATAGACCTGCGTGTACGTGAAGCCAAGCGGGGCATGATGATATCGTGGTATTGACCACTGCCAAACACCCATCACTCAACCCATCCAGTTCATACGGGTATCGGATGCCTGGGAACTGTTGGCCTAACACCAATGGAGAGAGACCAAATATGGCCGCTCCTAACGATAAAAGAGAACGACAAGTATAGGAGAGTGTCATGGTGACTGTGGTTGTCCTGCATCCTCTGGATAGCCTTGAACCTTCCCTTTTATTTTGGCGGGATGAATTCTTGATATGTGGCAGGGAGCCATTTCTTCGCATCTACCGAGGAAGAAAACGGACAATTGGCACATGCCATTAAGGGGCAAAGCCAAAGTTGCAACAACTCCGTTATGTTTCCGGATAAGTAACTACCGAGCGGTAGCGAGCTGATTTTTAACGAGAATCGCTTGACATCCAGGCCCTATACAATAGAGATCTATGGAATGTAGGACATGTCGAAGTCAATTCCACCAATAAAAGACACAGCTAGCCTCGCTAGCACAACGTGCCGCGAGAGGGAAACAACTGTTCGAATGCAAGGATAGCCCACGTCGTTCCTGAGTATCCACCCATGCAGGGACCAGGGCAGTGCGGTAGACTCGGACGCGGGCCGGCGGATATTTGTCTTGGCATTCCAGGGCCGGAGGAGGATAAGCTTAACTTATTTCAGGCTGAATACTCCGAGTCTATTATTCTTAAAACTCGCTTTCTATACCTCCACGTTCCATCGCAGGTTGACCTCTCGCGCGGACAACATCCCAAAATGGAAGCAGAGTGGGATTTTTTATATGTTCTGTTAGACGCATTTTCTCAGAGATACCCTGATTGGCATGCAGACCCATTGCGAAATCAATAGTATATGCACAAGTGGCAGAATTTGAATGAAGTGACTCGGAGAACCAGCTTCCCCTGAACTGGGCGGAGGCCGTCAATGTGTCCCTTCCCCAGTCTCGATGATTTCAAGGAGGGCTCACTGTTCGCTACACGCAGCAACATCTATATATAATTCACCTGCCTCAGCATGAATATGCTCTTGTCCCATTGTCACAGTTATCTCAGTCTATATTCTATGACTTTTTCTGATTACTCACGGAGTGGCAGACATTTGCGATGCGACTTTATCTTGGTTTACTCTCTTTCCCAGGAATCTTCCTTCTAAATGGGTTTTATATTGGGACTTTAGGGTTGAAAATAGGTGATACGCCTACCCTTCAGCTATCATCACTCGGCAGGCGGGCTCTATCTTCGCCGCCATTCGCCTACGATGCGCTATCTCGTCGTGATGATTATTCCTGTGGACCTGATAGTAAGTGTTTCATATCTTAGGAACATGTTTTTGACTCTCTACCTAACGCCTCTGTTTAGAACCATGCAGCAATGGTGCATGCTGTGGTGGTACGTAAAAGTATTATTGCTTATGGGAGACAGGGAAGCTAACAGCCAGCAGCCAGCGGCTACTGTGGCTATGGCCCAACTTATTGTGGTGAAGGCTGCGTGAGCAACTGTGATGCCTCCGCAGAATGTGGGAAACATTCGAATCCTCCGGGACGGACATGTCCCTTAAATACATGGTATAGACACTGCCACGAGAAAACAAGATTATCCCGCGACTAACAGGGGCAAGTATAGCTGCTCAGAATATGGTTTCTGTGGGACAACCAAAGGTCAACTCTCTTTTCTTGTGTTTTTTATTTTGCTATTTCTGACATTTTTTGCAGACTTCTGTGGAGATAAATGTCAATCCAATTGTGTTTTGCACCCTTCACCCCCAAGTGGTTCTAGTAAAGGGAAAGCTCTATCTAGAGGTAAGAGTCAAGAATTGGATAAATAGCTATTGTTCACTAATGTGACTACATAGTAATCGGCTACTATGAAGCATGGAATGCTCGATCCAACTGTCACGAAACGGTGCCGCTAGACCTTCCCGGTAGGAAATTTCAACAAATCAATATATCACAGTTTTCCTTGACACTTATAATTAACAATAGTTTCTGCTCTTACCCACCTCAATTACGCCTTTGCCTTTATTGACCCATCTAGCTTTGAACTCACGACGATGGATACAGCAACCCCAGTGTCTTTATTTGACGATATTGCAGCCCTTAAAGATATTAAGCCCTCACTGCAGATATATATTAGTATTGGAGGCTGGACATTCTCTGATAATAATACTATGACACAGCCAGTATTCGGCAACATTGCACGAAGTCCGGAGAACCGTGAGAAGTTTGCTAATAATGTTCTTGATTTCCTGAATCAATACGGTTTTGATGGGATTGATATTGATTGGTGAGATGTTTTTCGAGGCTCCCCCGGTTATGGTATATGAAGCTAATACATGTATATGGAAGGGAGTACCCTGGTGCCCCTGATAGGGGTGGTCATAAAGAGGACACCAAAAATTATGTTGAAATGGTAAAGACGCTCCGCAAAGTTTTTGATAAGTCCGGACGAAAACTGGGTATCACATTTACAGGACCTTCTTCATTTTGGTACATGCGTTGGTTTGATTTACCAGGCTTGCTGAAGTATGCAGACTGGATGAACCTTGTGAGGCTTTTACTCTTTAAGTCATCTTGAGCAAAGGCTTACGGGTATTAGATGTCGTACGATCTACATGGTGTTTGGGACCAGACGAACCCGATGTAAGCTTATCTTAACCTTCATTTGAGCCTAATCTAGTTACTAATCATATCTACATAGTGGTTCGATTGCACAGGCACACACAAACTTAACAGAGATCAAGCTTGCGGCAGAACTCCTATGGAGAGTTGAGGTGAAACCTTCACAGGTAGCGATCGGCTTTGGGTTTTATGGACGAGCCTTCACTCTCCAGGACCCTAGCTGTACAGATCCTGGGTGTCCCTTTAGCGCAGGTGCTGACCCTGGTATCTGCACACGTACTAGCGGGTGTAAGTCTTCATAACACCCATATTTCGGAATAGCTTACTTAACGCATCTAGATCTGGCCTATTACGAGATCCAAGATATCCTTTCGAAGGAAAAAAATACCAAATCCCTTTTAAACAATGGGGACATCAAAATTGCTCACGATAAAACTGCGGCAGTGAAATATTTTACCTGGTATAATGACCAGTGGATTTCTTACGATGACGCTGATACATTCAAGCAAAAAATTGACTGGGCAAACAGTATTGGATTCTCTGGCTCGTTGATATGGGCCTCTGACCTTGGTAACCTATCTTCATAAATCCACTCAATACTTAGATCGGCTGCTAATATCTGCAAGACGACTATTCATTCACAGCGCACAAAGCTATAACTGGAAAGACAAATATTGAATCGGCACTAACCATCAAGGATTCCCAAGAACAACTAAACCCGGATCCAGATACAGTTTCAAGTGATCTCAATGGGTCTCTTGCGAAGGATTGCTACAAATTCCGGGATATTGTAGCACTTGATAACCCCCAGGTTTCGACCTGTCGCTCAGGATATACTACAGTGGGATACGACCGAGCTACTTCAGCTGGAAAAGATGTAAGTTTTGGATATATAAGCTTCCTAGCATCCAGTTCTAAAGTTATACAATTATCTAGGGCGAATGGGGTCGACCCTGGTGTTGCCCAAAGAACAGCGGCCTTAAGAACTGCCAGTGGAGAGGTAGTGGAGGTGACTGTAACGGCCAATGCCATCCTGGGGAAATCCACCTCGATGGCTCTAGCTGGGGCGGTAAACCTGGTGAATCTGGCACGGGTAAATGCAGTCGCGGTGGGAAGGCCCTATGCTGCCAAATGGAACAGTTTGAAGCGTTTACCAATGGTTGTTACTGGACAGATGGAGCGTAAGTTTCTAACCCCTTAATTCTAATAGTATCCGCTAATATGAATCCAGCAATAAACCCTGCAATGACCTGGATATGAAATTGGCCTATGCATGGGATAAAAGTTGGGGAGGCACCGTTTTTAATCATGGAAATAGCTATTGCTGTCCTGCAACCCGTCCTCCACCTTACAAAGACTGCCACTGGGTTGGTCAGGGAGATTGTGCCGATAATACATGCGACAAGACGGAGGTGACACTTGAAACAGATACACGTGGAGACACTTATGGCTCTTGCGGATGTTAGAACTCTCTCTCCTTCTCTAGAAATTTACGCTGACCATCCTAGGGGGCCGGAAAAAATCACTCTGCTGCAAGCCGAATCTGGACGAATTCACAACTTTTACCTGTGAAAGTGGACATATAGATCCATGTGATGACCCCTCTGATGAATGTGAAGATTCGGGCAACGATGATACCGGTAACTCACTTACCATACGATCTGACGAAGATGGTAGCCCCATTCTCGTCCGCAGAGGGGGAATTCGATCAGCTAGTCTACTTATGACCAAGGGGTTATCTTTTTCTAAACATCTGATAATGACTAGTCGAAGCCATCCTAGTGGCTTAAAGCTATTCAAAGGTATCGGGGCTAAGACTTTGCCAATCCCACTCTACGGTGGATATAGGTGATACTACTTCAGCCTCATAATATGTGCTTGATTAAAGTTCTAACAGGAAATCATCAGCATGGCGAAAGATATATGCAGTTCCACAGCTATAAAATTTACAGCACTGGCTGATATTTCCGGAGGCTTCCAAGCTGAGCATGAACAGGAGGTAAGTCATCCCGCTGTGGTTTTGACAGTTTTTGTATACTCTGGCTAACTAAAATAGATCCAAATGATTTTCAAGTTGGTTAAGGCGGCTGTAAGTGGCGAATTACCCTCAGGGGCTTTATTGAAAGCCGCAAAACTGGACCCTGAGAAGGTATATAACAGCTGGAATAAACTATATACCATTACATTACCGCAAATCGGAGTTGACCTTTCAACCTCGACTCTAAGAGGTTGGACAAAGCCTGAAACCCCCAATGACCGAATTTTTGAGATCATTGGTTCCCACGCATACCGCGGGGGCATGTCTTTGTTGGAAAGTGAGATGAATGGTATCAAGGGAAGAATTTTTCGAAAATATAATCCAATGGGCCCGGGGACTTTTGCTAAAGCCCTTGACACAGTTGCAATAGGGCATATTCCCGAACACGCAAAGGACGCTGAAGAAGCGGCAACAAAGATCATTGTGACAATGCAGAAGGTAAGTGTAGCTAAACCCACTCCTTATTGTAAATTACATATTCTAAGCATACTTTAGGTTATTGGAGTGTTTAATTATATGAATGATAACGTCTTACGGACGTACTTTGACCTGGCTAGGAAGGAATTAACCAGAGAGATTGCCTTTACCGACAACAATATGCCAGGGCTCAAAGGACTCCTGCCCATCTGGAAAGAATTTGAACCAGACTATTACGCCACAGCCGTGAAGTTCGCAACCAAATTTATACACACTCATGTCAACGCTATAAACGATAAATTCCCTACTGGGAGTGTATCCGGAAACGTGGCTGCATCACTTTTGGTCCATACTGCTAACCAATTGGTAAGAGCTGTTGGTCAAATTAAGTTTGACACGGAAGATGTTGATTGAAGCACAAGGGTCGGTCTTATAATAATATCTGTGGGGTTGTTCTAAGTATGAGGTTTCAATAGCGATAAATTGACAAAATGTGATCTGTGGTTAATCTACGAAGTGTTTTATACATTAAGAAGTGCAAAGATTCGTTCGAGTACCATGTGTATAAGTCCTTCCGCTTCGTTCTTGTATTTAAGACGAATCGCATGCATATTGGGACAAGAGCCTTAACACTATCCAAGTACCCTCATACGTAGTATGATATATTTCGATAAGTTAGACGGAGTAAACCAAAGTAAGGTCAATTTTGTGTTTTCGCCTTTTCGCGCCTGGTGGGATGTCTATCGGGCATTGCTAATAAAAAGAATGGAACCATCTTCACCTAAAATTTGCGCCAGTAGCCCGGTGCCTTACTTCTATCGAACATGTTCCACATAAGAGGTGGTCTAGAATATAAATCGTACCAGAAATCCGTCTGCATCAGCATATCATATAATGAAACATGGTCCAAGATTTCGATATATATCCAGCCAACATCTTCCTCCTCGCAGTCTGTATCGCCATCCTCCCAACCAGGGTATACAATATAGTCTCTGTCTCCTGGCTCTCGCACGCCGAATTTTTTTCCAAGCAGCTTTATAACAGGATCACTCATATGTTTCAACGACTCTAAGCAAATATCATCAACAAAGAGACAAAAATTGTGCCGAGTGCCAAGATTCCACTCTGGACCAGGAGTAGGAGAATAGATCTCTCGCATCATTTGCTGATCAGACTCAGACGGTGTGATAACCAATTTATCCACCAACGTGTCGGCAACCCAGTTTGTGAAGTGATCGCGGATATCATGCGATGTGGCTCCATCGAATTTATCCTTGCATTCCATGATTGTCATTCTATGGGAAGGAAGCAGGTCCATCCGTTGATATAAAGCAAGACTATCTTCAACTGACTTCTGGAGGCTCTTCAGCATTCGCTGCCATATCTCTTCGTCGCCATACGAACATCTATACACCACCCAGCCCCAAGTAAAAGGCTCCTTTAGCCTATCCTTAACGGTGGGATCATCGATTTGAGAGGGGTTTAAATCAGCTGTTGGTGAGGTTGCCATGTTCCGGTAACCCGATACCAACCGAAATTGCGGTTGCAGCAACTGCGGAACGCGGCCAACTGTCGATGTGTAAGAAGGGCTCCAGGATGCTTTCAATATAGCGTTTTTGGTGGCTCGTCTGGCATGCAATCTCAAAAACATTGGATAATAATCAGAAAGTTGGAGTATTTGGTCTCACGTTGCCAGAATATTGAGAGTAAGAAGAAGCTGGATAAACAAATGAACACTGTAGCAAAAGCTGGGAACGTCCTCTATTTAAGTGGGTTGTTTTCTGTGGATATACATGTCTCACACTGCTCAACCACAGGGCCTATGGCTCCAATCTAAGGTGGTAGGGATGCCCCTGCAGATGACATGCTCACCACGTGACTCAGGGGTTGACCACACGCAGATATGCAGAGGCATACAGCAGGTTGACACCACCACCAACAGGAGTCATATTAAAAGCATGGCATAACAACATCTTCCAAGTATCTTCCTAGGGGTTAACCCAGTGAAAGTATGGCATTAAATAGAGAGGGGAAATTTATACCGTCTTGGATGTTAGCAAAAAACTGTTACCCCAAAACAATAAATTACTCTATTTTCCGAAAAAACAGCCATATAACACTGATTCTACAACTCCTTCAAAATGCCTCAATACAAAAAGGGCCAGGATGTGCGCTACAAGCCTGTGGGCAGTACGTATAGAGAAGATATTCTCATCTGCTAAGAGAGATATACCGATAACAGTGCACAGGCCACTGGAAAGACGACCACTATCTATGAGGAGAATATCTTGGGATCTGTCTAATAGTATGAAATGTGTATTATATACTGATGATGGTAGCGTTAGTATTAAAGCGGATATATAATTCTGAAGATGTCGGAAGCCCCTTAAAGGAGCTAGAAACTCACGAGCCGAATGGAATTAACATCTTTATCAACAATGCTGTGGTAGCCTTAGAGGCGGGGAAGAAAAGCCATGAATCATCTGTTGACTACTATTCTTCTGAGTCCGCACGCTCGTGGCTTGAGGGAGACGGAAGAGATGTTTGGCAACAAACATTAATCTCAAACTTGACCCCTCATTATTTCCTTACTGCAAGGCTTATTCCTGCCCTGGACATTCGTCTTCCGTCATAGACATCTCCAGCATTTCTAGAACAACTAAAACACATTCATCCGGCCAGTATGCCTCTACAGTAAGTAAGGCAGCATTCGGCCTTACCCACTCCGTATCTGGGTCAATTGCATAGAACCAGGCCTGTTACCAAGTGAGATAACCACTGGGGTCCCGATGAGGATTAAGACAAAACTTGAAGGAGTAGGCCAAAAGTTTCCCGCATGTATAGCCCTTCTTTTCTGCGGTAACTTCTAGGAATCTCCAAAGGATGAAGCAAGTGTGTAGGTCGAACTGGCCAGGAGGGCAATATTGAAGCTGTCACTGCCGGTCTGTATGGGAATAACGCGTACTGCATAGGTAAGCGATGCCAACAATGTTAAAAGTATCGCTAAGGGTTGCTGACACCAAGGTATAAAGTTCAGTGGCTTTCGGGCCGGACCGAGGGTAAACCTTAATCTTGACATGTGAGGTCTTGTTCTTTGGTCCTAGATAGGGTCAAGGTGGACATAAACCAGGGAGTAATAGAACTTTAGCCACCATGTGAGGCCTTCTTGTACCTTTCCAACGCTTTGCTCCTACTCTCTGAGTGATTCACAATCGGTCTTGGGTATCCATTCTTCTCTGCTGTTTCCCTAGCACCCCGCCCGTAAGGGTCGTGTATCGCTGAACCCTCTATATTTCGCAGCTCAGGCACCCAGTGGCGAATATAATCGCCGTTTGGGTCAAATCTCTCACTTTGGCGTAACGGATTAAATATGCGAAAATATGGTTGGGGGTCTACCCCTGTGCTCGAGCCGAACCCCCAGCCACCATGATTTGACGCAAAGTCTCCATCGATCAAATGTTTCATAAAGAATTGTTCTCCAAGCCGCCAATCAATAAGCAGGTCCTTGGATAAGAATGAGGATACTATCATTCGCGTACGGTTGTGCATCCAGGCACTGTGCTTGAGCTGACGCATTGCGGCATCGACAATGGGAAAGCCAGTCTTGCCTTCACACCATGCATTGAACTGGGCTAAGTCATACTCCCATTCTAGATTTGTGAATTCCGGGTTTAAACACTTATTCATGCTGTTTGTGAGAATTATTAGTGCCATTCATACAGTAAAGAGAAACATCTGAGGTTACTTACCAGATATATGGCCAATGAACTAACACGTGTTTATAAAAGTCTCTCCAGGCAACTTCACTAATCCACGTCGAATAGCCTGTATTTTTTCGGGCGAGCTCATTACCGTTTGCCTCCTGCGCCATGCAAATTGCGGCTCGGGCACTCAAGGAGCCACAACTGAAGTACGGGCTTAAGACGGAGGTGGTCTGGCTCGACATGAAGTCCCTATTTTCGTGATATTGGTTCCCTCTCTTCGCTAAGAATTCTTTAAGTCGCCGATCTGCTTCATGCTCACCTGCGGGGTACATTTCCCTAAAACGCTGACTCTCCGAATCAGATAGTTGCATATATGTTGGGGCTTCTGGGACTTGACTATGAAATAGCTCTTCGAAATGTTTCCGTGCATCGCCCGCATTGCGGGTCGGCGCATCAACCAGCTCCAAATTTTCTGGATGTTCCATAAGAAAGGCCACCCAGGACCGATACCACGGGGTATATACAGCGTATTGTTTGCCCTGCTGCGTAGACAAATCACCCGGAGCAACAACACAGGTGTCATCCTCCGTATCAAATATAATGCCCTGTCTGGCGCATAACCGAACGATCTTCGCCTCACGACGCAGCTCGTCCACCTCGTACTCTAGATTGGTAAAAATTTGGTTTGCACCCCACTGCTTACACAACTCAACTATGCGTTTGGGAATGTCTTTTCTCTTTTCTTGGGTCTCCATATATAACGGGATATCCTGCTTTTCCAAGTCTGATTTCAGGATTGCGAGTGTTCGTAGGATGAGGTCGACTCGGGGCCGGCTGCATAAGTGTGCGGTCAAGTCTTCTGGTGAGAATATGTAAATGCAGATGAGCGGAATGTCATAGTTTCGAGCAAGGCTGTACGCTTTATGCAGTGAGCGATTGTCTTGAAGGCGAAGATCTGATTTAAACCAATGCACCACGGCCTTGCCTGGTTGGACGTTCTTGCATTGCCCAGCAGTCTCCCTGTGCGCCCGCTGCAATGTTTCAATAGGCCGCTCCAGTATCCCTTCGTTGTAAGCGTAGCAGCGTTCATTGTTCATTTCAGGAGGGTAGAAGTCACGTAAGACGATTCCAAAGTCCTCTGCCTGCTGTGCGTTGGGGTGTGGTCGTCTCAGGTCTGGCTGTGAACGCGACGACGTCCAGGAAGACCCGCTCTGCCGGCGTGTTCCATCTGGGAGAGGCGAGTCAGACGCTTTACGTTTCTTCACGGGCATGCTGTGAGAATATCGAGATGTCAATGGTAGTATTCGTGGTGGTTGTGCTGTTAACATCTCGTGTTGTTTGTGGTCTTTCTCAGTGACGTCACTGACGCGTCTATTCCTTCACATAAATCGGTTTCACTGCTTCGTAGCCAACAAGCGACCAATAGTGAATGAAAAGAAAGCAGCCATCAAGGCAAGGAAATAAAAGGAGTCGAGCTGGGTCCTTCAAGATACTCCCTGGTGTCGCACATAAGTTTTGCACAGGGTAACTCGTCTCTCTGCCGCCTCAGGCTGCGGACTTGTCTTTTTGGCCAAAGGGCAGAATATTTGACAATACTCTCATGGGCATTTACTGGACCCTTTGTTGGAAGCAAGATATGAACCGAGATAAACCACACCCCCTTGAATATATCAACGTTCAGTGCCAGTCCTAATACCCCCCTGATGAACATAAAGAATGTGGAATCGATGCCCTGGACTGCTGGTCAGCGCTCTCACGCCGGAGAGCGATTCTACAGCATCATCGAATACTTTGGCAACAGCATCAACTCCAGCGACAAATATAAACCTAACTTGCTTATACGCTATACCTACGAATATTCACGGTCTGAACTGTCCCAGGATATATTCTTACGTTACTTCTTCCGGTATTTAGAGCGAGACATTGACAGTAATGAAGCCATCGAGTATGATGAAAATTTGCTAGATGATGTGAAGGAATTTGCGGACTCGCTGCTGGATAATTTTTACTTTCCCTGTCGGTCCCCTTGCTCCCGTCTTACTCTGCATTGCTAACCCTTGTACAGTGAAATCAACCGGCAGAAAGACTCCGCAGCCTTTTCCTGCGAACCTCTCAGCGATCAAAAGTTTACAGGGGCCACACGAATTTATCGGCACACCAGAGCGAGTATCACATCTTCGGGCTCAATGTCTCGCCCGAGATCATTATCGTTGTGTGGTTTCGCGATCATTTGACGTCAATGAGGCATTCAAGCGTTTATCCAAGGACAAGAAGGCTCTAGATGATGAGGGGATTCTGCTTAAAGGACAGCCCACTGATGTCTTAGAGGTGGCCCACATAATTCCGCATTCACTAACTCAAGCAGATACGAATTCTCAGCTAGTGAGTCTGTTTCAAACCTAATCTACATATCCATACCCTTGGCTAATGTATATAGCCTGAGCCTAAAAAAACTGCACTTGCGATTTTAAATATGTTTGACTATGATGTGGGCCATCTCATTAATGGTACTGATATCGATCGGCCGCCGAATGTTTTAAGCCTCACTCCTAAATGTCGTACTGCTTTTGGAAACTTCGATATCTACCTGGAGGCCGTTGCTGATCAGGAACATACTTATCGCATCAAAACTTTCTCCCCAACCCAAGAAATGCTATATGGACTTCCGGTGACCCGCAAGCTCTTCCTCAGCGAAAACTACACGGTTGAACCCCCTTCGCCCCGGCTCCTTGCTTTGCACAGTGCCATTGCCCACGTACTTCATTTATCCGGAGCTGGAGAGTACATCGACAAAATCCTCGGGGATTTTGAAGATACTGGCGTCCGAGGGAATGGAACCACGGAACTGGGCCGCCTGTTGAAGTGGAGGATCGCTGGTTGGCTACATAGTGTAGTTGCTTATTAGATTTAGCATCGGTTTCTAAGTAATGTTTACAGGGCACATCGTGTTCGCAAGACAGACTCAAGGGTATTCTAGCTATTGTTTCTAGAACTATCGCGGCAGAGGGGTAGTCATTTGTGGGCTTGTTAGATACCCTAGAGTTCCATGTCCTGGTCTATAAAACCGTGGGAATGGTGACTACTTCTCGCCCACCGACAAGCACGGTTATATATTTTATAGTTGAGAAAGAAGGTAAACCCAAGTTTCTTTCTATAGTTGATGCTATAACTACCACGCAGAAACACTATCTGTTGTATAGAGAAACAAATGCCGAGCACCCTTGCTGGAGCTCCCCAAAGGTCTTCACCAACTTTAGCACGAAGTTTTGGATGTTAGATCCCTTTGATGGACTCCATATATGGCGGCATCTGGTCAGAAAAGAGCTCTACCTCGGGCTTATATGCCTCAAGTCTTGGAATTTGTTAAGTTCCGGGTCTCCTCAAATCAAGGAAGGCTGGACACTTACCCGTTCTCCAATAAAGAGGTCCTAACTATGATTATGTCCCCATTGCGAAGCATAGGGATCGTCCAAAGGGTGCATCCGCAACGAGTGCAGAAGCGTTTGTGTTTCTCATTTCCACTGGACGTGTTCTTGATAGTCCAGTTGCCAATCATATCCTCACCAGAGAGCACTTTAACCTGCTCTTTTTTGAAGACTGCTGTCTGTTTAACAAGTATTAATATGGCCGTAGGATACACTACTATCTGGTCAATTACTTACGATTTGAAAAGCACCACCAGCATTCAGTTTACAATCGCCACAATAACAAGCGTACACCTTCTCAGGCTCATCTTTTACCTCGAAATCCACGCCCTTGCACATGCAGGTACCATGCCGTGTGAGGTTCGCCATTTTCTTCCTTTTCGCCGCAGGATTGGGGTGGGTTGAAATTTTTCGAAATACGTAGGTACTTCTCAGCGGCGATAGAAGTACCTTTCACTTAGGAATCAAACGCCATATATAACTATGCATACTATGCGGGGTATCTTATTAATTATGAACCCCCTGTTACGCCTTGTAGGATTTCGTTGCTCCGCAATGTCAACAAGCTCGGCGCTTAACTCGGTAACTGACTAGTTATGACAAGCTCTGACACTCCAAACTTTGCACCTACTAAAGTTGGCCGATACATACGACCATAGGGAGTGGAAAACGGAGCTTTCCGTATATTAGCATGGCAGAAATAGTTGATAAGCCAAAAGAGCTTTGGCACTCGAATTGCTAGGGCGGTTCCATCAGGTATTGCTCTGGTAAAGATGTTTGATATCCCTCGAGCCCCGACGAGCCAATATTTCCTTCTGACTTTGTACTATATCGATGCCATAGTACTAGGTGCAATTGTTCTAATGAACTACCGATAGATATCGGAAGCTCACATCATCTCGGCAGAGTTCTGTTGGCAAGGATACTAGGTCTTCGGCCTCTATGCCAGCTTTCTCTTACATAATAACTAGTGAATCACGGGAGGCAGAAAGGGTAGCTAGTATTCTTTCGGTGGGAGGGAGATGATTGCTTCCTCTATGATGTGGGGTGCGCTGCGGCAGGATAAGCATAGAAGCCGTTCCACAGGTTGAACAGGGAGCAAGATCCAATAGACGGTACAGTGAGAATTCGGACGTGTTGGCCGGCATGAGCGCCAATAAACATTTAACAAGGATTCCGCAGAAGACCCAATAGACGGTTTAGTAGGGACTTCGATATGTTGGCCGGCATGAGCGTATTTAATAGTAGTCATATATCCCCAGCAATTAGTATGATATGGGATCTAAGATGCGAACGGCGATTTAACGGGCATTTAACCAGGGGGAAGAGGGGATTATACAGGGCCTCAATGTGATCAGACGGTAACTTAGGAAATTCAGCCCTTGCAATGTACCTGTACTTCTATACTCCTTGGTCTGTACCTTGAAAACTAGACAGTGAGTGCAGCAGCTTCTAATTGCCTAAAGCATTTACAATCAAACATTGAGCATAAACGTTGGGTGCCCTACACTATAAATCCCTTCTCGTTTCCTAGTATCTCCTCCATCTTTGACTTACAAGCATATTTCATGTCTACCCCATCCCGCTACGGCTACACATAAGTTAGAACACGGCCTCAAGCAGCAAGACCAGCAGTATCCAGGTCCGACCACTAGTAGCGATGGACATGCCAGTCAACGATACAAAGGAGCGCCAACAGCCCCCTCGTCCCACAGTTTCCGTGGGCCTCGAAGCTAAGGCCGGTCAACATGAGTTCAGGATTACGGATGCTCAGCGTGAAGCTATCTTTGCATGTGATCTAGCATGGTCACATAGCGATGAATCGTCCAACGACTTCCGGTCAGATTCTTACACGAAGCCTACGTTGCGGATGTTAGAAGCTATCATCTCGACGAGTCTCGGGGATGGTGACACTGATGAGGACCCAGCGACTCACGCCTTACAGGATTATATTGCTGGCCTGGTAGGCCATGAAGCCTCTCTTCTCGTGGCCTCGGGAACTATGGGCAATCAGGTGGCCCATCAAGCGGCTCTCCCTGTCCCACCCTATTCGATCCTTGCCGACCACCGAGCTCACTTCCATACCTTTGAGTCCGGTGGCGCATCTCTTCTTTGCGGCGCATTGATTAGACAGGCCGTTCCATCCAATGGCCACCACCTCACCTTGGCTGACATTAAGCGGGAAAGCACGCTGGGGGAAACAGTGTACGAGGTCCCAACTAGGGTCATCAGCCTTGAGAACACGCTGCGTGGTACCATCATGCCGCTCTCCGATGTTCGCGCTATTTCCCAGTGGGCGCGCTCGCAGAGTCCGCCGATTCATATGCATTTAGACGGTACCCGCCTTTGGGAGGCTGTTGCCGCTGGGGCATTTACCCTATCCGAGATTGGGCCCTGTTTCGATAGCATCCAGTTATGCTTTACCAAGGGAATTGGAGCACCTCTTGGCAGCATTGTAACCGGGAGTTCTGTTTATATCAAGCGCGCAAAGTGGTGTCGCAAATTCCTAGGGGGTGGAATGCGCGCCACCGGGCTGATTGCTGCACCCGCAAGAGCGGCTGTCGACGATGTTTTCTTTGGCGGAAAGGTGAAAGCAGCCCAGGATCAGGCTAAATACGCGTCAGACTTTTGGGAACAGCTTGGAGGAAAGCTTTCAATGCCAACAGAGACAAACATTGTCTGGCTTGATCTTGAGGGATCTGGCCTAAAGTATGAAGATTTCTATCCAGTTGCTCTCAAGTTTAACCTCAAGTTTCGAGACCTGCAGCTTGGACGTCTTGTTTTCCACTATCAGATTTCTGACAGTGCATTAGCGAGGCTTTGCGATTTTTTTAAGGCTGTTCTGCAGTAAGCATGTTTAATGAACTAAACACCAACTTTTCTATGTTTTCTGTTTTAGTGATGAATAGCCGAGTATTCCCTTTGTGCAAATATGTGTGCAATAACATTGGCATAGAGGTCATTAAGAATTAGGTGATTTGGGATTAGTAGCAAAATCTTCCTCGCGGGTTCAAGCACTATTTGTGGCGAGCTATAGTACCATAGTTTGGAGGCTGCTTGTTAGGGAGCCCTGTGTGTAAACGGTACGTAATAAGAGCTTCCCCAAAGTCTTGCAAATTCGCTCCTATGAAGATTATGTCAATATAAGTAGTTGTCAGGCTGGAGCAAAGGTAACAAACGTGGGCTGGGATTGCATTTTGAAATCTTAGGCCCAACACAGTATAGGCTAGGTAGATAAATTAAACACCCCTAGACTTCTTTATTATAATATATCCTGCCCTAGTTGGGTATTGAGAATGAGAGCTGCAGTCCAAAACTTTTGGAATAGGTATTGTTGTATGAGTCTGGACTATAGTGTTTTAGATATCAGCCTCTCACGAAAGAGTGTAACATGTACTTCTTACCGAACTCTAGTACAGCAGCCCAAGATGCGGCTGAAGGCATTGGTAGTCTCGTATGTGGATAGGAAATTTTGGTAATAATAAGATCGTTACCTTGTCAACGTCGAATCATCAACAAGGAAATATCCGTTATTCTGAAAATCTTTGTGGCTGATAGATTTGCCTAGTTATCGAAGTCAGGTTGGATATAATAACGGTTAGGTAGTATAACGCACTTCGACAAGTAACAGGAACAGCCTTGATATCAATCATGGTGATCTCGACATCGAGTAATAATCAACTTCAGTACGTGGAGTAGCAGAGCAGATGACATAATCCAACAGTCCTTTGTCAGATGTTAGTCATCCGCCCGCTACGCCTCTCTATGGTTGCCTGATAACTTCACGTCAAATACAACCAGCCTCTCCGCCGCCAACCAGCGCGGGCTCGCCTTTTTGGCCAAATGGCAGCTTGATATTTACCTACCATTATATCCAGCCCTCCAACTGGTGAGGACCCGGGGACCTCTTGGCCCATAATGTCTTCAGAACCAAGTGTTGAGGAGCTCCAGCGGCGGCTAAAAGAAGCAGAGGACAGGGTGGAACGGGCGGAGAGGAGAGCTGAGCAAGCAGAGGGCAGAGCTCAAGAGCTCAAAAGCAGGACTGACCAGACAACCTTCGAGGCCTTTCTCCAGTCATGCCACAAACATATCGCGGTGCCGCTCAGCATCCAGCCGGACCAGTCCAAAACCACAAAGGGTTCGATCACGGCCCCTACTGGCCGCTGTTGTCCCACTATACTCCGCCAATGGACGGATTTTCCCCTTCAGCGCGATGACCTCTTCGACAAGGTATCCTCTCTCTTCCATCCGAGCGAGGCGCCTTCGCCAGAAGTATTCCTATCCGTCGAGGGGACGAGAGCTGTCGGTAAAGTTGTTTCCCGTCGACTGCTAGGTAGTGAGCTCGATCTCATGATCTATGAACGATGCGCTGTTGAAGAGCATGTCACGTCTATAGTGCAGGAATTGTTGAATCTTGATACCAGCACTCACCTCCCATTTCTAGGGTCGGGAATATCGTTTGAGAACCATGCCAACACCCTCACGGAGGAGGAGGAGGAGTCAGAGCAGCAGAATCATAAGGGCTGGAAACCTCGTTCCGATCAACTGTGTGTGTTCCGAAAAGATGAAGAGATTGAGACGCTACTTTTCGTGATAGAATATAAGGCTGGCCATAAACTTCTACCTGGAAATGTACGAACCGGGCTGCAACCATCAAACTTCTGGGAAGAGGTTGTGCAGGCCCACGAAATCCCCGTTGACAAGGAGGAGAAACTTATATATAACGCACAGCAGATCAGCGGTGCTGCCATCACACAAGCATTTGATTACATGATCAGAGAAGGGGTCGAGTATGGGTATTTGACGACCGGTGAAGTATTTATTTTTCTTCGTATCAAGGAAGATGACCCGACTACGCTATATTACCACCTTGCCGAACCTATTCGAGATGCTGAAGCTCAGAATGGCAAGCCTTTTTCGCCTTCTAGCACTGCCATATTTTCGGTTCTTACGCTATGCCTCCTTGCCTTGAGGTCGGCGAAAAGGGACCAAGAGTGGCGGTCTCGTGCAATTTCCAATCTTCACACGTGGGCTGTCGATGTAGAGTACATCTTGGCGAAAATGCCGGTTAAAGAGAGATACCGAGCACCATCTGACTCAAGTTATACCCCATCAAGTCCGCCTTCTAGCCCCGTTCAACAGGAGCAATCTCGACAATCACGGCGACTGCAAGGACGCTGTGCGGACCACGACGACACGACCAACAATCCGCCCTCGGATAGTTCTGAAGGGGAAGATCCCAGCAAACGTAACGCACTATTCCCCGGGGGGAAAAGATTTGCAGTGGTTATATCTCCACCGCGAGAGCCTCCGGCAAAGCGACTGCAATCACAGGAGGAGCGCCGCCGCAACCGCGAGCCTGACCGTAAATACTGTACACAAAAGTGCCTTGCCGGCTTGGCTACTAGGGGTATTTTAGATCAAGCGTGCCCCAATGTTGCTCTTCACCAAAGGATGAGCCTGGACGGCAGCCATCCAATATCAAAAGCGGCCGTCGCCGAACTGCTTGAGGCCCAGTTGAACAAAGACCGAGATAATGGTTGCAGGCCTTTGAAATTTTCTGGCGCGCGGGGAATTCTGTTTAAGATGACTCTGGCTCAATATGGCTATACTTTCGTTGGGAAAGGAACAATCAAAGGACTGGTCCGTCATCTCCAGCACGAGGCTAAGGTGTATGACTATCTCAACAAGCTTCAAGGAAGTTCGATTCCAGTCTGCTTAGGGGCCGTAAACCTAAGAGAACCATTCATCACAGACGGTTTGGACTTGATCGTCCATTACCTCCTCCTCTCCTGGGCTGGAGATAGCTTAGATTTCTCGCAGGATTGCAACTTTTACGAGGAGTCAAGAAGGCTCGAAAAGGAAGTGGGTCGATATGGCGTTGTCCATGGGGATATTCGTCCTTCCAACATCACCTGGAATTCAGAGCTATCCCGGCCAATGCTCATCGATTTTGACAAAGCATGCCTGGTGCGGAAGAGGCCATTGACTGGCACATGGTCGAATGGTACCCACAGCCGTACTATAAAGCAGAAGCGGCGAAAAGTTTTTAACGTTTGTTAATCTTAGAAGGATCCTTTATTGTTTCTTATACAAGTCTAGAGCTTTAGTGTCCGACATCCCTTATGTAAGGGTCCAGCCCGGGACCTTGGGTTCCTGACACTCTACAGCTTACCTCTACTAACACCTCCAGCATTATTAGAACCCCCTTATGATACCATTATATCCTGTCAACCCATAGTATTAAAGGGCTCTAGCAAGCTCAGCCAGCCAGAGAACCCCCCTTTTCCGTAGCAATAACAAAGGCTCCAAGCAAGGCTAATCTTTTTTTTTTCTAGAATAGGTTGTAGCATAGCAAACGAACATAACTATGTCTATGCTGCTGATAGATTTGCTAGCACTTAATTATCAATTATTAACTAAATTTGCTACAGAGTAGATTGTAACTAACGGTTAATAGTCTCCAGACTGTATATTTGTCCCTTCTAGCAAGAACTGCAGCATTTTAAGGAGTCACTCTACACCTACTGATGCTATAGGGGATCGGCTATATATTGAGTAGAAATCATGACTTGTCTCCAACTGATAAGCAAATATATGATATTTCCCTTGCATATATGCATGAGGTGTCTTGATGTGATCTCGGCTAGCCCCATGGTATGCACTGCACGGTTCTAGCCAAGTCCTTTGGGGAACATATCCGCTTCCGTTGGCTCTTTGCACCTTGTCTACGGCAGTGACAAGCTACAGGCCATCTTTAAATAGGGTTAAAGGCATTCTTCCGCGCTGTCTTTCGAGGCTATGGACATCATGCAGGCCGGGAGAAGACCGAGTCGGGATACTTCCCCGAACCTCTTTTCTGTTCAGCACGCGGACCTCGTATGATATCAGTCAATCTGTTTGTCATGCCATCTCGTCTATTGGATCCTCTGTTTCTGGGCATATTTCTTTTCCTCCAAGATGCTATTTGAACAACGCGGAGTGCAAGCGGGGAGATTTGATATATCGATGTTACGCCCGTGGCTATCCTAATATCGCTGCTTCTTGACCCTGAAGGCTTGTTATTTTGAGCTCCCCCGCAATAGTACATGGATAGGTAGAGTGATAACGTGGGGTTCTGCTTGGTAGATGATGCTTGACAGTTGAGTGTTGGCCCTTGGACCGAAGACTGCTTCTCAGCCACCCCAGCCTTCATTTCGACCCCAGGTCCTGCAATAATTACGGACGTGTCTCGCATGAAATATGCAGTGAAAAAAATGCCTCCAAGTCGATAAGATTGCTCATTTATAGCCTTGTTTCTGCTGTGATGGGGCCCATATGGCGGGTTGGTCATGTAAATCAACTTTGATACATCCTATCTTTCTCGGGATGGCAGTCCTTCTCGGCTTGTGAAAGAGGCTCTCGGGTTTGTTTCCATTGACATTCTTAAATTAGAATAAGAATCCTTTCGGTGATATTGCAAGGTCACCTTGCAGGCATTTGTGTGCCCGGTATTGCAGGGCTGCCTTTGTACTGACAGCCACTAACTCGTCACCAAACCAGGCAAACGAAGGTAGCTCAGGGTTTCCATCAGGCACGATTGGACTGATATTCCCACCTGAATGCCCTCTGTGCGTATTAAGCAATCCCCAGGCGTTGTTCGAGGGAAGTTTCATCTTCAGGGGTCGCGCTTGGCTGCCATCCTTGCGGGCGCCAACTTGCACACCAACCAACAGCTGAGCAGAGGCCAAAAGGGAACGAAGACGATCTCCTTCTTCTACCGAGTTTGAAGTGTTCCTCCACGCGCCTTGTCTGATTCTTGCAAGGGTCCCATGTAGACAAGCAGGCCGGCGCCTGCAGGGGTCGTCCGGCGAGCTTTGCCCTGGTCTGACCTGTGGCTAACCACCGTCGTCGACCGGACAGACCGTCAAGGAGGGTTACATTCTGTAGCCTGTCTGTCAATGTCAACTCCATCAATTTTGTCTGTGGAGCTGCACTCTAGAGCGTCTAGAACTTGATAGCGCCGCCGTGGCTGGTGCATCCTCTGGTTGACGTAGCACATCGAAGCCTTCTTTACGTACATCACGGCTCGATATACACGCCAGCTGGTTGGAGCCTTGGGGAGTGGCCGCCATAAAACCTCCCTCAGTGATGAGCCTGAACATCAGGGATGCTGAACACATCTACTACCGTGGGCTTTTACTGAGAAGAGTTGCAAAAGGACGATAACCTACAATGGTCTCGTACAAGGAAATACAAGCATCCAATGCACTCATCAACGATACGACGGCGCCACAAGTCGCCGTCTTCGTTGGCGGGACGTCAGGCATCGGAAAGTACACGATCAAGGCGTTGGTCGCTACGGGTGCAAGCGTCAGAATCTATCTAGTCGGCCGCAAGAGCTCTTATGAGCGTATGCAGACCTTTATCCAGGAGCTGCAGGCCATCAACTCCAAGGCAGAAGTCGTCTGGACCGAAGGTGAGATCGCGCTCCTCGCAGAAACCAAGAGAGTGTGCGATGTCATCAAGAGCAAGGAGTCCCGGCTCGACTTGCTATTCCTCACTGCGGGCTACGCGCCCTTCGGCGGTCGCAAGGAAACCACCGAGGGCATAGAAACCTCCCAGAGCCTAGAATACTACTCACGAATACTTTTTGCACTCCACCTGCTCCCTCTCTTAAACAAAGCAGAGGCCCCCCGAGTCGTCAGCGTTTTGGCTGGTGGGCTGGAGAAAACCAGCATCGACGTGGACGACTTGGACCTCAAGAAGCCTGGTAACTTTGGCAGCGTTAAGGCTCAGATCCAGTACGGAACTATGAACACCATGGGCTGGGAGAAACTCGCTCAAGGAAACCCCAGCGTGACCTTCATCCACTCCTGGCCCGGCTGGGTTAATACAGAAAACGCGAGGAGGGGCTTGGAGCCGAATTCGGTCATGGCCTGGGTTGTCCGGATCATACTCGAGCCTCTCATCAACGTATTCAGTTTTAGTGATGACGAGTCCGGACAGAGACATCTGTTCCAGTGCACGAGTGCAGCCTTTGGCGGCCGTGGTGTTCCATGGCAGGGCAAGCCGGGTATCAATTCATTGGAGAAGCAAGAAGATGGACTGTTCCTCGTCAACTACAAATGTGGCTGCACCCCGAATGCAAAATCTATGACTGTACTTCGAGAGAAGGCGATGGAAAAGGTTTGGGACCATACTCAGGAAGTCCTTCAACCCTATATGTAGCCCTCTCCTATAGGCTCTAATGTGAGTGAGTCCCAATCCGAGAGGGTATATTTATCATATATATCAAGGTATAGGGATCCTAGTTTTGAAGCAACCTCGAATCAGCTGACAGTCTCGACCAGAGGTCCAAATAGGCTTATCTTTGAATTGGAGGATATCTGGGGAGATAATAAGTATGGAGGTTAATATGGAGACATCAAGCCGGAGACATCAGGATATCATTTTTTTCCTTAGCCACACAGCGTCAGCCACTTTCTTGTACCTGAACTCAAGTGTAAGTTTGAAAGTTGCATGAAGTTTGCCGAAATATAAACTTGTTCTACGCGCTGAGCCATCCCTTGTCTGGGGTACAGGCATCAGTCTGCATCTCCAGATCTTGTGCATTGCTAAAAGCCTATGAATACAGTTCTACATTGAAATATAAATAATATCTACAGCAAACAGAATGATAACCCCACGATTTTGGTGTGGAGCTAACTATGATACATACCCTTGCCGTGGCTATCACCGGCTTCATGTCCCGAGATACGACATCAAGGATTCACAATCCTCGTCCTCATCCTTATTCTCGTCTGCCCATGGAATGATCAGCATGAACTATGGTCTTCGAGGTCAACATGGGATATGCTTGGCCGGAAACATGCGGCGCGCTGCCCCATACCATGAAGCCCTTTCCCTAACGCCGTGGAGAGTGAAGGGGACCATATTGCCAGGCTGCTCTAGCATCCTCAAACTACCTCGGATACCATGCGACTCCAGGGACGTGGAGATGATCAAAACATGGGAGATGATCAAGGGAGATCAACATATATAAACTCCATCTGTTTCCCCCTGAGTCTGGACGATACCCAAAGTAAGTGATTTCCTGTCGATAGGGTCATTATTTTTTCTAAAGAGGAGATTTTCAAGTAAATCCCCTTTCTATATTCTCCTTTGATCAGCCATGCACGGCCTCTTGCTTGCCGCCGGGCTTATCAGCCTGCCTCTCCATGTGCTCGCACACCCCCAGCCGTCGAGCACAAGCCTCGCTGGCCGAGCTGTTGACTTGAACGAGTACCGTATTGGCCACCGATCCAGCTACACCAGCAATGATGAGATGATGAAGCAGCCCAGCATTGCCTCTTTCCGCGCTGGCACCTATGTCGAGGTGGCTACCGAGATGGTCAAGCAGACCATGCCAAACATGGAGTTCCGCCTCGTTGACGACCACTACATTGGCCAGTCCGGTATTGGCCATGTTCGCTTCCGTCAGACCATGCACGGCATTGATATCGACAACTCCGACTTCAACGTGAACGTAAGTCTGCTCTTAGTGTATATAATCTGCATCTTGATCTGGAGGCTTATGACAACTTCTACCAGATTGGTCAAGACGGCAAAGTCCTTTCTCATGGAAACTCTTTCTACACCGGGCCGGCTCCCGAATCCAGCCCAGTGCAGAAGCGAGATTTCTCTGACCCAATGCAGGCTCTCCACGGAGTCCGCAAGGCTCTTAACCTCCCAATCAAGGCCGAGGGTGCCACCGTTGAAAACATGAGCGAGCATAAGGTCATGTTCAAGGGTACCTCTGGTGCTCTTTCTGATCCTACTGCCAAACTCTGCTACATGGCTAAGGAAGACGGCTCTTTGGCCTTGACCTGGAGAGTTGAAACCGATATTGGTGACAACTGGCTTCTCTCGTACATGGACGCAAAGGATACCGGAAAGGTCCACAATGTCGTTGACTACGTTGCTCACGCTACCTTCCAGGTCTAGTACGTATATCCCCCTTTTACCCATCCCAATCCGTACATATCTGTAATGAAGCTAACAATGTAACCAGCAAATGGGGCCTTGCCGACCCTACTGAGGGCAACCGCGAAATTCTCACCAACCCCTGGAACCTGCAGACATCCCCCCTGACCTGGCTTGCCGATGGACAGAACAACTTCACTGCCACCCGAGGCAACAACGCCATTGCTCAGTACAACCCAGATGGCGGTAATGACTATGAGAACAACTACCGACCAAGCCCCAAGAACTTGAAGTTTGAGTACCCATACTCAGCAAACATGGACCCACCCAAGACCTACATCGATGCCTCTGTCACCCAGTTATTCTACACCTCCAATGTCTGCCATGACCTGTACTACATGCTCGGCTTCAACGAGAAAGCAGGAAACTTCCAGGTCAACAACCGTGGCCAGGGTGGTAAGGGAAATGACTACGTTATCTTGAACGCTCAGGACGGTTCCGGCACCAACAACGCCAACTTTGCTACTCCCCCAGATGGCCAACCCGGCCGCATGCGTGCCTACATCTGGACCAGAGCCAACCCACCTCGTGATGCTTCCTTCGAGGCTGGTACCATTATCCACGAATATACCCACGGTCGTAAGTATATCGGTTGTATTTGCTCTTCTTTTCCAAGCTAAATTCCGTTACTCTAGTCTCCAACCGTCTCTGCGGTGGCCCTGCCAACTCCCGATGCCTGAATGCCATTGAATCCGGTGGTATGGGAGAAGGATGGGGTGACTTCTACGCAACCGCTGTCCGTCTAAAGCCCAAGGACACCCGCAAGACCAACTACGTTAAGGGAGGATGGGTAAACAACAGCCCCAAGGGTGTTCGAATGTACCCATACTCCACTGATATGAGCGTCAACCCTCTCGTATACACCTCCAACAACCAGCTGAACGAGGTCCATGCCATCGGTACCGTCTGGGCGACTATGCTCTACGAACTCCTCTGGAACCTGATTGATAAGCACGGCAAGAATGACGGCCCAGTCCCCATTTTCAAGAACGGCATTCCAAGCGACGGCAAGTATCTTGCTATGAAGATCGTCATGGACGGCATGGCCATGTATGTTGAGACCTTTCCCCTCCATATTTGCCCCTGGGTTCATCCGCATGTTTCAAGTGACTGAACTGACTTGTTTAATTTTAGCCAACCCTGCAACCCCAACTTCGTTCAGGCCCGTGACGCCATCCTCGACGCCGACAAGAACCTCACCAAGGCATCCAACAAGTGTGAGATCTGGAAGGCATTCGCCAAGCGCGGACTCGGTGTTGGTGCCAAGTTCGATCCAAAGAACCGCATTGGCAGCAACGAGGTTCCAAAGGAGTGCAAGTAGACGAATGCAAGGGAGAGCTGTTTTAAGAAAACTTCGATTCACAAGTGTACATAGTTAGGGAATGAAATGAATTTTACGTCTTCATAATGTCTCCTTCAGTATCATCTTAGGGTCAGATGCATCGAAATTTCTACGTCTCCTTGGCGGAGTCAAGAACGGGACGGAATAATACCTTAGTTCCGGCAATAAACCGGCCATTGGTGGAATTTGGCATGGAAGGCCCTGCCAGCTTCATCAAGCCTGGAATATAAATTCAAGGACCAGAGGGGCATTTCCATTCCGTCTCTTCTAGAAATGAGGGGCTGAAATCGCCTCGTGCTCAGCCTGTATATTAAGATGATAGCAAGGACCGCATATGCCTGGCTCAGTATAAATCCCTCAATAAGTAAATGAATCTCAGAGACATGGCTCCCTAGAACCAAGGGATGGGATACAAGGCAAAAAGAGGTCATCAGAAGCGAAGTATTAGGGTAAAAATTTTTCCCTTGTCAACTTGACATCTGGATTCTGATATACCTGCATCTCGGTCTTAACGGTGCATAACACAAATTGATCCTTCTCCTGTGGAGGCCTCGTTAAAATCCTTTCGCCCACCAATAGTGGCTAGGCGGGTTGCGGGGATGGCGATGAAAAGTGGTTCATGGATGCCAAAGGACAAGTTCATGGTCGATGTAACTTCTTGATACTCCAATAACCGAGGTATCCTTTCCACTGCTTCGAGACCGTTACGAGAGGAAGATCTAGACTTCATAATATGCCATGGTTTGGACTCCTTTATCCCACTCGAGCAGACTGAATATCTATCTCCACCGACCAGACGAGTGGAATATGCAAGACATCCTGCGCCCTAGCATCTTCCCCGCAAACATCAAGCTCGGCGGCCTTTAATATGGGGATGACTCGGTTATATCCTTGACGTTGCTGTCTACGCCCTTGGGCAGTTGACATCGGCCAGCGTAGGCCATCCGGCGTACCAAAGGGGAAAAGAGAAAGACTCGCGCTATCCACCAAGTTAGTTATAGCTAACCTCGACGGGAGAGACGGGTACCTATCCCGTAGCTCGTTGCCTTCATCGCTTCAGCTACAACTAAGCCGTCAACTTGTTCATCTCGACTTTTCTTCGATGCAGGAACAAAAATCGGGAGCAGCCGCTTAGTCAGCAACATCTCGATTGCATGGAAAAAAACTCTGGGGAAAGACGAGAAAAAAGACCACAGGGATGTTTTTGATATTGGATGGACAGGCAGAGTCCACTGGCTTGGAAGAAAAGTACAGTAGAGTGCCCAGGAATATCCCCCTCGCACCTCGGGTAGCGCGCCCTGGCTGGGCTGGGCAGGCTAGCTGGCGTATAAAAGCCCCAAGGTCTCTCCCTCGCTCAGAGATGCAAGGACGCAGCAGCTTGGGAAGTGAACAAGAAGTAATACCATTGACACGATGGTGGCCTATAGCATCCTGACTCTCATCTCTCTGGGACTTGGATCTCACTGTGCGAGTGCCCTTCAGTATGGCTACAACCAGGTTCCTGTGCACAAGGACTCTGATGTAGTGGCTGGTGCATTTCCTCCCATAAACGGGACTCATCTGCAGTCTCCAGCCTTCACCACTCCTGGCACTGTTCCCAGAGACTTTTCAGATGGCAAGGCTGGGCCAACCAGAGATGAGATCATGGGTAGGTTTCTGCTTTTCCACTTGTAATATACCATGGTTGCTGATAGTTGATAGATAACTTCTTGCGCCGCCTGGCAAGGTCAAATGGCTGGATGGCCTACCATGAAGCTGACTTCATGTCTGAAGAGGGTCGTAAATTCCCCTACTTGTACCTGTCCGGGACCAATTCCTCCCTCGAAAACCCAGGGAGTGGCAAGAAGTTGCGAGTCTGGCTCCAGGGAGGTGTTCACGGGAACGAACCCGCAGGCGACCAGTCCATGCTGGCTCTCCTCGGAGAGATGGCCCAAAACCAACAGTGGACTGCCAAAGTCCTCGAGAAGATGGATATCTTGGTCTTGCCTCGCTATAACCCTGACGGCGTCTTCTACTTCCAACGCTACCTGGCCACCAACTTTGACCCGAACCGCGACCATGTCAAGCTTGCCCGACAGCAAACCAGAGATATCAAGCAGCTTTTCACCAAGTTCAACCCGCATATCGCGACAGATATGCATGAGTTCTCTGCTGGCAGGGCATTCGGCCCAAAGAAGGATGTCATCTACGCTGCCGACGCCTTGTTCAGTGCAGCAAAGAACCTAAACATCGACGAAGGCATCCGCCAGTTGTCGGAGAAACTCTTTGCGAAACGTATGGGCAAGGATATCGAGGCCGCTGGTTTACGCTGGGATCCATACATCACCCAAGGAGACTCAACCAACTCAAAGCTACTCCTTCTAGAGGCAGGCACTGATGCTAAAATTGGACGAAACGCTATGGGCTTGACGCAATGTGTTGCCTTCCTTTGCGAAACCAGGGGCATAGGTATCGCTGACCAACATTTCGAGCGTCGAACTCTGAGTGGATTGGTCATGGCCAAGAGCATCATCCAGACCGCTGTCGATAATTTTGATGAGGTCTATAATACCATTGAGAGGGGTATCGACCGCTTCACTCATAGCAAAGGTAGTATCGTGCTCACTGACAAATCTCCCATATCCGCAAGGACCTTCGGCATGCTCAATTCTACTGATGGCAAGTTAATCGACTATCCTATAGACTTTGCTTCGTAAGTTCCTCCCTTACCTTACTACAGTGCACACTTTGAACCCAAGGCTAACCCTTCAAGGACTACTCCTGCCACCCCGGTCTTGACTCGCAGTCGCCCACGGGCATACCTGATCCCCCAGTCATGGACGGACGTTGTCAAACGCCTAGAGGTACTTGGACTCAAGGCTGAAAAGCTACCGTACAGCTACACCGGACGCGTAGAGGCCTTGAATGTTACATCTGTTGCCTTTGACAAGGAATACTACGAAGGTGTGGTCACAGCCACTGTGGAAACAAAGCTGGTCGAACAGAACATGAGACTGCCTGCAGGTACCTATCTGCTGAGCACGACCCAGAAAAACGCTGCTCTCGCATTCGTTGCATTGGAGGTGAGTGTCCTACGATTTGTGGACGCCCATGATACATTCTAACCGCTGATTTTAGCCCGAATACATGGATTCTTTTGCATCGTTTGGTATCATACCAGTCAGCAAGGGTGACCAGTACCCGATTTTCAGGCTTAAATGATCTATATACGCATATATCCCATCTCTGTTGAGATAGTACATTACATATAGACTATCATACGAGGCAGATAGCTCACGAATTGAAATGTATGAATGACGACATTCAAGAACCTGAAAACTAGTCTTAGTTCAAAAAGGCCTCTAGCTATATCTATATAAGCAACACCGTAAGCAGCACTGTAACCCCCAGCATCCGAAGATCCCTTCTATAAATCTATTTATCCTCTTCATCCGCCCAAAAATTGTCATACGAATATTCGATACTAAGATCAACAAATCGAGTGTACTTTCCATCCGGAGCATTTCCAACAGCCTCGAATTCATCCTGTGTAAGTTCGATGGGTTGGAAATTACTCGTAATTCGCGATTGCGTGAAGGATTTTGGAAGTACCGGATAACCTCGTCTAAGGCCCCATGCTATGAGAAGCTGTCCAACATCACATCCTTTCCTGCCGGCTAAGGCCCGAAGGGCCCGGCTCCCACGAGCCTTCTCCCCATCTCCACAACTAAGCACTTGAGATCCAAGAGGTGAATATGCCACGGGGAGGATATCATGATCAAAGCAATATTGGACAAGCTTGCTGTTGGGGAAGAAAGGGTGAATCTCGATCTGGTTGACAGCCGGTGGTATCGATGCAAGTTGCAGCAGAGACCGAAGCCGAGATACAGACCAGTTTGAAACGCCGATAGCACGGGTAAGGCCGTCTCGTGCGACTTTTTCCATCGCACGCCAGGTCGGCTCCGGCTGTTCTGTGAGTCCTTTCTTAACGATGTACTAGTTTCTCATTCTAAGTATGGATTCATATTTTGTCAACTGGGTTGTTTAGCTACACACCTTCCCATCAGCTCCCATGACCTCGCCTCCTTTTTCATCCTTCTCCGTGGCGATGGGGTAGTGCAGGAGATAAAGGTCAACATAGTCGAGTCTTAACTTCCTGAGAGACTCCTTTATGCTGGCCTCAACATCCCCTGGCTCATGCATATTGTTCCAAGCCTTTGTAGTGATAAAAAGGTCTTTACGCTGAACATCAGGACGAGACTCGAGGAACTCATGGATTGCATTGCCAACCAGCTCCTCGTTTATGTACAGGGCGGCACAGTCGAGATGTCTGTATCCAGCATGGAGGGCGTGGAGTGTGGCTTTGTATGCCTTTTCCGGGTGTCTGGGATCAAAAGTCCCAAACCCGACGCCAGGGATATCCCGCCCGGTATTGAGCTTGAAAGTAGAATCGAACATTGGACCGCCGTATCTCAGATATGCGTTGACCTTGGATCAACCGAAGCAGATGGCGGGGTGAAAAAGGGGAGAGAAGATCTAAATAAAAAGAAACTCAAGGTTAAAAAACGTTAAAAGTTTATCTTCCCACACTTTGATCGGACGACAACCTCAACAGAGAGTGAAAATCCATCTACCTTCGTATCTAAAGGGATATAAACACTAGTATTACAGACCACTTGAGGAAGTAAATAAGACTTGAGATGAGATGTTTCAAGTATGTTCGGATCTAGTTACTGCCTTGATCCATGAAGAATCAACCTATCATTAATGGGACCGCCCACTGGTGCCTCTCAACCCTTGCCGAAACCCATGGTGTGTAATGTGCAACTCCAAGCAAGCAGAAGCAGAGATATCAAATATCAAAGACCCGAATTTGAACAAAAGATGTTGTCTACAGCAGCAATATCTGCCAGTGTTAGCACTCTTGTTGTCCGAGTTTGCTTTGGCAGAAGGCTTGTTCTTACAGATAATATCAGCTGGACATGGGCCTGCATTCAGATGATTGATCAGACGATATTTGTCGGGTTTAAACCTAGTTAACTTCGTTCAAAATCGGGCAACGCCCATTTGACCATCCATTCCGATTCCAGCACTTCCTTTGCAGTCGGTCGTTCCTCAGGCCGGAACACTAACATTCGGCGCATTAAGTCAAGGAAAGCAGCCGTTTCCGCTTCACTAAACACGTCTGTTGGCAGCAGCTTTCGTCGATACTTCTGCACACCCTCTTCAAATGCTCGATGGATCGGAGGCCATATTTCACGCGCCCCCTTAGGATTCCCCTTCTTGTCAAAAAATTTACCTCGTTCTTCCCAACGCTCCCACCAGTCCTGAGGCATAGGTCCAAGGACCTCAATTTGCTGGCTTGTTACATCATCAGCTGTTACAAATTCGCTACTAAATATAGCCTTCATACCGACAATCTCCCAGAGTGCTGTAGCTAAGGTCCATATATCAGCTGAGTATGATAGCGGACTTTCGGGCTCAAATCGGGCTTCTGGGGGTCTTAAGGAGAGGGGAGTGTGGCAGTCCTTCCCAAGGCGAGGCTCCAAAGAAGGAGCAAATGCCTCACCAAAGTCACTTAATAGCACATGTGCATCGGAAAGTGAAAAATCTTCGGCATATTTCCCAATATAAAGTGGTATTACCGCTTTATCAGGAACATTGGCTGGAAGTGGGCCACCATCACTTCTAGTAATTGGTACGGTTTCGGGTTTTCCATATTCTTCATAAAACTTCTCAATTGAAAGTTCATCCAGGCTTGAGGGGAGTTTAGCTAAAACATTGCGGAGGTGGATGTCTAATAAACATTAGAGATGTAGCCTTAAATGCTTATCATGTTGAAATTACAAACCTCCATGAACATAACCTTGAGAGTGAACAGAAGAAACAGACAAGGCGAGTCCAGCTGATAGTGCTCGGGCAACCTCAAGAGGGAACAAGCGACTAAACGATGCCTCTTTGAGGTTGCATTGTGCCGGTGCCATTGTATAACATGGATGCGTCCCATTCGGACCTTGTACCTCGAACTCATCGAGCGGAATAGTAATCAAGCTGCGATTTTCAGACCTGCCTTGTATATATGAGCACTCCGGTAGCGATACTGAAAGTGCTCGAAGAACTTTGGTCTCATGGGGTAGCGAGTCTGCAATGCCGATCTTGAGAGCAACATAGCGTCCGATTTGAGTATCCCGTGCGAGCCAAATTGTCGAGTAGCCTCCAAAACCCAGTTTGTCCACAACGTGGTATCTGCCATGCAGTATGTCGCCAATCATGACTGGGTGATAGCCTCCAGGTTGATATTTTTCGAGTGACTCCGCACCATCAACCCAATTATACTCATACCGGGCGGTCTTCCCACTGGTTTTGCTACTGAAATGCATGGGAGTCGCTAAATTGGAAGAAACAGGCCTCCACTGTATGAAATTTGATTTCTGAGAGCAAGAAATTGGTGTTTGGCGGAATATATTTGGCGGAATAGCAAATTTCTGGAGAGGCTTGACGAGGGCCGTTGCCTTAGGGCAGCGTACCATGAAGGGCAACGTCTCGAGATTAAATAAACGACACGGTATTTAGACTGTGCCGGGCCAGAGGTGGTTAATGTCGATGATGAACTGGCATTCCTTCGACACGTAATGTAGTGCTGTCACCATGCAGACTGACAGGACTGGAGTAAACCTAGCTTCAAGTCACGTGCACTTGTACTCGTTGTCAGAGGTGAATGTTGCAAATTAGGACTAGCTCAGCTTGCTTCATCAGGACGCTATCAATATCTGATGTATACCCGGAACTCATAGATGGCAACGCAACCGCACAGAAGGCGGATGGTATACAGAAAAATTTCACGGAATTGAAACTTGGAATTGGAACAGGATAGAATTACAAGGGGAGTATAGTATTTAGCCAGTTTGTAATTAGATATAATTCTTGGCATTGATGACTAACTAAAATCAATCCAAAAATGTTAAAAACTCCATACCCGCACCCACGAACTACCTCTGACTAAATAGAGATTAAATCATTCAAATGTACTACTACGAGGTAACTCTCCTCTTGCTTGTTTCCTTGTTCATTCGTTTGTTAAGTTACATCTAATTCGCCTGGGAAAATTCACTTTGGTCTGGGTACCGCTGTCTTCTCTTTTTTAAATAGGCAGATATTCGCAGGTTTGGCAAAATCATCATCTTTATTTAGGAATGCGAGGTTACGTGGATCAGATATTCTCTTGAGTTTTGTTTCTACCTCGTAATCCAGGGGCATATTCACTGTACCTTTCTTTATCGCATTCTGCAAGATACAAGAACTCAAGCAAGTTAGAGGACACCAATACATAGTACACAGAAGGCTGCAACCTTCGAACCGGGCCGGGCCAACCTGTCGTGCGGGCGGCAATCATATACCAGTTATTGGTTTATGGTGATGGGTTGCATAAACTAAAAGATCCATAGCATAAACTGGTTGGTTCAGCGATAAAGCATTTGTGGAGCATACATAGTACTATATATAGCTATCGAATAATAAGGATGAATAAACAATCCGAACAACTTGGGGGCCGTTTCCTCCCCCTCTTCCTTGCAGTATGTCTGAGAGGGATAAATATAATATAAATCATATCTCCATTAGTTAAAAACACACCACTGGTTATCAACTTGATGTAACTAATTATTTGTCGACTAATTCTAGCTTGATATTTTACCCTTTTTACTATTCGACTATCAAAACCATGGCAGCTACAAGTGCTATCAGCTTTACGCGTTACTTTTTTTATGTTGGAAATACGATTAAGGCAGAAACGAAGACAGCCCTAGTTGCTCTCGCCTATGCAACAGCTCGAACCGAGCAGCTAGCGCCAGAGGCCATTCTTATTCGGTTCGTCATCTGCCCTTTTAAGCTATATTATTCCAAGTACTAACTAGCCGTATTATGGGATTTAGATCGGAACTACACGATACTACTACAATTGATGGCAAACGTGTGAAAGATCCCAAAGGCTGGCATGGTACCTTTGCATTCAAGGATGGTGGGCAGGTCAAACGAGAATTCCATGTGGCATCCCATGGCTACACCAATGGCAAAGAAGACTTTGTCTTAAAAGAGGCATCACATACCCCTCAAAAGGCGGACAACACCCCTCGGGGTGGTAAGGATTCAGGGAAGGTTGTTTGGCCACAGGAGAAATTTCTGGAAGAATACGTTGATAGCCCAATTGCCTACTCACATCTTCCAGCAAAAGATTGAGAGCTACAGGTCATCCACCGTTTTGGTTTCAATATTTACCCATTAATCCCCTCTCACCTTTTCACACCAAATTAGCCACTGGTGTACGGAGTACTTAGTTTCACTTGTGAGCATGGTTTAACCGTTGCCTATGCTTTATGCTTAACTAGTAGTTATTTAAGTTTATGAAGAGGTTAAAAAGTTTGATAGAGGAGAGCCGTTAGATACATACCTTCAAGCTTCTCGCCTTTGTCCGTCATTTTATTTCGAGGATCCCTTTGCTGAAATAGGTAGCTGAGTAACTAATAATTACCTAGTCATCGTCAGTTATTATAATTTTCGATATTTCTGGGGGAAAAGCCGATCTGACTAGAGCGAGCAAAGTAATTAACTAAATGCCAACTAATATAGGGCAGGACACGAGCAACTAACCATGAGTTATATCATCTAATATATGCCTAAATTTGAAATGTGCAGAGGTTAAAGAACCAAAACAGCCTAACAAAAAGATCGCATAAAGAGCAGAATATTGAATGATTTAGTAGACCACAATAGTCAGCGTCGGTAATTAGCTACTCATCACCTACATCATGATAATCATTCTTCTCGTATAACTAGTTAGCCGAACCTGGTGGGGTTGGAAGAAAGTTGCAAAGTCAATAAGTTACTTCCTCCGCTTCATCGCTGCATCATCCAAATAAACAAGAGTAAACTTGACTGAGCCGACACCATGAGTGAAGAAGACGTCAGAAGGGATTTGGGCCAGGTAAAACTAATCCCCAGCTGATATACCTATACACAACACGTAATATGCTAACACTCGTTACAGCTCTTTATCGTTGGGTTCGACGGCTTGACAGTGAATGAAGATATCAAGTCTCTCATCCGAGCTCCATTTTACATCGGAAACATTATCCTCTTCCAGCGTAATGTTGGTGATGCGGAGCAGTTGATTGCTCTTACAAACGAGCTCCAGCAGACCGCTCGAGATGCAGGCCATTCCCGGCCCCTTTTCATTGCGATAGACCAGGAGAATGGCCGGGTTTGCCAGATCAGAGCCCCTGTTGCTGCTCAGCTTCCAGGTTCTATGGCTCTGGGGGCAACGGGCTCTCCCGAAGATGCCACTTTGATTGCTAGAGCTACGGGTGAATTACTTGATGCACTCGGTATCAACATGAACTATGCTCCTGTCTGCGATGTTAATTCGGAGCCATCCAACCCGGTAATTGGGGTAAGGTCGCCAGGAGATAATGGAATAAACGTCGGACGAATTGCTTCAGCTTTTGCTCAAGGACTGCGTGAGAAAAAAGTTGTTCCATGTGTGAAGCATTTCCCCGGTCACGGTGACACGAAAGTCGACTCTCACTTTGGGCTTCCCGTTGTGGACAAATCCCGCGAAGAGCTGGAAGCTTGCGAGCTGATCCCATTCCGGAGAGCAGCTGCAGAAAAAGTCGAATCTGTGATGACATCCCACATTGTACTGCCTGCACTTGAAGGGTCGAGTCTCCCCATGACTCTCAGTAAAAGCTGCGTGGGATTTCTCCGAGAAACGCTCCAGTATGATGGCCTCTTGGTCTCTGACTGCCTGGAAATGGACGCAATTCGTGCGCATTACGGCACCGAGAAGGGTGCTGCAATGGCAATTGCCGCAGGCGTAGATTGTGCAATGGTTTGCCATACTCTAAAGGCACAGGTTGGAGCTTACAATGAGGTGTATGGAGCGTTTAAAAGCGGAACGATCACGCACGACGGTGTCTCCAAATCAGTTGCGAGAGTAACAAAGTTGAAAGACAAGTTTGTCAGCTGGGAGTCGGTCTTTGCCAGGCGTAAACCTGAATTGCTTCCGCAACTCCGGGTTGACCATGAGAAATTGGCAGCGCAAACCTATGCTCGAAGCGCAACTCTCGTGAGAGATTTCCAGAATGCTCTTCCCATAACACCGGATCAGAAAGTAGCATATGTATACTCGGTTGTTGCAGGAGAGATTAGCAAAGCTCTCCCTACGGTTCCATATATGCCACTGAAATTCGCTGAAATGATCAAGGAGCACCATCCGAATATGATTGAATGTCCGATTCCTGAGCATAGTTCAATTCAAAATGATGAAGAGACCCAGGCAAAGATATCCCAAGCAGATGCAGTTATTCTTGTAACAGAAAACGCAAAACTTTCCAAAGACAAAGAGAAATTGGTCGGAGTTATGAAGGGGCTATCCAAGGTCGTTTCAATTGCCATATGCGGGCCATACGACTTTCTAGATGATACAGAGAACATCAAGACTTACATCACTATATATGAGCCAACCATTGAGGCATTCTTACCAGCAGTTAAGATAATATTTGGGCAGATGGAGCCAAGAGGCAAACTGCCTGTATCGACTAAACCGCCATCAATACCAATTGAGCCTCTCAACGCAGATAGAGACCTTTCCAGGGTGATTGAACTCTGGCATAAACTCCTACCACGATATGCCGTGCCGCCCAAAACGCTTTCCCATGTCCTCACTCGGCCTAATGGAAACCACTTTGTTTCACGTTTCAATGATAAAGTGGTAGGATTCGTGGCTACATATGCAAATGAAGACCGGCCAACGACATTCATCCCTGTAATCGTTGTTGACTCTGTCTATCAAGGTAAAGGTATAGGAACGGCTCTGCTTGAACATGCCCGACAGTATCTCCGAAGGAACTATCCAGCTGTGTCGGTGACAATTGGCTCTAGCTTTCCTCGGTTCTGGCCGGGCGTTCCAATGGATATCTCCAAAGAAGCCCAGGACTTCTTTATACACCGTGGATTCTGTCCTGCCTCAGGCCCATCAGCAAGGGACTATACCGCTGACCTACACGTCTTTGAGGCCCAAAAAGGAGTTCTTGAGCGTGCAGAAACAGCAGGGTTCACTTTTGCTCCCTGGAAAAAGGAGCAGTATGAAGAATGCATGCAGAAGCAACGTAAGTTGTTTGGTAAAGACAGCGTGTGGATGGGCGCCTACGAAGTATTGGCGCAAACAGGTCGCTACAACCAAGTTATGGTGGCAACCGACTCATCGACCGGGGAACAGGTTGGGTGGACATTAATGCAGGAACTAGGTATCGGTATGACACAGGAACTTGCCATGCAGCCTCTTGTGGGTAACAAGTCCGGTCAAATTGGCTGTGTAGGCGTCACTCCCCAAGCAAGGAATAAGGGAGTAGGCCTTGCCTTAATCACCCATGCTGCACTCGACTTGAAGAGACGAGGAATGGAGCATGTTTTTATTGACTGGTCTAACCATGTCAACTGGTATGAGCGTGCTGGCTTCAAGGTATGGGGAGAATATCGTACCATGGTATTGCATGAGCTGCCCAAGCTGTAGATATTTTCCCGCTAATTATGGTATATTGAACATATCCATCCTGATGCTAGCATCCACAGTGTTTCTGTATTCTCCTTCCAGCAGTAAAGAAGATGCGGCTTGATATAAAAAGCCTTCGTCGTCGATAGAAAGTTACCAAGATCTCTTGGCATTAAAGAGCCTAAAAACGACGAACTTCAAGGGCAGAAACACAAGCATACACATATAAAGAAGCGAAGAAGCCACAAGTTACAAAAGCCACGCTCGAAATGGCTTCAATTCGTGCGCCAGCTATTAGAAGTTTATTTAGCCGGCCTGTTCTACCTACCAGACATGTCCAGCGACGATGGGCCCAAGTCCACGATGTCCGCTTCGTGGCAACCCATCAGTCCTCGCAAGTCCTTGAAAAATATAAAGAGAAGCTAGCTCGCAAGGCCAAAGAGTGAGTATGAGGCCGGATCTATATTGCAGCAAGCCTATATACTAAACTGGAAACTGCAGAGAGGGCCACGAGTCCGTATCTTCGCTCAAGGAAGCATATAAAGAGAAGATACAGGAAGTTCGCAACGCCGACGTAGCACCTCAAATACCCTCAAATCAATCGACTTCCTCACCATCTGAACCAGCCGGACTGGAGAAGAAAAGCTCAGAACATACCGCAAAGAAGCCCTCATCGTCCGCGCCAGGAATTAAGCCACTATCCTCCTACCTAGATCTCGAAAAGACCTCTGCCCTCCCTGCAGACACAATTGGCAAACTATGGCGGGCGAGACATGTCACGAATCCCAACTCTATATGCGCCAGCATCCCTATCGAAACATACAACCGCATGGTGAAAGTTGCTCGACAGCACCCCCAGTTCATTCTGCCCTTGCCGCGCGAGCTAGAGATACCCGCCGATCCAAAGGCGGAACAAGCAGGGTCTGAAACGCCGGGGGGAAAATCAATGGGCGCTGAAATGCATTTCCTTCAATGGGGGTTCCATCCTCCTGCGTCAGCGAGTGATTCCAAAGTGCCGACGCCGATGGGCACGCATAATACACATACGTCGACTGTGATATTTACTTCGTTAGCGGAGTATAAGTTGCACGCTGGCTTTGCGCCGCCGCATACGGTTATTACGCATCATCTTGACTTTGCTGATGATAAGGGGATTGTGTTGATGAATGGTACTGTCGTGACGGATAAGGGGATGACGGTCGATGACGCACAGCTGTTAGTGCTATGGTTACAGAAATTTTATGACTGGGAGGCCGAGGGGGCTGGTAGCCAGGGAGGAAGAAAAGGGGAGATGTTGAGAATGTTTACTAGTGGTGACACAGAAGGGTTCAAGGTGCAGGAACTTATTGACGAAGTGCAGAGGGTGTAAGATATATTTGAGATTCAGCGGTTCACGGGCCGTGTGTAGATTACACGGATGTACAATATAGAGCTATAGAAGTAAAATAAATGACTGATCTAATGTCGGTATTATTAAAATAAGGTATATATCCTTCACTCTACGATTACACAGTGTGAAGGAGATATGATATGAGGGTGGGCAGTATAAGCCAACCATGCAATGGGTGGTATAACCCGGGTATCGTGTCAATGGTATGCGAACATGGAACCCAGAGGTAGCCAAACATGTAACGGAATAAGCAGGTCCAGAACCAAAACCAAGTGCACCAGCAAAGAACAAACCCCTGAGATCGAAAACCATGCAAAAACCAACGAGGAAAAAAAAAAAAGGATGAATACAAAGGGAACATAAAGATTGTAACTCCGGAAGATAATGACGTGTATAAGAGCCCGTTCTGAGGGAGAATCAGTCCAGGACTTCGTCGATAATGAAAGCGTGTATGTATTCGAAATACATCGGCTCAGCGACGGTATCGTTATGTTGGCCATTAGGGAAAGTGCGCCAGACGCATTCTTTCGCATTAGCCATGCTGAATAGCTGTAGCATGTGGTCGGGTCTAAGACGTGTTAGATAGAATCACCAAAGAAAGAGGGTAGCATTAAACATACGGAATTATTTCATCCTTCAGGCCACTGAGGAATAATATTGGAACGTCTGTGATCTTGGGCAAAATCTCCTCGCTAAGCCATGTCTGATGACACAACCTAGCAACATATTTTGCAGCCGGAAAAACACTGCAAGAGTCAGTACGGCCATTACCGAGACGAATGCATGCAATACACACCTAGGTATGAGTTTCCGAATACTGAGAAAAGTATTCTCCAGTATCAAAGCCTTAATATCACCCTGTTTCTGGTTCTTCGCAACAAGATCAATAGCCACGGCACCGCCTAGACTTTGACCGTGAATCACAATCTTGGTGTCCTGCAGCTCCGCCCGCTGCCTAATATAATCCAACGCCGTCTGAGCGTCTATCTTCAACCCTTGCTCGTCCGGCGTGCCCGTGGAAAAGCCGTAGCCTCTATATTCTATCATGAAGACATTACAGTCGAGTTCCTGCTCCAACATGTGGGCAATGGGCGCGCGATGGCCGATATTCCCCGCATTGCCGTGAAACATAAGAACAGTGACCTGCGCTTTGATCTTTCTATTCGATGGGCGAATGAAGTATGCGGCCAACACTTCTCCATCGGGAGTGGGGATGCGTAGGTCTTCAAAGTTCGTCATCCCAAATTCAGATGGTTTGGGGACGTTCGTTCGCGCATCGGCCGGTATGTTCCGGGGATAGATTAAGTCGCTGTCCATTTAACCGTCAGTCGTGATCCTGATGTGCATATCTATGTACGGGAGACACCTACTTTTGTTTAAAATATAGCATTCCACTGGCCACCACGGCCAGGCTCCCGGATGCCAGCACAGGCAGCCTGAGGAACTGCACTACGTTGCCGGCCATGGCAGCGAAGTTCCACCCTGACGGCGGCTGAGGAGGAGGAGCGTCCGCCATCTCAACCGCGTCTGGCTTATATACGTGCAGGTATGGTTGTCGACCGTCGAGTTAGTGGTAAGCCGTCGACCTGGCAACAGTCTGTCTTGTTCTCCTGTCTGGCAAAAATTCTCCAATAGCACGGCACGGTGAATCCTCGTTCAAGGGCCCGGAAAAAAGGCGCGGGGGAAGGGGAAGTCGAAGGGAAAGATGATACGTCTGATCGGGATGCGCCACTGGGAATGCCGGGTGTTGGGGCAGCGCATGCAGGTTTTGCGCTCGGGGCGTCTTATACGGAGAAACGAGGTTATCGAGTTATTACTTGCTGTCCGCGAGGAGAAGAAAGATGAAGACGTTGAAGTCGTTGAAGAAAGTCGAACTCGATGAGAAAAAAAGGTGATGTAAGCGCCGGCTTACCTAAGATGGCGGCTCTTAAGGGGCTTTTTTCTTTCAGGGGGCGAAGGAAGAGACGATAAGACGGTGAGACGAGCTAGAGAGGATGATGAGACGAGGATATGAAATAGACATTATCAACGATGATTCCGGATCTAAGTAGCGACTCCGTAGATTCAAAAAGAAAGGGTGAAAAAAAAAAAAAATGGACACAAAACAAGGGGCCATCAACCGTCCATCCATCCAGATATCAAATACATACAATCCATTAACGCGGACAAGGAGAGAAAGGAGAGAGTCACGGACAGACAGTAGGGAGCATCAATGGTCCCCGGTATATACGGGTAGATTAGAGCTATGATGCAGAAGAATGCATGTACACTGTACACAGCATCATTGGAGCTAGACCTCTGACATTTACCACTGCCGTTTCATCATCACATCGGGGAGGAAAAGAAGGCGTAAAAAAAAAAAAAAGGAATGTAAGGAAAAAGAAAAGAAAAAAGAAAAAGAAGACTCGTAACTGAGCGCCGTATGGTTTATGTGTGTGTGGGTGTAAATCTCTCGTTCTGGGCTTGGGGATCGCCCTGGTTCTGCATGACGCTTGTGGCCGTGGCGTTGAAACCTGGCTGCGGTGTGCCCGGTTGCTGCAGTTGCTGCTGCTGCTGCTGCTGGGCAACTAGTTCTCGGGCATAAAACTGGACCAGCATCGTGCCGTAGGCCTCCAGCTCCTCAACCGGGACAGCGAGGCGGAAGTCGTTTAGGAGTAGGAATTGGAGTTCGAGGTGATTCAGTTCGATGAGGGGTAGACCTCCGACCTGGGCCATGTCAGTTTAGATGTTCGGTATCGGCAGGCTGGACGGTGAACGTACCTTTGCATATCTGGAATTAGTGTAGAAGACGTCTGAAAAGAATTTACTGGCACAAGTGACGCCTGCAATGACGAGGCGGTGTATGTTATAGCTATCTACAACGAGGAAATGGGAGAAGTTGAGCTCGTCGGACACGTCGGAGAGATCGTCGTCCGAGTCGCTGAGGTCGTGTTCGGCGTCGTGGTCGTCCTGGACCGAGGGAGAACGCATGGGTAGGTCGGCGGTGGTGGGCGAGGTGGGCAGCTTGCTGCTCACCGCAGCCCGGGCGATGGAGGTCTCGGTCGACCTGCGAGACGAGAAGCGTCTGCCCGAAGGGTTGGCGGGCGTGAAGAAGGGGGAGGAAGAGGAGGTGTGCGGTCTGTTGGAGGAAGAGGTGGACATGGTCCGTATGGACGGGTTGGGATTAGGCCGTAGATGGGCTCTGCGGTGCATCTGCTGCAGAAGATGCGAGTTGACGGTCTCGGTCATGCGGTCAAAGTAGACGAGCAGGCTGATGAAGACCTCGTAGGTGGTCGGGCAGTACTTGTGTATACGGCTGAGGTAGTTGAGGATGGTGATGCCCGGCACGTTCTTGCCGTGGAAGGCGAGCACGCTGGTGGTCTGCGGCGGCAGAGACCGCTGCTCTGCCCTGGGGATGTGTCTGTGTAGGTGTTCGTGCTGGAGGTCGTTGGTGGTGGTGATCTTGGTGAGCAGGCCAGCCACCATCTCGATCACGTCCGCCACGGGCATGGAGCTGATCTCGTACTGTCTCTGCAGGCCCGGCCGGTGCTGCTGCGAGGCGCTGGCCATGGCTTCTTCGCTGGCAAAGGACTGTATGTGCGAGAGGTCCCGTACCTTGATCCGGGTGGGCGTCGGGGGCGAGGTCGTCGACGCAGAGCCTGGAGCCGGACGGCCAGAGGCCGACGAGGGCCTAAAGGCAGGCTGGGAGTACGAATGTATCTCATGGCCGTTCATCCGCTGTCTATCCGGCAGCCTCTGGTGTATCGCGGTGTTGGGCAGGCTGGCCGTAGAAGCATGCTGCTGCTGCTGCTGCTGCTGGTGGCTCTGCTGGTAGCTGGCGGTCATTGAGGCCGGCGCAGACTCTACGGCCGCGGCCTCCGCCCTGGATGTCTCTGCCGTCGACGTCGTCTCTGCCCTGGAAGCGTCTGTGTTGGTATCTGACTGAGGATGCGACAGCTCGCGCTTGAGCCCGACAGAGAGCATGCTGACGCTGCTGCTGTCCCTGCGATGCTGCTGTCCGCCGGAACTGCTGGCGATCATGGGCGGCTGCAAGGGAGCGCAAGCAACGGCGCCCATGTCAGCATGCACATAGCGGGGAGGGAAGTTCGATGTGGTCGTCGTCGTTGTTGTTGTTTTTCTCTTGCTTGCTGGATGTTTTGATGGCTGATATTTATTCGGTAGGGAAGTTTTTTGGTGGGGCAAAACTTGGATGTTCGCCACTGATATTTATTATTATTATATCTTAATATAAAGAGAAGCAGAAGCAGAAGCAGAAGAAGAGAAGAAAAAAAAAAAAAGATGCTGGTTAGAACGTGGGCTTTTGGCGCGCCAGTGAGTGGTCGCTCTTGTTTTTTATTTTGCTTGCTTACTGATGGCTTATTTAGATCCATGTCTAGCCTATAGCATAGAGATATAGAGGACAGTATAAAAAAGGAGAGGACAGGACGACATCAATTAACAGATCCTAAGGAGCAGAAGAGCCTGGCCCCGTGTATCCGTTGTCAGGGAGGTAGAGGTGCCGGACGGCGCCCTGCTTGGTGAGGACGACCATGCGGATGACGCCCCCGGAGCTGCCGTCCCATTTGATGGCCTCTCGCAGCGAGTTCTTGACGAATTCCACGCCCTCCGCCTCGTCCATGCCTTCTCGCCAGTGTGCATCGCAGTAGCCGTAGATGTACGTCGACCCAGAGCCCCCAATCGCATACGGCTGCTTGTGTAGGGAGCCGCCCAGGGGGATGCTGTATACCTGGCCGCCATGCCGTTCGTCGTAGCCGGCAATTATTATACCCGCACTGCGCCGTTAGCCTACACTTCTTCCTCTTCCTCTTCCTCTTCATCATCATGTCACTCACCTCAGGGCGTCTTTGTTGTCGTAGCAGAGCTCCTGGAAGAGAGCGGCGGCCGTCTGCGTGGTGGGCTGCTTGTCGTATACCACGCCGTACATGCCTAGATGGTACTTGACGATGTCTGCCACCGCCTGCGTGTCTGCTGCCGAGCCGGAGCGGCAGCACCATATCGTGTCGTGCACCTGCGTCAGCTTGTCCGTCACCCGGTTGGCAATATATGCGCCCGTCGTCGTGCGTGAGTCCGCTCCCAGGATCACCCCGTCCTTGAAGTTTATCGCCATGCTGTCTCCGTCAGCTTCCTGTCGTAGGTCGTTTCGTACAGGCTGTATCTCGTGGTCACTCACATCGATGTACCAAGGCTATAGCAGTTAGCTTCTATACACACACGACCCCCAGAAGTTGCACTTACTTGACTTCTCCCTTCTTCAGGTGCTCCATGTCAACGTGTATTCCATCTGCTGCCCGTCAGTCTGGCTTGCCTCGAAGCTATCTGGAGCTCAGCTTCCGCTCGGCTTCTGCTCACCTTCTCCCAGACAGCCTGTCACGCCGGGTGCCATCTTGGCTCAAACAGGTAAACAGACGAGGTATCTCAAAGTACAAACAACACAATAACAGCAGAGATGAAGAGCCAGAGGAAGAAGAAGAAGAAGAAGAAGTCTTGTTGTCTGTTTGTTTCCTTCATGAGCTTCGAAGGCAGAAAGCAAGACGTGGCCGGAAGAACTTTTTTCCACATATAAAAGACGGCGCGGAGAGAAAAACCTTTTTATAGATGTCATTATCATTATAACATATATAATAAATGTATTATTTAGATTAATATTATTTGATGTACAAGGAGATAACGATAGAAGAATAAGTATTAAGCCTGGAAAAAGAGTACTTGTGTGCTTGTTCACCTTCCTGCCTCTCTAACCAGATGCATAAAGGCGTCGGTCCCCTGAGTGCCCAGGGACCAGTACAGCTTCGCCTCTGCTCCCCCTTCGCTCGCCACAGAGTCCATCGACGTCCGGCTTCGTCCTCGCTTGGCTACGTGCTTTGGACCCCAGCCAAGCACGTCGGCCGCTCCCTTCTGGCCTTCCTCGCCCGGCACCAGGCCCAGCAGCTGTGTCTCCAGGCAGCCGAGCACGGCCACCCCGGATCGGAACAGGATACGGTCGCCCTCAAACACCCAGCAGTCCCAGATCCGGGAGATGTGGTCGACGTCTAGCCCGTTCGTGAAGAGGGAGCGGAACATGGGCTCCCAGATCTGGGCGTCGGAGAGACAGAGGTTCTCGCACAGGTGGGTCGACAGGCGTGGGAATTTGAGACGCAACGTCGCCGAGGCCAGGCTGTAGGCGCGGGCCGTAGCTCCGGGGTCGGAAGTCAGGAAGGCCAGTGCCAGCGGCCGGTTGAGGGCATTGGCCAGAGTGAGAAAGGCGGCTGACGGTGTGTGCAGCTGCAGTAGCAGTACCGCAGCGATGGTCTAACTTAATGTTAGCTATGTCAAAAGTAACGGAAGAAGACGACGTACGTGTATGCCGTGGATATATCCCACGTCACTGCGGTACATGGCATACGCATCCAGCACCTGCACCAGGCTCTCGTGCAAGGGTCCCCCTTCGGTAAAGACGTTGAGAGCCGGAAAGGCACTCGCTGCGTCCTTGCGGATGGCCGCAAATCGCTCGTGGGCCCGTTTGAAGCCGTCGCCGGACTTGCCCCTGAGCTGCTCTGCTCGTTCCAGCGCCTTGACAAAGGACTCTTCGGTCAGGGCCAGCTCATTGCCGATGGCACGCTGCCATACAGCTCCGCGAGACCGAGGCGTGATGCCGCGCCACCATAGCTCGCGCGTTCGAGGTTCGGCAATAACCCTGTCCCAGTCAGGGAACACATAGTCGTCCCAGATGCGCTGCAGCATCTTCCGCGTGTCGTCTTTCTTGCACTGCGCAGAAGCCTCTTCGGCCGCTCGTCGTTTGTCTACTACAGTTAGTCGTTATTTGCTTTAAAGGAGATGATATATACGCACCAGCTTCCCTAGATAAGGCCATCATTCGCTTGTACTCCTTGAGATGCCTCTTTTCCTCCTTTTGGTCCTTGGGAGGCAGCCAGCTGGGCCTTGTCCGGGATAAGACCTTCTCCTTCTCCTTACTGATGGGCAGGGGATCGATCATGATGTTCGGCCTCTGCAAGGGAGGAAGCTCGATCATGCCGCCGGATCCTCGTTTGCCGCTTGCGGAAGGCCGAGGCTTCAGGCCGGCCTGGACCCTGGCCTCGTGGTCTCGTGCCGCCTCGTCAGCATGATGCTCCAATGCTTCGGTGATGATTCTTGCTTCTTCGGAGAGCTCAGACATGACCACATTCCAGGTATTTGCTTTTGGACCACGGCGGTCCGCAGACGGGGCTGGGCTGATGGCACCTTGAGAGACCCGCTGGCTAGGCCCCATGGACCGTGACCGGCCTCGTCTGTGTTTTGGCCTGTATCTGGCAGTGGTTGTGCTGCCGGGAGGGGATGTAGACTGAGGAGATGGCAGCTGTGGTGGGGACGCCACGGAGTCGTGTAACGGTATTGGTCTCGGACCAGGACTGCGGCTCTGCGAGCGGCTGTCCCGACCCCTCGGACGCTCGTCCTGCGGGCGCGGAGAAATCGGAACATTCCACAGCGTGGCATCCTCGGGAAGGTCTTCGTCCGAGTCGTGGTACTCGTCTTCCAGCTCCTTTACCGACTTACGACTTGGCTGTCGGGACGGAGCTCGGGGAAAGGAGGTGGCAGACGCGTCTGGCGGTGGCGGGCGGCTATGTGATCGACTGGAGCAGGACACATGGCTGCCACTGGACGCCTGGCTCTCGCTGGGCGAAGGGGATCGGGATCGGGGTCGGTTTCGAGATGGATGGAGGAGTAAGGAAGGATCTGACGTGCTGCTCAGCGCTCGTCTGGCGGATGGCGGCTGTATAGAGAGTGACTGCATGGCCGGTGTCGTACCATTGACATGTGGAGTAGACTGCGCGAATCCGTGACGGCCATAGGTGCTGGGAGTATGAAGACTGCTCCGTGGGCCACCGTTCTGTCTGCAGCCAGGCCCGGTGAGGTCTCTCATCGTCATGACGGCAGTGTTGCTCTTCGCCCGGGCCGTGTCCTGGCCTTTGCCCTGGTGCTGGAGGTGCAGGTTCTGGTGGTGCTGCTTGTGCCTCAGGCCCGGCTTCTTCGCCGGCACGCTCGTCGACCGCACGGGATACGGTCCCTGGTCGAAATGGTGATGGTCTAGGGCATTACTGCCGAACTGCGCAACCAGATCATCCTCGAGCGCTATGTCCTCGAAGTTGGAGATATCGGCAAACACGCCATCCGAGTTCGACTGGTGCGAGGAGGACTGGAAGGACGAAGATTTGGACGACTTCGACCCCGTAAGGTCAGGGGGCGAGTCGGGAACTGCGGCAGATATCGTAGTCATCTCATCCCCAACATGTATATACACCATCCACAGGGTCCGTCCGGTTTCTTATATATCGACGTAGAGAAGGAAAGAGAGTCGTCAACAACAGCGAGCGTAAAAGTAGCGAATGGAAGCTGTCCCGGCCTGTTTGAACCTGTTTAGAGAAAGGAGATGCCCCAGGCTGAACCAGAAAGCTGAACCGCAAGGAAAAAAAAAAATACGACGATCCCGCAGGGGGAAGAGACGAGAAGTTGGCTAGATCTAACTTTCCCTTGGTTCCTGGTGGAGTTGGAAGGCGAGGAAAGAGATTAACAAGCCACGAATCCCGAACATGCAGAAACGACAGACTTGACACACGCTCGACAGCATCGAAAACAAGAAAAAAAAGAGAGTCAAACGATCGAATGTTGAAGATGCGAAGTTGAAGTTGAAGTTGAAGTCGAAGGAAAAAGAACAAAAACTTCCCGATGTGGCTTAGTGGAGTATAAGTCACGTAAAGTGGCTGTTTTGGGTCTAGCGCCAAGTCAAGCCACACGCCACAGGGTGGAAAGCGGTGAAGACTTTTGCTTTTTTCTGCCACATGCAATTTCCGGTCTTGGCGCGTTTCAGGGGTAAATTTTATATTTGATGAGGTTCGACGGAGGGCGAAGGATGGGAGACGGATGGAGGATGATGATGAAGGATGAAGGATGGAGGTCAGACTGATGTTGGACGGAGGTTGCAGGTTGGTTCTTTGTAGATAGATTAGGCGCTTCACGTCAGGCATGGGCTGTGGACCAAGTCGCTATCAGGCCCTGTCCTAGATCCAGGAATATCTTGACATGCCACTAACTATTATCTACTTGGCTCTGTGTCATTAGGGCTGCACCAAATTACTTGTGTAGCCCGTTCCTTGATTCAAGAAGCGGTTGCCGCGGAGATGTAGCGTGCAACATACACAGTATAACTATCAGTGACCCACCCGACAGCAGATTTAATGCACGCCCAAGTCAGCCTTGATATCTCCAGCAGTGTCATACCGATCCAGCCAGCACTTTTGGACCACGAAGCCTGAGTCGAGATCTATCGTGCTGGGAAACTCTCGTCTCTGGAAAAGGATGTAAATCTCGCTATTAGGTTTATCAGGATATAGTATATGTCCAACACCAATCTCATATAAAATGGTGCCGAGTGCAAAGATGTCGTCTTTCGTAGTCGAGTTTGATGAGCGTTCGGATAGACTTAATGGCCTAGAGTATCTAGTTGATGTAGATACTATTGCCGTTGAGCTATCTAGAATTGATCCGCAAAAGTCTGCTAGGGCAAGCGTGCCGTTATTCTGGATAAGAAAGTTGCTGACACTGATATCACAGTGGATAACTCCCTTAGAGTGGATGTATCTTATTGCTTCCACAGCTTGCATCGGCCAGCTTGTAGCAGTCAAGTTAGCCTCATGACACCGGGATTGTAACATATATATTAATGCTCTTACTCAACTCTCTGCACAGGGAATCTATCCAGTGCAAGGTTCCTAGCCAGTGTGCCAAAGGGTAAATACTGAAGTGCAAGGTCTCGCCCAACTATCGAGTCACATTCTCCAAAGCAGCGTAGAATATACGGATGGATGCCCAGTCGCTCATAGATCCGCTTCTCGATGGCATCAGCTTCTCCCGGCTCATCCGGGACCTTTATAGCAATCTCTGTTTTAACCACAAAGAAGACCTGAGCGAAAAGTCCGCAGCCAGCAAGGTTGAACTGCTCATCCTTAGCTGTTGCAAGGATGTGTCGTGGGTCGGCCATCTCTTAGCTGGGATCGATGATATCCTTCTTAAAAGATCAGGTTAATAATAGTATTATTATTTCTTAATAAAGAATACAAGATACTTGATGCTCCTTGCTAAACTGAAAAGATGAATGCTATAGTACTATAGTAAGATCTAGGATGCCATCTACGACAGGCTATATTTGTGGTGGTGATAATCATGGTGGTTGGTCATCGAACCCGGTGGTCATTGAACTCCTCTAACATTACTAGAACCCCCGAGTTACATCCTATAGAAAGGCCAGCCCCTTTTATTTATCCCTGATTACTGGTCTTTCCGTAAGACTATATATTTTCCTAGGCTATTATATTAATTTTAACGCAATAATTCGTATATTTTAAAAAAAAAAAGTTAAGGGGGTTGTTACAAAGTATATAGCAAAATGTTTGTCCTAGAACTGTACGATACTATGAAGCTGCGTAAGGTCATTAATGATGTTAAATCAAGGTCTATATCTAAATAATGGATGATCGCTCTTTTATATAGGTGTATAAGTTTCCATTCATTGGCATTGCCCGGCCGCCGCTGTTGTATCTCTAGCCTGCTTTAAGAAAGGCAGAATCGCCGTTCTCGCAGTCCCGACCCCTTTTAGACCCTTAGGTGCCTTCTTAGACGGTAGAGTAATGAGTCTGGTGACAATCTGGATATGCTTGGTGCGGAAGTTGCTCAGAGCATCCGTTGCAGCCAAATATGCGGCTTTGAGACGACGCTGCTCATCTGAAGCTGGTACGCCCGAGAGTGCCAGTTCCCGTATACTACCCGTCTTACTGACATGTTGAAGAAACCGTCGATGTGGGCCAGGCATGCAATCCCGCGCCTCCATATGGAAAATTTCCCGCTTGGGCTTGGCCGGGTCGTTATGCTCGATACCTAGCACCAAGTCGAAGAACTGAATGAGAGAACTCTGGCCGTTGCTTCCGCCTTGGAACTTTTTCCATTCACCTTTGCCATCCCCTACATCATAGAAGACACCTCTTGGCAAGCCGGCGGTTGCCATGTTTTTGCTGCCAGCGTAGAATGGCCGAATTCGATGACAGAAGGTCATGGGATCGCATCTCTCGTACATCCTCATCAGCAAAGCTGTCATATCATCGATGCATAGCTTCAATGCCTCCAGGCCTCTAATAATGACCATATAATCCCGGGTCTCTACGGCCTGCAGTGCTTTTTGCAAAGGTTGTACGACCTTTGCACCCGTTGCTTCGATGGCAACGCCGCCGGTAAGGAACCATGATTCTGTCTCGGTTCCAGCAAACGATATGAGTGCCTGGAGATCATCCAACCTGGAGAAATCATTCCCCGAGCAGGAGAAATTCCAGAGATTCGCGGCAGCACAGGTCAGCACGGGAGGTATTTCAACTTGGGCACACACACGCAAGAATGGCCCACATATTTGCGGAGGAAGAACCTAAACGATAGTTAAAAAGATGAGCCTCAATATTCTTGAGTTTGGCAGGCGTTCGACATTTACCTCCTTGGGCTCATCGCCTCCCCAGATGTAGGCATGGGCCATATATGCCAGGACTACGTAGGCTCATCTCCATTCTGCTTCTGACTTCAAGCGCTCTGTACAGAGAACTGGGAGTGCTTCGACGGTGCTTCTTAAGCTACCACACTCAAGCAATTGGGGCAGGCGGCTCGCGGTATACTCCCAAGGCTCATAGTATGGGTCTGGTAGTACCGTCAGCGGGCATACTTCCGGGAGAAAGGCAGCCCTAGTCACCCTAAATTCGTCCAGGTTTATAACCGTCATCGTTCGGGAAGAGGCTGCCAGCAATTGTCTGTCCTTGGTGCCGGTAGAGGAGCAACGATATCACTGAGCCGATGGGATATAACGAAGCACTTCGATCGTAGCCATCGCTTCGCAGAGAAGCTGCTTATTATAATTGATTATCCACGCCATCGAGGCAAGGCTCTCCCGAACCATTGAAGCAAACATTATACCAAAAAATGAGCAAACCGTCTCTGTCGACCACCAGAAGCCATTTTTATATACATAACTTCGAATCGGGAGCTGAATCTCAAAAATATTCCTCCATCTCATAACCAGCAGCTCATGTCCATCTCTCGTATAGCGGTTGATAGGTGGAGCTGCGCAGTTTCAACATCTCCCTGTTGTCTCCTCCGGCTCTATCATTCGCTGCCAGCAGAGCTCTCCTGCTCCGCGGAAAAGTTTGGCCGATATCAGGGTTGTTGGAAGGTCTTTTGCGCTGGCGGCGTGGGGCATAGAAGATCAATTGCGGTGAAATCATGAAGGAGGTGGTAAATATATAATAACTATATATCTGTCTCTACTCTTCCGTGACCTATAATTTTGATACCCACATCCTCTCGTACGTCTGTGAAAGGGCACGGTATCCCAACCAGATCCTCACAATGGCCCCTCACAAGCCTCGCCTCATCGACAAGGAGATATCCCAGGGAGAGCTGGGGGAAAAACGAGTGAGTGTGCTCTGTCTAGGCATGTGTCGCACCGGAACGTCTTCTCTCCTGGCGGCCCTGACAGCACTCGACTACACGCCAGTCCACATGTCAAGCATCATAGAAGACTCTCGCCAGAAGAGATTATGGATCGAGGCGATCGAAAACACATTCATCAACAAGGATACGGGGCGGCCCTACGGCCGAGCCGAGTTCGACGTTCTTCTTCGCGGTTACGACGTGACCCTGGATGTGCCATGCGCCATCTTCGGTGAGCAGCTGATGGCGGCTTACCCCGAGGCCAAAGTGATATTAACCACAAGGCCGGCTGGGAAATGGATTACTTCCATGCAGAAAACCGTCTGGCAGTTTATAACATGGCCGTCCTTTCGCATACTACGCTACCTGGAGCCAGAGTTCATAGGCACTTTCCATAGGCTGCTCGAGCTGATCTTCCTCGTCCACAACGGGAACCACTATGGCGGAGAGGAGGCAGAGCAAGCGTATCTTGCCCACAACGACCGGATCCGCGAGCTCGCGGGGCCTGGAAGGCTCTTGGAGCTGTCACCACCATTCGATATAAAGAAGCTGAGTAGTTTCCTTGGAAAGCCATGCACGCTCAGCGACTTTCCTCACGTTAACGATACCAATGAATGCATCGAGTCACTCTACAGGAGGAGGAACCAATCGTTGGCCCTAGTGATGAAGCGTCTTGGAAAGATAGTCCTTATATGCCTTCCTCTTGCCTTTCCGCTTGTGTACAATTATGCAACCAAGCAGGGATAAGGGGTTGACAAGTCGACCATAGATTGACATGACTATGTTGTATCGGTAACTGAGCAAAGAGTATAGATATCTAGGATGTACATAGTAGACCATTTGTATAGGTAGAAGTTCACTACCATAGTACGTACTTACTCTCTTGCTAGCTACGGTGTGCCCCTTGTTCGTGTTATTATTTTAATAGGCCAGTTACATAGTACTCCGCCCAAGAGATCGCCCCAGGCGGAGTATAAACATATCTCTTCGTACTGCAGTCTGGAGGGGCAATATATATATTAAATAGTTACCTCCCAGCACCTCCCGCTCTAGCAAATATCAACTAGTCAACGCATTCTGTCCGTATATCCCATAATAACCCCAGGCGGGAATGGTTATATAGAACAATGAAGGCCCATGTGTAAGCCACACCCATAGTTACTAGCTCTCGAAGCTGTGCGTGGCTGACACCTTTAAAGCAATGTCATGGACGATGTCCTCATCTCCAACCGTACGGCTATCACCCTCCTCTCCTCACAACCAGCAAGAATATCAAACACAATGAGTATCATATCAGACTAACAAAAAGACACTCAAGTCCCCCCGGTTTATCTCCGCTCCGTACTTAGGACGCTTCTCTCCCACAACCCAGCAAACCAGAAACCCTTTGTCGAGCACATCCGCTCAAGGCTCCAGGAGTCGCCGCCAGCGCTGACTGAAGCAACGGAGCTGTTCCCCAGTGCGGATACCGTATCTCCAGCATGTGTTGAATATATAGGACTGACGAGATGTCTCTTCTCGTCGAAATTGGCCGAGGAGGCCATTGGCTAGTATGGCACCACATCCACATCCGAATACAAAGACATCGCTGACTGACCCCATTGTAGTCTAACACATTTTGTCAATTCGACCATCCACGCTAGTGCATCATGGGCGCCTGGTTCAGCTCTCGAACATGCACTTGATCAGTTTGCCGGTGACGTCGTCCAAGGGATGCAGGCACTCAAGGAGTCAGGGCCGGACCGCACCCCAAAGTTAAGCGCAGATTTTGAAGCCCTGCTCGCAAGCCTTGTTTCTTATAGCAGCTACTGTGCCGAAGCAAAGCTTCTGTCCCGCTTCGAAAGAGCAGAGAGACAGGTTAGGGACACCTTTCAGCTGCTCTTCCTCGAGTCCGCGCAAACGACCGCCCGGGTTGGCCACAGCCAAGCTTGCCTGCATGTTTCATTGCCGGTAGATTCCCCCGTAGAGACATTTACTATGGGTGGAAGGCAGCTGCCGCGCTTGTTCAACGGTCTCTGGCAACTCTCATCTCCTGCTTTTGGCGCAGGAAGCTCGGAACAGCAGCAGAAATCGCTCATCAGACTGGTTCAAAGGGGCTTCATTGCTGCGGATATGGCAGACCACTATGTGACTTTCTCTCTTTCCTAACATCCCCCATAATTATCCGCCCTCTACTAATCACCTACTATTCTCAGGGCGATGCCGAACTCGTTTATGGAGACTTCCGCAACAGATTGCCCGAAGGCATGAAAGACAAAGTCTACGCAGCCACAAAATGGTGCGTCTTCAAGCCTATAGGCACGGCCGTTACAGCCGAGTACGTGCTGTCTGCTGTTAAGGAACGGTATCGCAGACTAGGCGGTAGGGTAGACCTGCTTCAGTTTCACTGGTATGATGTAGGAATTGCCCTATCCACAATATGCCCCCCTAGGCATATATTCGTGTTTCATTGCATCTGAAAGGAAATGGTTATTGAAGCTAAGTGTTGCAAAACTAGTATGAAGCAAAAGAGTATCTCGATATCCTCCACCACTTGGTCTGCATAACGCATTCCCACCCGGAGCTAGTATCATCCATCGGGCTCTGCAACTTTGATGTAGAACACACAGAAGAAGTATGCAAGTACTTACTTGACAAGACCGGCCAAGTTGGAATCACCTCCAACCAAGTCCAGGTGCGTATGATATACGATTTCCCATCTATTTCTTCGCAGGGTATACTGATTCTTCTTTACCTAGTTCTCATTAATTGACACCCGGCCTCTGAGGGGTATGACCCAAACCTGTGAAAAGTACGGCCTCAAGCTTCTCACATATGGTTCTCTTGTATGTGTACCCACCCTCCCAACTACAAGGATAGCAGTAGCAATAGCTAGGGGCGGAGCAGTGCTAAGTCGTAATTCAATAGTGCGGCGGCCTTCTCACTTCAAAATGGCATGGTCAACCGTTGCCGGACATATACTCCCCTACTAACCCGTTGAACCCGTCCCAGCGCAAGTACCTAGATATGATTCACCGCTGGGGCACCTGGACTGAGTTTCAAGCCCTGATGGGAGAGCTCTCCTTGCTGGCGGCAAAGTACAAGGTGGACATTGCCGATGTGGCGAGTAGCTGGGTGTTACAACAGCCAACCGTGGGAGCTATACTTGTAGGCACGCGGCTGGGCTTATCAGACCGGTGTGCAGATAGCCTCAAGGTGTCTGGGTGGGCACTGAGTGAAGCTGAGGTTATGGCTATAGACATCCATGCGCGAGGGCGAGAAGGGCAGAAGACGGATGCTGTCTTTGCTAAAATTGGTGACTGTGGTCAGGAGTACAGAAATATGCGCGCTTGAAAAGACACTGAATCCAATTGACAGCTAATAAATGTTAGAATAAAGCTCTAAAAATTAAGTTTTATTTTAAACATAAAGTAATGTTGAATCAATGTATATTTAATAATAATAATAATAATATAAACTCCTTTACTTGCGGAATAGTCCCGATATCTAGTGATATTTACATAGTACAACTTCACCTGAATAGAAGTTAATATCACGGGGAGCAGGTTTGATCCATTTGTTATAATATCGTTGATCCACACGGAACGAAAAGCTTGATGTCCGATGGTTCCCCATTGGATATATGGGCTATAGGTGTATATATATGGCTCTATATAGTTTTACAACTCAGTGTTATATGGGAAATATGCAAGGGTTTATTTATATGGACGGTGACTCAAAGCCTGGGCCAGAGTACTGAAGGATGTTATACATATAACTATGATCTATAGACAGGGAAGAGACAAGGGACAAGGACAATGTTAGTAGCGACAGGGGGGAACGGTGAGTGCCCGACGCAGCCTGAAGAGCTCCCGGTCAGTGGACGGCTTGCAGTCTCGGAGGAGGCCGTCCAACCACCTCAGCACCTCTTTAAATCGTGTCTGCTTGCGTCCGAGGACACGTCTGAAGGCCATGGCGCCCAGCCAGCGGACCTGTCGATGGGTGATGTTGCATTCAAAATCGATGAGACCCCCGGCAGACCGAGACCGGATGAAGCATGCCCCATAGGCCAGCAGCGACGAGATGGTAAAAGTGAGAAGTCGAGTTGAGGAAGAGGTTTGTCGCTGTTTCATTGCACACCAGTACGCACAGGTCTTCATGGCGCATTCCATAAAGTTACAGAACAGGTTGGCTAGCACAACGCTTGAGGAGCTATGTTTCGTATCTAGAAACATAGCGTGAGTCTGCAGCCGAAACGCTGCCAGGGCCTTGCGTGTGAACGTCTGGCCTGGAGTACGGGTTGAGTCTACCGTCAGCGAGTCGCGGATGTTGACACTGTTGCCGTTGTTGTGACTATTATTAGGCGACGGGCGATCTCTGCTGAGGGCCAGCGATCTTGTATCGATCAGAGTGCCACAGTATGGGAACAGGCTGGATTCTAGACGGGGAAGATGCCTGCCATTAACCTCTGCGTCGAAGTTGATCAGCGTCTTCTCCGGAGCAACGGATATGCCAAACTCTTCATCCCCGTCGAGCATCACCTGCAGGAACCGCTCGGCCAGCTGCCTGTCCGTCGTGATCAGCAGGTAGTCATCTACATAACGCATCAGCAGTGCGTGCGTGCCAGGGTCCCGTAGGAAGGCCAACCGCTCCAGCTCATGTTCGCCGTAGAAAAAGCCGCACAGGATGCTGGAGATGACGGAACCCTGCGGAATACCCCTTTTCTGTCGATAGTATCGTTTCCCGATCTTGATTAGATTGTTGCGGACATGCTTCTCCAGCAGGGCCAGCAGCTCGCCCCGTGTATGCATCCTTCGCGAGCCCAGGTCTACATACACTGTACCTGTTCCTGCACCGCCACGATTGCACTGGCCAGGCGTTGAAGTTGAAGATACGGCATCGTATACAGGCTGGAAGTCATCAAACGCTGCCGCTCGCGCCACGAACTTCCTCCTTGGCTTGTTGGCGCTGCTGGTACTTTTATTTATACTTTGATGGCATTCTCGTTTCACTACTGCCGGCCGCGGCCCGCTGTTATGGTTAAGATGAAACTCCACGTGCTTGGAGACACGGTACGCATCGTCTACGACGAGCTTATCGACGAGTTGCATCAGCCTTGTCTGCGGGATAGTGTCGAAACAGGCCTGGACGTCCAATTTGACGAAATAGAGCGGGCCCGTCAGGCTTCCGCCTCCTCGTGTTGTAATTTCCTCTTTGAACTTCTTCAGCCGAGGGTACATCGCAGTGGTAGACGGCAGGCTGGACCCTACGTTTTCCGGACTCTGCGTCCGCTCGTAATTGAGAACGTGGAAAAGGGGGGCCAGCTGGGTGTTGATGCTTGATCCAAGCATGGGAGTGCCTGTCTTCCATGCCTTTCTCAGTGTCGGCCGTCTCCTCAGGTTTGTTATCGGCCTGGCTCCGGTGGCCTTGGGGAGGAGTCTGATGTTGCTATAGCCGAGCGATTCGCCGTTGAGCAGTCGTTCGGCCTTGCTGCGCTTGATATCCTGAAAGACAGATAGTTTGAGGTCGGCCATGACCGGCTCGGAGAGATGCTTCCATACATCGTGACGGAAGTAGAAGAGCCTGTTCTTGTACACGCTCGCCTCAGTCAGGTAGAAGTTTGACCTGACGAGCGGGATGAGCAGCGAGTCGAAGATGTAGTAGATGAACTCGTGGAAGATCTCCTCTCTCTTGCGAGTGTCTGAAAGACAGGGTTTCTTGTCCGTGCTACCATCAGGGGATAGCCACGAGACACATCCGATCTTTAACCCCTGAACGACCTCGTGGAGTGACAGTGTCTCAAACCGCCGTAGAGACAGGAACCTATCCACATTGCGCATGACTGTGTTTCTATTGCGGACACCGTCTTCTCCGCATCCGTACATCTCATACGGTATTACCTTTTGAAGCACAGCACGACAAAAGGCCGAGACCGCATGCGTCGGAGTCGCATAGTCCGTCATTGTCACTTTTCCTGCTGCATCAATCGTGCGCTACATCGTTAGTTTTGACTTGTAAACAGATAGAATCTACACACCTTTGGACAGTAATGGCGGAGTAGCTCTACGTAGGCGCATCTGGAGTGTCTCTTCTGCATGCTCTGAACCAGCTCGACAAGCCTGCCACGAAGCCGTCTGGGTACCTTCTCGCCCGGCTTCGAGGCGATCTCACGCTCTCGCAGCGAATAGTCCTTGAACGGCATGGCCGTCTCCGTCCTGTCGACAGCGGAAGTAAACACGTTATGCAGACCAAACTGTCGGGGGAAGATGTACTTCATCACATGCACCGTATCGCTTTGATATCTATTCAGCACATCTACACCCGTCAGCATGCAACTATATATATGATCAGTGGCATGGACGTACGAATATGCTGTAGCCCCAGCCTGGGCTCACGCTGTGCATTCAGCGACGAACGGGCATAGAACATGCGCCTACGCACGAAGACGATCTCAGCCGGCTTCCTGATACATGGTTTGTCCGGGGCATTCAGAGCATCCAGCTTGGTCAACGGTATCCCTATAACCCCGTCAGCGTAGGTCGTATACGTCAAGGGTGGATGATACACACCGCTCAATTGATAGTAGGACTGGCCGTGGAGATGGATGAACAGCCCGCAGTCCAAGAGCAAGTGTAGCATGATATCTTCACAGCTTCCTCCCAGCAGGTCCATGACATCCGTCCAGGGGGCCCTTTTGAGCATGTTGACGCTCCTGTTGGGCAACCTGGGCACTATTCCAGTAGACGAAAAGTACTCCTGGTCACCCATCTGCTCTCCCGCACGCTGGTATCCATGGCAGAGGATGTGAGACGGATGTCCAGCGCCGCTGAACAGGCTGTATATAGCAAAGTTGACCACCTATCTCGTCAGCACATACATGTATAAGGATGAGGATGCAACATACATCAGCTATGTCGCTGGTAGCACCAACGTCCGTCCCTCTGAGGGCTGAAGATCTGACCTGCGACTGTGTAAAGGCCGCGAGCTCTCGCTGTCTGGCGCTGTTGATTGCTGGGCTCGCCGGCTTCAGGACGCCCACGATGGTCGAATCCAGCAGACGGGCTACTCTTTCACCATCCTCCTTCGACTTCTCCCTCCCTACCGACCTGACTCTGTGCTGCCTGGAGACCGAGGAGGCCGGCAGCAGCTCGAGAAGATACGTCCTCAGGCTGAGCAGCCGCGGATAGTAAAAGGCCAGGACGCCCTGCTGGACCATCTCACGTCGCTTATTCTCATCTCCAGCCTCTGCGTCTCCCTCTCCCTCTCCGTCTGCATGTTTATCTGCACGTCCGGCTGCAGGTTCGCCTCCGTCGCCGTGCTCCTGGGTGCCGCGCTTCCTCTTGCCCATGTCTGTTGGAGGTACAGAGCGATGTGGCAGCGGTGCGACAGTGAGTATATGATCTGTACTTGTCCTACCTCGTCTGTTTCTATGTTGATCTTGGTTCCTGATGCTGATGTTGACGCCTACATGATACATCCACGTACATACACCTAGACTATACACCCTAGACTATACACCTTAGACTATACAGACTATGCCTCTAGATACAAAGAAATAAAGAACTCGACAGAAACAAAGACGGAAGAAGAAAAGAAAGTCCAGAGACTCCTTAATCTTACCCGAAACACATCTTAACGTCTCCTTTTATATCTCGACTCTCCCCGGCCAATACTCGACCGGCTGCTATCCAACATCTACTCCTACTTCTGCTCTACTATCTGCCTTCTATCGGTTGACTCTCGAATCCGCTAGAGAAGAAGAGAAGAATAAGAAAAGAAACCCCACAGCCCAAGCAGGTTCTTCCATATATAACTATTTAACCGTAAAACTGGAGAACGTCCAAGGCTATATTTGAATTTTTTCGGCTCACAGAGAAGAGGACGAGGTAGAGGGGATGTCTAGTATCTAGTACGTAAGATCGAGAGGTAGTCATAATAGAAAAAAGACTGGAGAGAGAGAGAAAAGGAGAGGGTTCACTGTTTACTCCTGAGATGTGCGACTTTGATGCTGCCCAAGTTTTGTTTCTTCAACCACGTCGACTTGCATCTTGCAGCTTGCATGCACACACAACTTCGACAAGACAACGAGACGACAACGACGGCCAGAGGAGAAGAAATAAGGAGAAGAGGGAGATGAGCTGACTGCCACGTCGAAAGGAGTTCTCGTCTTACAGGGTCATACAGGCCCTGCTCCCTTGCTTTTTCCCAACACCCTCGCCCTGCTTGACTGGCCTCTCTGGCTCTGCTCTCTGTATCGCCCGCCCGCTCGAACCGGCCCTGCCAGTCCTTGTCTTGCCCTGTTCGACCGCTGCTCGCCCTGTTCGCCCCCCTAGATGAGTCCCTCGCACCATGTCTGCTCCTCGAGACTGCGACCTCGACTCGCCGGCGGACGTGCTGCTGCCCCAGACCACCTACCAGCAGCCCGCCAGGGAGGAGGCCTACCCAGACCCTCACGACTTTTACCTGCATTACAGCCATAATACCAGTGCCAGTGCCAGCAGTAGTGGTGGTAACAACGTCGACAGCGTCCATACTGCTGGCAGACAGACGGCAGAGTTGGACCTCTCGCCCAGCAAGACCAGGCGGGTGACCGCTACTCCAGCGGCGTCGATATCAACAACATACAGAAGCAGGCAGTCCTCGCTGCAGGACCTCGTCAACAGGTTCAACCAGACGCCAGACGAGGTCGTGCCCAAGCCGTCTGCTGCCTCCGCACACGCCCATGCAAGGACTTCCACCGCCGTCTACAAGGGACTCCCCTCCGCTGCTCCAGTGCCAGCTAGACGGCCCTTGTTCGGCGAGATCATACCCACCACCAGTGCTACACTTACTACATATACGCCGTCTACGCATCATCAGATAGGGTCACTTCAGACATCATTTCCGACGGGATCAATTTCCAGCAGGAGAGGCAGGAGTGGCTCGGACAGCTGCATGCATACGCCCAAACAGCTACACTTCCTAGACAACGCGTTTGATCCGCATCCACCACACATACAAAAAGCACACCATATACTCGACGTCGACTCGCCCACCGCATGGTATCTGCCTTCTCTCTCCCATCGACGCTCCCAAAGTGACCTGGGCTCCCCCGTTTCGCCGCAGCTGAACATGAACCCACACCCCATCTCAACTTCCTTTTCATCGCGCCAATCGCAGTTCCAGTCCCAGCTCCAGTCTCACGCCGCCGCTCAGCACTCCAGAATACCGCTCTCTGCCCGTCGAGCCAGCCAGGCCTCTGACTCGGGCAACTCCTCCCCTTCCACTCGCACAAACTCCGCCCTGGACCGGTATCCTCCGCCAGCAGTGTCCCTTCCACCCAAGGGAGTCAGCTTGCTCCCCAAACCAACTCCGCCAGGAGGAGCTTCTCCTCGATTCCGTGCTCGCTCCTCATCCACAAACACCACCGCCAGCAACTCCACGGCCGGCAGTCGTCGCCACATCCCCAGGGACCAGAAGAGTCCGACCCTCCAGGCTTTCATCACGGCTCCTCTGCCCAAGAAATCCCCTCCATTGCGCAGCTCTAGGCCAAGACAGCCCGTTTCTAGCGCCACAACTTCGGCTTCCCGCGCTAGGCTTGTAGATCGTATCTCGGGCTTGCAGTCCAAGGACGGCTCCAGATCGGCGTCTGGTTCCAAGAAACCGCCTGAGCTTGGAAGCGTCGATTTTGCAGCCAGACGACAGCGGATACAACAAGCTTTCAACCGCACCGTGGAGGAGAATGCTAAGAAGGAGGAGAGGGCTGCCGTACGACGAGAGCGTGAAATTGCCAGGAAAATGGCCAGACAGGCACGTCCACATCCACCACAGGAACAACAGCCTCAACAAACCCAGCCAGAACTAGAACCGCAAACACAACCAGTAGACGAGCCCTCGCCGTTGCCATTGGAGGAACCACAACAACAGCCAGCTGCCGTGCCTGAACCGGAGCCGGAACAGGAGCCAACGGCTGTACCAGAGTCGATAGAATTGGAATCCGAACCAACGACGACAACGACAACGACTACGCCGGTGGGACAAGAAGCTACGCCCGCCGATCCCGTGAATGAGTGTGCAGAACCGCAATTCACCTCTGACGACTCCTTCGTCACGCCTGACGAGGGACGCTCTCCCATCTTACTACCCGTAACATATAAGCCAGACCATCACCAACAAAATCAACAACAACAGGCGGATTTAAATCGCCCAGAAACACCCGACATGACCTTACGCGACACGTTCAGGCCCAAAACACCCGAATCAGGCAACACGGACACGATACCCCAATCAGCCGTTACGGTGGGCACAGAAATCACCACCTTCGACCCAGAGCCGCAGGATGGGCTGCTCGCCCATCGAACCATGCTAAACCATATAATGCAGATGCGTGAATCCAGTCCCAGCGTGTCCAGCACCTCAGACGGACACGGTGACCACGATACAGAGCACGACGACAGCACCGCCGATGACGGAGAGTCAATACGCATCATGCTTCGACGGTCAAGATATCTTGACTCAATAGCCCATGAAGTCAGCAACCCTCACCACAGGTGGAGTATGAGTTCGTGGAACTCTTCCTTCCAGGATCATCCGCCGTCAAGAGATGTTGAAGGCGAGGGCGTCGAGTCCAAGCATCAGGAAGATAGCTGCGATAGCTCTCATTCCCTACATGAAAACCCGACAACTCCACAACCTATCTTCCCGCCTTCTCCGCCATGTGAAGCTGATGATGCGCAGGCTGATATAGCCACCGACGACAGCCACAAGCACCGTGGTGGCGGCGGCGAGTCTCCTGTTCTCGGCACCGGCGACGACGATGCTGTCATTGCCTCGCTTGAGAGGCGATTTAGCATGAACATGGCCAACCACTACACCACTATCGCCAAGCAGGCACGTTGGGACTCCAAGCGAGCTACGCAGCTATATCTCCAGGAGCTGGCCAAGGCAGGATACGAGAGGCCACGAGTACCCATCTTGACGCCCGGTAGCAGTGAGAGCGAAGGGAAGAGGTTATCTGCCCAGGACAGCGTGAGCAGAGGGACCGATGAAGGAGACGCCGATGATGGTGTCCTTGTACCTGACTCTGCAACCATACCCACAGCGGAGTTCCTGCCTGCGCGTGCGAGTTTACATCTACGAGATGACTGGGACACTTCCCCTTCTATCGCGGATTGGATGCATCTGGCTGCCGGGGAGGATGAGATGCAGCAACACCAGCATCTTCATCAGCCCGAACATGAATATCAGCAGCATCAGCGCCAGGCAACGGATGCAACTGAGATACCCCATACATCTGCATCTGCATCTGCATCCGCATCCGCATCTGACCAAGAAGGAGCAGAGACGCCCAGAAACGCAGTACCATCTCAATTCGCCTCTATAGACGGCACTGTTGAAGGTCTGGGGCTGGAAATCCGCGTGCAGTCACCGCAAGATGGAGACTCGCCAACACTACCGTCTCCCTTCCACATGCATCTTCCCGTTCCATCAATACCTCACCATCCACCGCCGCCCCCTCCTACTGCTGCTGCTGCTACTTCTTCTCCTTCTCACCTAGCAGCGGAGCAGGTAGAAGGACAACCCACTGGCCTCGATGCATCACCAAGTGTCTACACCAACACTCCCTCTTCGAGCACGATGCCTTCTCTGCCTACATTCCACGACGCACCGCCCAGCAGTCGAAGTGAAGATTCTTCGTTGCACATAACCCCTCCGCAAACTGTCTCCTCTTCGACCTCGCAAACGCAGGATCAGCCCTCGTCCCTGGCACCAGAAACCACCTCTGCGTTCCACGACATTCTTGACCCTGCGTCACGTATTTCCCCCACCCCTGAACAACGACGTCTCAAGAAACGGCGAAACGTAATCAAGGAATTGGTAGATACCGAATATACCTTTGGCCAAGATATGACTGTTGTCGTGGACATATACAAAGGTACATCAAGTTCTTGCCTCGGCTTATCGCCCGAAGACATAAAGACTCTATTTGGCAACTCAGAGCAGGTCGTTCAGTTTTCGATGGATTGGCAGGATGCTCTCAAACAAGCGGCGAAAAGCGTCTATGTCTTGCCGAAATCCCAGCGGTGGAGCAGTAAACGAAGCAGCAAATGTACTCAGAACAGCGCAGTCTTTAGTAGCAGCCCAGACCCGCAGCAGGTAGCTGACGAAGAGAATGATCGCAAGACAGCTATTGGTGAAGCATTCATGGCTAACATTGAGAGGATGGAGGCCGTTTATTCCGACTATTTACGTAACCATGATGCAGCGAACAGGACTCTCGAAGTACTCCTGAAGAACAAGAATGTCAACATCTGGTTGAAGGAATGCCGCGAGTGGGCTGCTGATCTTACGTCTGCATGGAATCTAGACTCCTTGCTAGTCAAGCCTGTCCAGCGTATACTTAAATACCCGCTCCTTCTCACCGAGCTACTAAGTGCAACCCCAGCCGACCATCCAGACCATGCTGCGATCGCAAGTGCCCTCGCAGCTACCACAGCCATCTCCGTACGAATAAATGAGATGAAGAAGCGTGCCGACCTCGTCGGTCAGGTTGTAGGAAATAGTCGAAAGCGAAAAGAGTCCGACGTCCGCGCCGGTCTCTCAAAGGCGTTTGGTCGACGGACTGAGAAATTAAAGCAACATGTCGGTATCACGGAGATGTTCTCGGATAAGGAATACGATATTCTCAGTCAACGGTTTGGAGATAATTTCTTCCAGCTGCAGCTTGTCATGCGTGATGTAGAGGGATATCTGGGTGAAATTCAAAGTTCAATGAACAAGTTTAACGAGTTCATCGTTGCCGTTGAAGGATATATTACACTTGCGCCGTCAAATTATCCTGAGCTGGAGAGTAAATGGTGCCGATTCCGGTTGGCGGTTAAGGACGTTATGACCGTTGCGTTAGCTGACCATGTAAGTTGTTAAACTCTTTTTGTTATTACTTTTCAAAACGGGGAATGTAGAGCCTAACGGCCAGACAGGTCACACAAGTCCGGAAAAGCGTTGTAGCTCCGATGGTTACACTATTGAAGCTTCACGACGGGCCGCAGCGAGTAATGCAAAAGCGTAACAAGAGGCTGATGGACTATGTTAAATACAAAGCCATCAAGGACCGAGGGGATAAGCCTGATAAGAAAGTTACGGAGCAAGGAGAACAATTTGTGGCGCTCAATATGGCGCTAAAAGACGAACTACCGAAGCTCTTGTCCCTTACCGGCAAATTAATGGAAGCTTGTTTAAACGCTTTCGTCCAGATCCAAGCCACCTGGCTCACGTTGATGCAGAAGAGACTCGGGTATACCATCGATAGACTGCCTCAGGACATCAATCAGATCATCACCGATTGGTCAGGGGACTTCTCGTTCAGTGAAGCCCAGGTTCTCTCTCTGGGCGTCTGCAATGGATCTATCCTGGCAGACACAGCTCTGGTAAACAACTACAACTCCCCGCCACCTTCCCATGGAGCCGATGCCACTTCCTCCCGCCGCCCGTCAACAGTCAACAGCGCGACTGGCCGGACATTCTCCGGCGAATCGGGCAATTCACCCAAGGGTTCTCACGAATTTGCCTCACGGAGTCCAGAACACTTGATACAAACTCCGCCCGGCACCGGCTTCATGCAACATGGGAATGGATCATATGTGTTCCCAACATCTGGCCCTCGCACGCGTGCCAATTCCACGTATTCAGTCCGGGCACCAGACGTGACCAACAGCCATATCCCGTCGATACCATCAATAATCAATTCCTCTACCCGCTCCAGCGTCACGGGCCCCAGCGGCACCAGCAACTCATCATACCGAACATCAGACGCCTCGCCGAAGCTGCCGCTTCTTGCTCTAGACACGCCCCGTCTCGAGTTCTTCCCTGACCACCTGATGAGTAGTAGCCGATATAACGTCAATGTCAATGGCAACAGCAATAACAACCACATAGCTCCCGATCCAGCTGAGCATCCGTCCTCCCCCTCAGCAACACGGTATTCCGGCTTCTTTTCCTCGGCCATGCCGATGGCAGAAAACCCCGAACCATCTCGCTTCGTCACCCAGCACCACCAACACAGCAGCATCCCTATGAACCGTAGTATTAGTGCCGGCACCAATGCCCATGCGGGCTATACCTCTGCACCTAAACAACCCTCCATCCTCTTCCTGGCCGCTAGCATGTTCGAGTTTAATATCGACCGCGCCCGGCGCGAGGCAGGGTATCCATACCTAACCTATGTGGCTGGTGAGATATTTGATGTCATTGGTGAAAAGGGTGATCTCTGGCTTGCCCGAAACCAAGACGACCCAACTCGCCAGGTCGGCTGGATCTGGACGAAACATTTTGCCAAGTTGGCCGGTTAAAATTACAGCCATCTCATCCTATATTATTACCTATCATTTTACTGTTATGTTATTCTATTTATCCTCACACATGGGATACATTTCCGTTCATCCTTGGAGACAGACTTATATTCATTTTCTTTTCCGTCCTATCTCATCGTTTCTCATCTCCTTTGTTATTTGGGCGATATTTCCACCAGCATGCTCCCTTTTTTTTTGTCTGTTTCTATACGACTCTGTTCTTCTCATACCGGTATCTCCTTTCTCTTCCCTTTTCATTTTCATTTTTTTTTTTTTCAATGGTGACAACGGTATTGGGCTTGGGTTTGGAAGGGGGCATCCTATATCTTCAGAACAGCAACTTGACTTACATATACCCCGGCGCCCGGAATATACGCAAACAAGCAAACGAAGACAACAAGACGGGAGAAAAAGCTATACAGCTACGCAGGAAAGAAAAGAATCAAAAGCACGACACCGGGGAAGAGAGAACGAGACGAAATAATCGAACACCCTCCGCGATCACTATAAACCGAGTCCGTCACCCTATAACTTTCTTGCTCCTCGACCTTGGCTTCATCTTTAGGGCATGCCCAACGCTGTTATACTGCTTTAATCGCTTATACCTTATTTTCTACCTCCTTTTCTACCTCCTTTTCATGTAAATCTAGAAATCTCTACAACTTTTACTCTATGACATCATAACCTCACGTGATGTTTTGATACTTCAAATAAAAAAGAAGATAAAATCTGGGGAAAAGAAGAAAAAAAGCGGCTTTTGAGGTTGTAGAAAGAGAAGAAGAAACGCTGCTTTTTCGTCCAAGTGGCTTGTCCGTTCTTCGCAGGTGGCAGTTTTACCGGGCTGTATCATCTCTTCTATAAAGCTTTCAAGGGGCAAGACTTGAAGATTCTCTGGTTATTTATGATGCGGTGGTTGCCACTCCGCATCCCATAAGTTCCGCTGCGTTTCCTCCCACTTTATACTATTCTTCTACTACTACATCTTCACTACATCTTCAATAGTATCATTCTACGCTGGCCTCTAGACCCCTCTCTACCATTGTCAAGGTGGATAGAAGAAGAAGAAGAAGACAACCCCGCCTCGCAGCTCCGGAGACACGGAATCCTGGAAGATGCTCGATGGAGGAGGATTCAGTCGATTCAAGGGCAAGGTGAAAGAGCGGCTTGGTGATGCGGTTAGTAGTTGGTATTTTTCTCTCTCTTCCTCTTCAGTGGTATCGATCTGTTTCACCGGTTATTCTGCTTTGCTTCGTCGTTTGCTTAAAAGTGTTTGATATAAGCTTGCACAACATGGCTTGCTATCAACCGCCTCGCCCCAGCTGGATTTGTTTGCACGAATAAGACAAGTATATATGAAATATCTTGCAGGATGGAATTCTTTCCTTTCAAAGCAGCTACTAGCTTAATATCTGCTTATTCTTATATTTTTGTAGCCTGGCTTCTCATTCTGTTGCTATGGCTCTATACCAGAGAATCACCCGTCATCTGCTCAGGTATATGAATGCTAACACGTACAAGAATTCGGATGAAGTCTACTTGACCTGTGAGTGATGGCAGCTGTCCCTTTATGTGGTTATTGTCGTTGAATACATACACTGACGACGGCCTTGTTGCTCCAGACAATGATAACAGCCGTATGTGAAAGGTACTCCCGCTCTCTGCCTTGGTGGCTCTGCTGATATATTGTGTATAGTTACAAATGGAGACGTCAATACGCTCAAGGGTGACTGGCTGACGGACAGTGTCATCGCATTCTGGGAGGAGTATGACGTCTCTCTTCACAACTTGGGATAGTTAGCTGACTCTTATGCCGTAGATATCTGGAGCATGAGGTGCTAGCACAGTATAATACTCGAATTATACTCCTTCGCCCAAGCATGTCATTCCTCCTGCTTCATACCGTTGATCCGCAGACCCTGAAGAGTGCGCTGCCGGACTTCACTCGTGCTTCTCACGTATTCCTGCCCATCAACGACTGCCGTGATACCACGGAAGCGGAAGGCGGCTCGCACTGGTCTCTACTACTAGTCTCTCTCGTGGACAAAGTAGCCTTTCACTATGACTCTCTCCCGCCCGGAAACGTCACCGAGGCGAGCCAGGTTACGGCTAAGATCAGCAAGCTCTGCGACATACCCATCAAGTTCGTGCACATGCGAGACTCGCCTATGCAAGAAAATAGCAGTGACTGCGGTATATTCGTCTGTATGACGATGAGATATCTTCTCCAGCACCGACTCTTGCAAGCTCATTCAAAGGAGTATGTCACCATGGCGTTGGACGGCGTTCCGCTCGATGCCTCGACCGCTCGCAAGGAAATGCTGCACATCATACACCGGTTAAAGAGGGATAGAGATCGGAGAAGATCGTATGTAACTTCTTCCGCTGCACCTGTTGCGTCTCGCTCTTTTGCTACGCCGCGTTCTCTTCTCGCCCGTACCCATAATGCAGCTGTCCATCCTTCTCCCTTAGACCCCAGAGCACCCGCCACTCCCGCTTCTCCTTGTCGCGGCTCGAGATTCCCCTTGCTCACCTACTTCTTTGCTTGTGCCCTGTTTATTGTCATGATTGGGGTCGCTATTGCCCTTTACTTCCCTAACTTCAACCTGATCTATGTTTACCACAGCTATACTCAAGTTTACCATCCTATGTACCGTGAATCTTGTCAAAGACTTGACTCCCTTCTTGTCTCAGCCAATTCCATGCTATCCCCATTCCTTGCCCAAGCCTATTCACAATTGCAAGAGCTCCATGGACACGGGAAGGAGTACTTTACTAAGGTGTATGACGCATTCGCCCATTTGAGACGAATATAGGTCGACCCCACATAAATCTCCATCGCCCGATGGCCATACACTGAAGAAAAAGATGAAGGATGTGATCGGACTCGATAATTAGTTGTTCTGGACTTTATTGTTGTATCCTTGTTTTGATAGCCGTTTGGATGTACGGATGGTGCACCAGGGCACAACGATACCACTACAGTTAGTTAGCGCGCAGTATGCTTTAGTATCTTTATCTGTTTCATCCCAGAGGCGTGGTAATTAGTTATGGAGTGGGTGTCTAGGGGATTATCAGATGCAAATCCTTACAGATGGCCGAATAGCCAAGTTTGATATTTAAACATCTTTTTTTCACTTACGTCCTTTACTACTACAACAATATATCCAGTATTGCACAAACATTAAGAAGACACAATGTGGAAGTCTCAAATTGGCTCAGTAAGTCCAATCGACAAATCAACGAGAATAATACATATTCTAAGGCATGTGTAGTGCTCGGTGAAGAGTCGACTGTTCTCAACCAGTGTGGCAGTACATCGACAAAACCGAATTCCAGCCTCATACTATCGAGGCGGAACTTCGAGAGGCCTGATCTTCCAGCAGAAAGACCTGCCTGCGTCTCGAGATGACTGGAAGTCCATCTTCCTCGGCACCATGGGCTCTCCAGACCCAAATGGCCGACAGCTAGACGGGCTAGGAGGCGGCATATCCAGTCTATCAAAAATCTGCGTCGTGTCTCCAGCCTCAGACCAGTCTCGAGCACAGGGGGCACAGGTGGACTTTACCTTTGTTCAAGTAGGCATCAAATCAACGGACATCGATTACTCAGGGAACTGCGGGAATCTAACCAGTGCCGTTGGACCGTTTGCTATCGACTCGGGACTGGTCAGCCTGAGCAGGGAAGATGTAAAAGCAGACAAGACGGCCACTGTTCGCATATACAATACGAATACCCAGAAGATAATCGACTCTACGTTTCCGATTTCAATCTCACCTGATGGTACCGTCGAGGCTGAAGCCAGCGGCGACTTCACAATCGACGGTGTCGCTGGATCCTCGTCAAGAATCAAACTCGACTTTATCAACCCGTCCGGCGCTAAAACGGGAAAACTACTACCCACAGGGGCACCGATGGATACCTTTGATGGTGTACGAGCAACGTGCATCGACGTGGGGAATCCCATGATATTCATACCTGCTTCTGACCTACCTGTCGACGGCAAGATATCTCCCGACCAGATATCTTCCACACCTGGTTTGCTTGAGCGCTTAGAGCGTATCAGAACCCAGGCCGCGATCAAGATGGGCATGGCAAAGACGGCAGACGATGTGCCTGCGTCTATACCAAAAGTGAATATCATCTCCACGCCTGACGAAGAGGGTGTGGATATCACCGTCAGAACCATCTCGGTAGGCCAACCGCACAAGGCTCTTCCCATCACTGCCGGGCTCAGTCTTGCTGTAGCCACAAAGTTGGAAGGATCGGTTGTTAAGCAGTTTGTATCGAGGGAAAGTAAGGCGGCGAGTGATGCCGTTGTTATTGGCCACCCTGGGGGAACGTTAGCCGTGGGTGCAGAGTTCAAGGATAGTGATAGTCGAGTCGTTGATAGAGCGACGGTGTATAGATCTGCTAGGCGGCTGATGGATGGTCTTGTATACTGGAAGTGACTTTATATTCAATGGCTATATGTAGTATTGTAGTAATATGAATGGGTATTAACCTGATACTTGTTTACTGTTCAGATTTTATATATTCGAATATAGACAAATACGTTAGTCTTAGGCTTCATTTTGGCTGCTAGCAAAAGATGAAGAGCCGACATGAAGGTACGTGACGAAGCTTCACCTTGACATCTTACCATCAAAGTGGTGACGAGTGAGAATACTTTGGCTCACCTGCTTCTCAAGTAAACATGTACTTTATATGATTGCTCCGTGTTTGGTAGTCAGGACACATAGTATAGGCCATCGATATAAGTATTGGTATGAGAACTATCATTTGGTACTTACACTATACTAATGTAGTCGAGTATACAATAACGCTGTCATTAATACAATTCATATCTCTTAGACGTCTTGTTTGACGAACTAGAAACCCTGATCAGTTGAATGCGTCTCATGATACATTCACATTACTGACTGCTATAGATAAGTACTTGAATAATATCAGCACACCTGGCTACGGCTTCTGCCACTTGATGGCGATTTAGTAGCCTGATGGTATATATATAGGGTTATATAGAGTGGCAAAAGCATTGGTAGGTGTCTCTGTATCGCAGTTTGAACCGCGTATAGCAGAGGCCAAACGCAGCATGGAATTTTCCTGTGCTAATGTTACGGTAGTCAGCATTCTAGTCAATATTTCATCCTGGAATGCGACTTGTTATGGGGTATAAGCTTAGGATACGTTTGTGGAGTGTCATACGAAGCCTCCGTCATACGCCAGATTTCCAGCCACGAGTAATGGGTATGCCTGTTCTCTTGATTATTAGTTATCCATAACGTAGGAAGTGCTTATCTCCGTAAATAGGTATATCTGGGTATCGTCCCGTAGTCCTCGAGGAGGGTGTAACCTATATCAGGCGGCTATGTAGCTTCCATCACAGGCGGACGGTTGACGCTGCCTGGTCCCCTGCATTCTGCTCTCCCTTCACGTAGTCCAGGCTTGAGTATCTGGTGATATCAACTCTGTCGTGGTCTCTAGGTCAACTGAGAGGCGTACTGATATAGGGGCCACCCGCTATCTCCAACGCAGCGGGCCTGAAACCGTTCGTAAAAGCGTAGAAAACAGCTCGAGACGTCTACTAACAGCCTATAAACAACATTTCAACAGGCCAAAACCGCCCACCATCTCTGATCTGCGCCGCTTCCTGCACTGCTTTGGTGGAAGGAAGACGACGCACAGGCCCATATATCCGTTTTGACGAAACGGAAAGCGAAGATAGAAGATATCAAGGCGTCAGAAGGGATGAGAAGATGGTCTACGTCGATCTG